CCTCTGAACATATGGCTTGTACTAAAATACTCATGATAATTTAAATGGTGCTTCACTAATATTTGTCAGAACGTACCGATTCCTGAGCGACAGCTTTCCTAAAATATATCCAGCCTTGTAAAGAACTGTCCCCTCCCACGCCCGGCTCGTTCTTGTCTTCGCGGATGACTATAAGCGGATCACCCCAAGTTGCATCTGCTATACCCCCACGATCGTCCAATTTGGTTTCGTAACTGCCATGATCTAGTAAAACACTCTCGAAGAAAGGCTTTAAAAGGACCCTTCTTTGCGGTTCATTCTCGTATAATTCAGCGGAGCCCGAAATGAAGCTATGGCAAAGCCCCAGCAGCTCAGAACTTGGCTCCAAGTCAGGCTGCCAAATCGTGGGATCGTCGAGACGGTCTAGACGCTGTTTGAGCCTGGCAAAGGCGTGGTGGAACAGCGAAGTATGTGGACCATAGTTACGAGCTGGCCTGTGAATGTATAGATCACCACGCACAGACCCAGAGTTGTCCTTAAGTAGCTTGATATCTTTGCTGATCTCCGATGGCGATCTAATGTCCCTGACATCGGCTGCCTTCCGGACGGACACTTGAAGTAGATATTAGGATTTGCCAGCGGCAAATGCTAGAGAACTCACTTTGAATTAAATTAGAAGGGGCAATGTCAAGGCCCGGCAACTTGTCACTAGCTTCCAAAACTCAAGATACTTTGAGTAAGTCAAGCAAAATGGCTGAATAACTTAGCACATACTGGAATCGGTCACGACGACATGTCTATCTTCTCATGATCCTCAGGTGCGGGACCTCTGGGGAAATATCGCTTAAGGCGATGTGCGGGTGTCATCTTTGAACCGCTGGAATGCTCGCGAAGCCACTCGGTAGCACGATTGAGAAGTGTGTTTTCTGGCTCCATGGACAGCTCGCCACACTGCACAAGGATGTGAGCACGACAAAGCAATAAATGCTGATAGGAGATGAAGACCTGACCTTGAGAAGAATGATGTTCTCGCCTTCAGAGGCATGTTTGTAGCTCGCATGGGCACGAATCTTGTCTTCCAAGTCTGCTACTTTTGCCCCCTCTGGTAGATCGAAGGGATAACACTGAGCGCTGGGGTTATCTGGCATGTAGACAACGTAGCAAAGCTCTGAAGTGGCTATATGAGCCATGTTCGGATGGAGACGTGACAGTTGAAGTTGAAGTTCAGCCTGACCAGGGGCTGTCGTGTTTGCGTTGTTTGGGTTTGTTAGATCCGCAAGCTTTAGGTCCACAAGCACAAACAACCACCTGACTCGAAATGAATCAGTTGTATATTTGACATATATATCTTGTACCATACATCTGTCACGCTCGTATACTCATCATCTAACACACCATCGAGCTTTTTGATTATGGCCGCTTGAGCTGCTGAGGTCCAAAATAGGGCCTCGTTCATCTTAAGCACGCCCTCAAGTCGCCAGGCTTGGTTTTACTTTATCTTGCTGGTGTTCCTGTCAGCTTTAGATCTCATCGTTACATCATGGAGACCACTGAAGAACTACAACAACTCGAAATTACTGCCCTGAAGTCCATATATGATTGCGATTTTTTGGAGCCACCTCCACCGAAAGCCTGGAAAGTACGTCTCCTTGGCTCATCAGCGGACTCATTCAGACGAAGTCAATACCATTATTTTACATACGCCGCTGCCACGCTACCCGAATTCATCATCAAAGTTCCACATCCAGATCCAGCCCACGGGCTAAAGATTTATTTCCATTTACACACGAAGTCTGTATTACTTTCCAGCTCGTATTTGTTTATCCTGATGTGATCTATCCTGTTTCTAGGTTTCCCAAAGACTTATCCCACTTAGCATGCCCCACATTCACTATCCAAAAGCCAATCAAAGGTCTCAATAATGAATACGAAAGTTCACTTACAAAAGCCATCCATGCGGAAGCCCAAAAACTTCGTGGTTCTGAGATGGTTTTCCAGGTTAGTCTTTCAACGTTTGTTGATTTCCTAGATAGTCTCATAATATGGCCATCGCCAACTTTCTTGGTAGATCGTCACGTTTGCGCAAGAATGGATAGCTAAATATATTAACCCGCCCATTGAGTCCCATGGTTCGCTTGCGAACGAAATGACAAAACGTGCAACGGACGAAGAACGGGTATATTGTCTTCCCTTTTGTCCATCATTGCTCTCATCTATTATATTTCTTAGGAACGAAAGCAAAAAGCGGAAGAAGAAGCCGAACGTGAATCTGAACGCGCTGCACAACTCGCAGAACAACTCCACGAACAGATACAAGCTGACGCACAAAGACATTTGATCGCAAAGGAGATGCAGTACAAGGCGGCAAGGCAAAGGGCTTTGTCGGATGCCACAGAAGTCCCTCCCGCAGGCGATACGCCCACCGAGTCTTTCAATGAGGAAATTGAATTCAAGGGCGTGAAATTCAATACCGTAAAAATGTTCCACCCACGAAGAGGTAGCCTGTCGAATATTTAAAGGTAAACAAAAACTGATTTTATGGAACGTTAGAATGCTTAGGAACGACTTATCTGGCGGATCCGTTGTGCGATGATGTGCAAGCTACTTTACCCCTTGAAGTTCATTCCATCGTATTTCAGACTGAGTATTACATTTCCACGCAAGGTACACGTTATTTTTTGATGCTCCCTGATCACCTTAGCTCAGCGTAACAATCAGGAAAAAAGAAGTTGAAACAACTAGAGGCAGAAATCCAACGTTTAACAAACATTCGACACCCCAATTTATTAAGCATATTTGCCGTGAAATTGACTATGCATCATACAAATGCTCCGCCGCGTTTGATTGTCTTATCGGAACAGCGACCTGCATTGACGTTGCAAGATGTCCTCGAAGACTGTGAATGCTTACGAGAGGAGCGTGCTATGGTGAGTTGACAGTGCTGTTTCCCCTACTCTACAAATTCATTCAATAAGTATAGGATTATTTAGGTCAGATATTGTCGGCGTTAAATGCCGTTCATGCAGGCGAACTCGTTCATCGAGGTAATTTCGGTTCATTTTGTAGAATGGTATTCTATCTTGACATAAGTTTAGGACTGGATATTTGCTGCGTTGGCCTCGCAACTCGCGAAAATCGCAGCCAGTCAAAATTAGTCAAGATCGGTAAAGTAGGGTATCATGTAAGGCTCCAGGACCTGCACAGGTCAAACCCATTTGGGAGTGGTATTCTGTCATCAAGCGAAGAAGCCGTCTTATCTGATGCTTGGTAAGTCTACAAATCATCATAACTCGGGAGTCATTGTTAATCAATGTATATGAATCCCAAAGGCTATCGAAGGACGTTTTGGAATCTCCTCTATCCTACACGCGAAGTCGGGATATCCATCATGTTGGAATAGTTTTATTACAGATGCTTATGGGCCGTGATGTCACACGACAATACAGCGATCCTCAAGCAGCCTTACAGAGATGTAAGTTCTTCCTTTCCATATTCTTTGTGCACCGTTTGAGTGGAACTAGCCCCTATATCACCCGGTCTACAACAGTATGCAATGAGCATGCTTGTACCTAGCAAGAAAAACCATGTTTCTTGCCTGAGTCTTCTAGCAGATCTCGCTGCTATGTCGTTCCATTCCACCGCGACCAGTAGAACACCATCAATCACTGTGTCTGGTATGTCTTCGTATTCTACAGACTGAAGTATTCGGCTGTTCACAGCATATTTATAGGACCCAAAACGCCCATGTATAGTGGCCATACCCATAGTAGCTCCCCGGAGAAGGACTATTTCAGAACACCTGCAGGGACGAGGCAGGCAAGTCGGTGGAAGGAAGACTGGGAGGAGTTGGAATTACTGGTTTGAACGTGACATCTAGTTATTTTATCATGATTAATTTCGACTTCAATGTAGGGAAAAGGGGCATTTGGATCAGTCGTCAAAGCTCGAAACAAAATCGACTCCCGCATATACGCCGGTACGTCGCTAAAAATGTGATTCGGTTTTTCTATTATTCATAAGGATAATAGTCAAGAAAGTACGACTACGTACGTCTCAAAGCGACACCAAGATCTTCAGGGAGGTGAATGCACTAAGTCGGCTATCACATCGTTTCATTGTGCGTTATTATACCACTTGGGTCGAAACGTCTGAAATTGCTTCGACTGCTCCATCATCTGGCTCTGACTCCGACGACTCTGGCACTGAGAGTGGCATGACATCGGTACCTCATTCTGAGCGGCGAGGAAACTCCGATCCTTTCAGCATAGATTTGGATGACTTGGATGATTATGGGTCGGGGACTCAGTCATCGTTTCCTAGCATCCATTTCACCCGGTCGGATTTAACCGAAAAGGACGAAGATGAAGAAGATGACAGTGACGATCCATTTGGAAACCTGTTCGCTTCCGAGTATAGTGATGAGAATCACCCCAAAACCCCCCCTGTTACGCCTCGTACACTATATATTCAGATGGTATGTCTATCCTTATCGATCACGGTCTGATCGGTCTCACTCGATTCATTCAGGAATTTGTGGAGCGTCAGACCTTGAGAGAAGTAAGCATCGAGAACGGTTCTTGGGGTTAGAAAACTTAAGCTTAATTTAACATGGACATTATTTAGAGAATTGCAGAAGGGCTGTCCGAGGAAGAGGCATGGCGTTTGTTCAATCAAATTTTAGATGCTCTTGTCCATATGTCAAGTCTTGGCATAGTAGGCATCAGTTTTTTCGAACCAACTCACTCACACACACAGTCTACAGCTTCATCGCGATATCAAGTTAACCAATATTTTCATTGGTAAGAGGCAATGTGGGCAATCTTTACTTCTACTGATTCCTTTTGCAAGACGGAAAAGGCGATTGTAAAGGTAACGCTGTGTCCGTATCCACACTCTCAAGGTTTCTTACCTGAGTGACTAGTGGGAGATTTTGGGCTTGCAACTTCTAGCCTAGCCGCAGTGGATCCTTCAGACGTCTCACCTCATCTGGGTCATTCTGATTCAGACATGACCCTTGGTAACGTCTTACCTATATTTACAGATGTCCACACGAACTTATGCCCTTGCAGAAGTAGGCACTAAACTCTACATTGCTCCGGAGGTACAATCGAGGAAGAGAGGTCCTCGCAATCACAACAAAGCGGACATGTATAGTCTCGGAGTAAGTGTTAATTTCGTACACTCTAGCGCGAAGTATTCTCAAGCCAATCGTGATGAGATCGTATTTTTCGAAATGAACTACTCCTTTACTACAGGTGCTGAGCGCATTGCCGTTATAGAAGACCTTAGAAAACCAGAAATTTACTTCCCTAATGGTTGGGATCGCCCACGGCAAAAGCAAAGTATGTATTGTACCTTGACACAGGTCAACAGACTAATTTTTGTCTTTTAGTTATCACACAGCTTCTCAAGCATGATCCAGCAGACCGTCCTACGGCTTTGGAGCTTTCTCAAAGTTCTCTTATACCGCCAAGGGTGGAAGATGAATACTTCAAGGGCGCTTTGCGTATGATGGGTATACTTCGAGTCTTTATATTGTGTTCACTTCAAGTCTGAATAGTCGTCGCAGCAAAGCAGGATTCGCCTCATCATCAGGCAGTCCTATCTTCCCTCTTCAACCAGCCCTCCAATCAAGTTCGTAGCTACCTGTATGATCTTGAAGCTGAAATACCCGAGCATGCATATCTCAACGATATCGTACAAGACCGGATTTCGGCCATCTTCCGTCTGCATGGAGCTGTGGACATGGAGCCTCCTCTACTCATGCCATGTACTAGTCTAGAGGAGAATCAAAATCAAGCTGTATATATTGATCGACACGGCGACGTAGTGACATTACCGAACAATGCCCTTGTGCCGTTTGCGCGTTTGGCGGCAAGAAACAATCTGAAGCGAATCAAGCGGTTCCATATCACAAATATATATCGGCCAAAGTAAGATCCTGCGGCCTAATTACTTCGAACACACTTTACTTAATATTTGCAAGCGTTGTACCAGGTCACCCCAAGGTCACCAAGGCTGCTGTGCTTGATATCATAACCCCAGACATTACCGGCGGTCTGATTGCTGCTGGAGCCGAAATGCTTATGCTTCTGAACAATTGTCTGAATACATTTCCTAACCTTGCACAGAGCTACGAAATTCACATCTCCCACTCGAGGAGTGAGTTCCTGTATTACCTTCCATGACATACCTGACACTTGCTTCATTAATTCAGTCGTTGACTTGGCGTTGAATCGCATTCCGCTTGACCTTCGTCCGGCTGTCATCGACATTATAAACCAGTCAAAGTCTTCGGCTTTCCAGAAACGGACCTCGCTGTTGAAAAAGGGGTTACTGAGGAGTACAGCCGACGAACTAGAAGTACTTGCTGAAGTTGGTTAGTGTCAAGCCCACATTTTTTGAAACTGCTGAATTTATATTTCTCGTAGATGAAGACATCGACGTTCTGTTGAGTAGACTAGATAAAGTTTCGCCAACACTGCTAAGCGTTATGCAACCTGCTATTGAAGAGATGAAGCAAACCATGTACTACGCAACCTCTGCTGGGTTTAACAGTCCTATACTATTCCACCCTTTGATGTGGGGCGCCCATCATATCCACTTCAACGATGGTGTCCGTTTTGAGGTAGTAAGAAGAACTAGACGTCTGGATGTTCTCGCAGCATGTGGACGGTGAGTGCAACGCCTCTATTTTGAAATATTATCCATCAACTGACGTGGTTTGCAGCTATGACGGCCTAATTTCCCAATGCTCGCCTCCAAAGCCTAAGGCTGATCCCATCCGTGCATTTGCTGTGCAAATAGCTCTCGAAAAAATTACAGTTGCCTTAGCTGCTTTTCAAAGTACTTCAGTCAAGGCTTTAGTGAAGGAACAGCGGTCGTTTGGCTTCTGGAGTCCGCGGCGTTGTGATGTGTACATTGTGTCATATCAACCGGGATACCTGCAAGACAGGCTTGAGACGGCCGCAATGTTATGGCAGCATAATATCAGTGCTGATGTGATGTATGATGCCAATCTGGTCGATGTCGAGCACGAAAGTCACGTTGAGCTCTGTTCGCGAGAAGGAATACTGTAAGTGAATATTAACCATATGCTTCTCAGCGAATGGTATGGAATTTAACTGCGTTATAGGTTTGCAGTTTATCCTCGTCCACGAACTGCTCGTCGAGATCACCCTGCTTTTAAAGTGAAAAGTATATTGAAAGGGACCGAATATGAAGGTGACTGAGTTTCTCCTCCACCTACCCATTTACTGATTGATATTGTAGTCTCTCGCGCGGAGCTAGTTAGCTGGCTCCAGCATGAAATACTAGAGCAAAAGCGGGTTGACTCTTCTACGTCTGGTGCTTTGATTACTCCTGATGCCACCTCTGGAGTGCTAGCGAGCAAGGATGTATCACTTCCTCCGGCTGTGCAACTAATCCTACCTGGTGACACAAAAAAACAACGCAAGCAAGTTAAACAAATATTCCTTGATAGAGGTCAGTGCATCAGTACACCTACATATGGATAAGAATGGTGACATTTAACTTATACATACACACATTAGCTTACGAAAAAGCCACTCAGCTCAAGGTTGCTGTCCATAATGGTATACCTATGCTTGTCATTGATGTTCCAACCGCAACTGTGGATAGCCTGGTCAAGAGCTCTTCTTGGATCACCGATGAAGAAGCGTGGAGAAGTATTGCAGCATCTGTGCCAAGTCTGCACAGTGCTTATGCTCACCAAGTCAGAGAAGCCGCTGCCAAACGTAAAGCTGAAGGCCATTCTTTCCTACTTTTGTATGCTGTGCGGGAGGACCGTTGTCAGCTTATGAATCTCAATTAAATAATCTGGATTGTTTCCATATCGTACGTGTTATTCACTGTTATATTTGTCTTTTCACTTATTCTTGGGATGGCCTTGCACCATCAATCTGAACGTTACCACACAGATGGTCGCTTTAGATTTGGTATTTTATGAAAACACATGGAAGGGTTTTCGACACTGCATTATATGTATCACGGTTGAATATGCACAGCTGGAACGAATGACTTTGAATGCACTTATATTCCCTGAAAAAAATTGCACCATCGCATACCATGATATACATATACTAAGTCAACCTGGCATCAACTCTTAGGCCACATGTATCTGTACGAATATCTGGTATTACCCGCTCCACTGTTGCCCAGACGCTTTCATAGTTTTCCTCTCTTTCCCCTTCCTGTACATCTCTTTATCCACTGCTTTTTGTCCGAGTGTCTCAACTCTTTTTTTCTTCCACTGGCTTCGATCCCGTAGGCGCTTCTGCGATCCCGAGCGATCGTGGCCACTCTCGCCGTCGTCGTCACTTTCCGCGTCTTCGCCGAGAGGCATGTCTTCCCATTCCTCCTCACCTTTTTCTGATTGCTCCCTTCTTCTCTTCTTTCCAGACTCCCCCTTTCCACCACCAATATTGACGTTCACTCTGGGTGGCACAGACAATCCAAATGCCTTTGAAACCTTCGCCAAATCAAGCGCATTGATGTCATAGATGTTTTTCAAAGAATAAGACGCATATGATTGAAGATACGAGCGGAAAGCATCTCGCGCTGACTGGTGCAAGAAATAGTTCTTTTGAAGTAGCTTTTCGAGCTATCACATTACTTCAGAAAACTTCATGATTAATGAAAATAAAATAAAAATTTACCTGACTCTGCACGTTGGCGATTCGGTCAGATGGGAAAGTGAACTCATTAAGCGGGACCTTGGCTTCTTTCAGGTATCTTAAAAACCCAAGTTCACTCTCGAGCAAGAAGAGAAGACTCTTGCCAACCTTCCCTGCACGCGCCGTGCGACCTACACGATGTATATAATCACGAGGATCATCTGGTGGGTCAAACTGTATTATCCAGTCAACGCGGGGAATGTCGAGGCCTCGCGCGGCAACGTCTGTACAAAGGAGGATACCGGATTTTGCGTTGATGAACTCGAAGAAGGTATTTGTACGCTTTTGTTGTTTTTGTTTACCCTGCTTTGATATAAGTATCTAGAGCTAAGCTATGTGGGCAGGACGTACATGTAGATCGAGAACGGGGACATCGATGTAATTGAGTAGCTCTGCATGGTATTTCACCGAATTACAGCTCGAGAAGAATACGATGACCTTTTTGCTTAGATTTTTTCTAAGGAAAGTGAACAGGAGAAGGAACCGGCGATCTGAGGGGCAGACAACATAGCCTTGGGAAAGAGTCGATACTGTGCTTGTTTCTTCTTCCTTGTCGACATCGATGTGCAGGGGCCCAGGCCGTAATGATATTCGAGCGAGATCCTGTACTTTTGTAGTTTGTGTTGCTGAAAAGAGCATGGATTGTCGATTGTCTATAAACCAACAATCAATACGATAATTCACAAGATGTAGATCATGCTAACCGTTTGGTAATATTGTCATTATCTTTTTCATCTCTTCCTCGAAACCAATCTCCAGTATTCGGTCGGCCTCGTCGATCACGAGCGCTTTTAGATTCCGGAAAACAAAACCCGGGGTATTCTATATCAAATCAGCAACGACTCGTCGAAGTGGCGCTCCAGACTTTAAGAGAGTACCTGAAGATGGTCCAGTAATCTTCCGGGGGTAGCCACAAGCAAGTTGACGCCTTTCACCAGTTTTTCACGTTCTGCCCTAATGTTTGCACCACCAATGACGATCCCAAAGGTTTGCGAGTGATGAGCCATCAAGTCTTTTGCAACGCCGAATATCTGAAGCGCAAGTTCTCTCGTAGGCGAGACGATAATGATACCGGTTCCTTTCAGATATGCCAGCTCGTTTAAGATTCCCGGCGAGAGGAGTGAAATATACGGGAAAATATTACATACCATTTCTTGGCTTGAATTTCAGCCGATGCAACAGCTCTACAGCGGGTAAAAGAAAGGCAAGGGTCTTTCCTGATCCCGTTCGTGCAGCACCCAATACATCCTTTCCTGCCAGAAGAGGTGGAATAGATTTTGCTTGTACTGGTGTCATGGTGCTGAAACCCATGTCTTCGAGTGCTTTATTTGTTGGTTCCGACAGATCAAGGTTAGAAAATGGCTCTCTGCCTTTAACGCTTGGTCCTGGTATCGCAGACGGTGCCGTATCTTCCATTGCGTCGGCCATGGCGCTTCCAGGCTGAACGAGGATGATATGATACTGTTAGTAAGGACTGCCAGTGGCGGCCAGAGAAAAAAGTAAAGATGCTGACTAAGCCCACCAAATCGACATGTGCCGCCGGCTTTGGTTTCTCTACACGTATACTCAGAGCATGTACGGGAATAAAAATTACCAAAACCATGGCTATGATTTTTGATGCGCCGAGTGGCTGACGGAGTGTGCCGAATGTGCATGGGGTGAAGGGCACATGCCTCGAGGAGATGGGAGTAAAGATAGCTACTAGTCATCGTGCAAAACAGCTGCATCAATGGCGCAAAGAACCTCCCCAAGACACTCTAAGGTCACTCAACGATACCCTCTGTGTTCCCTAAGGATGTCTGGCCTCAATAAACCTACAGATACAACCACAACCACTTCACAGAAGAAAAAGAAGGCACCGAAGTGCATCTGGACAGAAAGCGACACCAAAAAATTGGTTGAACTTGCTGAGGAGCATGTTGGCCTGCTTGGAGAGGGTGGGGGGTATAAGCCTCAGTTCTATAACCTGGCTGAGGGCATTCTGGCTCCTTATCAACAAAAGGAGCCACCAAAACAGCCGACTCAATCCGTAACAAATGGTTCAGCATTAGTAGTAGAAGTACATTTTAAAGCTTCATTGCTAACTGCTATTTTAGCTAAAGAAGGAGCTTAGTTGCGTAGATCAGTTGATGAACGCTTCCGGGCTTGGATTTGATGTACAATGTGGACTGAAGATTACTGATGGCACGTTTGGGATGCTTTCCTCAAAGTTGTCAGGCAACAAATACGAAGCTATATAACAAGCCCAATGTCTGGTCAAGTCCTTCCTGGAAGGCGGTGAATCAGAGTATGAGAATGAAGAGTATCAGTAAGAGCACAAATCCAAACTAATATTGAACTAGAGAACAATACATCGAGTATATACTTCTCTATATAGTGAACGGCGATGGTCAGACCGAGAAAGGGAAATACTGAGAAAGTGGTCTGACCAGCTAGCTAACCAATAAGAAAAAAGGAGAACATGGTCCGATCTATTGTATCTACTAATCGTATGAGAAAACGTATTGGTAAGGGATATACAATTGGCTGTATCAGTAAGCCCATGAGAATGCGCTGACTCACAACCTTCTTTGCTTATCAATATCACTCTGAAATATTCCCAGACATAGCACTGGATTGTGGCTATGTCATCTGGATATCTTCTCGAGGATTGACAACAAGTCTACCTTGTTGTAGGTACGATAGAACGTGAGTGTGAAGAGAGAATAAGAAGAAAAACGATAAAAGTAATAAGACACCTGCTGTAATCTCTAGTCCAAGGGCAAGAGGAGTGACGGGGATTGAGTCTGCTAACCACGACATGACGGGAATGCGATAAGAAAAATCGATTTCTCACAAAAGTGAGCATCTTTATCCTTAGCAGGTATGGGACGGGCTTACCTTTTTCTTTGCAGAGCAAGTCGAAAGATGTTTAGTCAACCTACAACCGGTTAGCTTTGGATGGGTGGAGGTGGTATGACTCGATCACAGCTATTCTACCAAGCCGGGCAAAAGGGACTCACATTTTCCGTGCATCTCAAGCACAATTTGCAAAGATCAGTTCAGCAAGTAAAGATAGGATGGATGTGGATGCTGGAGGCAATGATGGAGGGGAGGATGGAGAGGATGAGGATGGAGAGGACGAAGGTGATGAAGAGGGTGCAGAAAGAGAGGCAATTGAAAGAGAGGCGGTTATTAGCGCCAGAAAAGACAAGGCAAAGAGTGGGAGTGAATCCGGCACCTTGTATGTGTCATCTATCCACTCCAAACCTACTAGCGCATCTGTCAGCATCACGTCCTCCGGAAAACGCAAGTATTCGGCTGTTGATAGTACCTCTGTAATCTCTGCCACCCCAAGCAAAGCCCCACGTTCTTCTGGCGCCGCTGCAATTAATGGTGTGAAGGAACAGATGCAGAGGATGGCGGATAACAAGGAACAGCGCGATACCAAGTGCAATGACTTCAGGTACCGGTTTCTGAACATTGTAGAGAGTGCTTTCACTGGCAGTGTATCTGGTGGTGGATCTTCAAACATTGCTTTGTCTTTGTCTTCTCAACACGTTGAGCCTTTGAACACAAGGAGTCAGGCCATTAGAATGGCTGGGCAGATCAAGACACGGCTCAATGACGAGCAAAAAATTGCATTCATTGATATGCTCCGTGCAGATAATGTGCTGATAGGTGATTACCTCAATATGGCCACACAGGACAAAAATCCTCGCATAATGTGGGTGGATAAGCTGTTGAAGGACTTTGCTGCGTTTCCGTCCAACTAGGTCTGTTGTTGTCTGTTGTTGTCTTCATTTTTTGTTATAACTTGCTGTATCCCTGCTCAAATGTAAACTATATACGTTGATGTGGAAATAGAATCAATTTTGCTGTGAACTTATGAGAAAACAAATGAATACCAGCACCCTAGCTACTCTGTAAATAATTGGCCTCTTATCCTCAGCTCTCGACGATACAATGCCCACATCCTCTCTGCAATCTGATTACAATGTGAATTGGCTCCAAGCCGGTCTGGCTCAGTTGTTGGCCCTTCTGCGAGGGAGCCAGTGCTCTCCAGGGTTGAGGTAGTACTTGCTTCGGGGAACGTATTGATATCTTCAGGATCATGAGTTCGGATGTAGTTGTGTACCATGCAAAGCGCTGATGGTACACGGGCTTGAATGTCCATATCAAATTTGGGGGGGCAGACAAGGATTCAAAAGCGGCGCTTGAAAATTCCGAAGATTCACTTGATGCAGCAGCGAGCTTGAGCATGCCGCAAATTGAAGAGCTCTTCCTTGCTCTTTGGCCTAGTTATAATGTTAGAATAGCTAGACATATCACGAATAGACTCACCTAAGTCCAACACGGCCCCATTCAGCCAAATGATAATGTTCCCCTTGATAAGGAACAAGAAGTTCAGGGCAAGACCCAAAACCAGTGTCCGCCAGGTAATATTTACCTGGGGGGACATGTAGATCATGCTGCTGAGCATCATTGTATATGGCTGCATCGGCAGCAGAGCCCTCCAACCCTGTAAGCATGTAGAGAAACCGTAAATCAAAGGAGCAGCATGCCAGACAATTCTGGGTGACTGCTCCCTTGCGGTTTCTTGACAGATGGCGCTCAGACAACTTTGGGGCACATGCAATGTGCATACCATCAATGGTGCTGATAGCACCTGAAAAAAATGGAAATAGCTTTGGGTTGTTTTGAATTTCGGGTGGAATGGAATCATTGGCGGAGGGTAAGTGTACATAGTCGGTGTATATAGGTGCTGATGAAAATGCGAATAAAATCTCCTTGAAATACCTGTAAAATGGTGAAAAGCTGGTGCATTAGTAGATAAAACTTTACTCACTTTGAAAGGGTGTCATTTGCATGCTGGAAACGCTCGCCAACATGCTTGAGAGTAAGCCCTGTGACGCACATATACAGGAAGACACCCAGCTTCTCCTGTAAGGTGACATATTTGGAATTGGTATGGCCTGCTTGCTGTGAGGCAACGACAAACTATAACAAAAACAAAACCTGTCTCCTTCTGCACTTGCAGGGAGTAAGAGGTTCAATAGCCTTGTGATCGACAGATGCTAGTGAATATAGCAAGTAGAGGATGTGAGAGCAGACTCAGAGGTTTCTGATAAGAGGTAAGGCGGATAATTCAAGTAATAGAAAACTAAAAAGCTATACATGAGATGTGTAGGGTTTATATAGCTAATTATCTGTTCCTGAGACCAAAAAGAGAATAAACAAAAAGTGGTCTGAGCAATAAATCGTCCAATGAGAAAAAGGGACAACTATCGTACGACTTTGAATGATTAATCAGCGGGTGAGAGAGTTGTACTAATAATAGGTGTTTGTCACACATGTTCAGGAACCGTATCCTCATGATGAGGTACGATCCTGACTAAAGCGTTTATTAGTATATCCAGGCCTTGATGGGGCTTGGAGCTGGTTGGCGAGATGCCTACTACCAGCCCCTACCCATTGTGCTGGCTGGCTGGGAGTGATACCCAGTCTCTGATCTGCGATATAAAGTGGTAGCAATGATTGAGAAAGCCTGTGAGGGCTATGAGAAGTAGAATAGCAAATGATACCTCTAGCCCTAGAGCCAGAGGTGTTCAAAAACCAAGACATGGAGAAAATAATAAATGGTCCTTACACCCGCCTCAACACCCTGATCAGCCCTTCAAATACATGCTTATTTACACCTAGCTCGCTTTTGATCCTACCCGGATGTCCATTGATCAGCTCTTGGATCCAGCCTTGGCCTGACAGCACAGAAGTGTGGTATGGTGTCTTGTTGTACAGCAATTGAGAGTATGACACAATTGATTCGGAGGCGGAGAGTACAGCATGGTCTTCTTCGTCATCATCATCCATTGAGTCCTCATCATCCGGCACCAGATACTCCAGTAGCATGAGACGGAGAGCTTTATCATCCATTGCAATATCTCACCCAGGCAAGTGACAATACTACTTCCCTGTTTGGATGCCGAATCCCGTTATCAAGGTTAGAGCTCCGACTTAACAGGACAGCCACCATAGTTACGGGCGGTAATTTTGGGCGCCCAAACCACATCGATGTTCCCGTACATGCTCTCACACTACGAGCATTCCCCGAAATCATTCGGTGCGACATACCAAAAGCACAGCGCTGACTGAAAGCCTACTATGGCTATGCTCCGGACCATAATTGGGAGTGAAAAGGTAAACAATGGGTCTAATATTGCATAACTATTCCTTTATGGAATGAGCCAAACCATCCCGTTCTAGGATATGGCCGTAACATCATAATCACAGTAAGCCTATTCTTTGACTGTTGCAGATAATTTTGGCTGTTCCAGAGCTGCCACTTATCTTTCCCTTTGTGTGACAGGGAAATGCAATCCCACAAAGACTAGCAGTGAAGAATAGATAAAGACCAAACATGTATATTTTTACCTTTTGATTCTTTGTTCAATCTTGGAGCACACCGGTGAAAGTTTTCCATTTGCATCTCTGGTGTTAGACTGTTGCAACTTGCTATTTTGGCAATTGCTCGTAGTGTCAAGTCGTATGCATGAAATACTACATGTGGGATACGTATCAAGGATCTATGAAGAACGGTGAAGAGTTACTGGAGACTACCCGGGGTGATGATAGTTGGTGGAATACCGTGATGTAAGGAGAGCGAAGGTAGTGAAGGTGGAAGTACACATGGTGTTTCTCTTATAACAAATACTTGACTAGTCGAAGTCGACCTACTCATTATTAGCATCTGCAAAGGCCCCTTTCAACACTATTACTAGGTGAGTTATCTGGACCATGGGGAATACATCTCTTGAATTCTCGTAGGTTTGCCGCTTCGCATACAGTCTTCTGTCTGTGGACACTGTAGCGTTGATGACGGTGCTGCCTGTCCAAGGTTGTAGCCGTCATCTATTTGCTCCCCAAGCACTGTTTCGTGTAGCGTCGTGAGTGTAGTCGGGTCTACGTAAGACTTTACGGCCAGAGTCATCTTGCAAACCTTTCGGTCGCGCCAACCAGATATAATCAGCCATAATTCCGTGGCGCTACTGGAAAATGACAACATGTCCTTTTTTCAGTTCTGTCAATAAAGAAAACTCAGAGGCTTTGTCCTCCTTGCATCAGGTAGTGTTGTCCTGTCCATGAGTCAGGCATATGGTTCTTTGCACAACCACATTACCTTCTAGGCTAAATGAGTAATTCGATATCTGAATAGCGGTTGCTGCTTGTTGTGCTGTACTGCAAAAGAGAAGAGAAGGTCGTCTAAAAGTATTGGTGGAGATATAGTCATTGCTCCCAGCAGATTCAGAAGGTGATGCTGTTTAAATTTATTTCATTTTAGTCCTAGCACTGATCATTAACCCATATTTCGCCTGTTCTGTGTATGAGCGAATATCTCTTTGTTATAGACGTTCACGCCATGGGAATTTCAATCGCTAGCTGATTCACAAGAACGACAAGCAACAGGACTAAGCTTTAAAATTACAGTGAAACCTCCGGCACAAGGCCACCCTTTGATATAACTCGTTCTAGGGAAGTGTGTGATCTCAAGGTATCCCTTTAGCTCTCTTGTAATTTACTTGGTCGCATGTTCGTCCAGCGGACACTTGAGTCTTCAAGCTTATGCGAACCTAGTAATCCTCTCTTACCTTCGACGATCTGTGCAATCGACAGGTGCTGATGATGGGAATTACGGTCTACTGGCGCAAGGTTGGTAAACTTCAGAGGCTCCAGGGCCTATGCTGATGAAGCGCGTGCAGTGTACACTAAACGTTGATGTGTAGTATCTTGATGGTTATTGTATTGAGTGGCCGCTTTATTCGCACAATACGACTCCATCGGTCAGTCCTCTCAGGTGAGGAAGGTCTCTATTCTAATTCTGAAATGTGATTGGATTCGGTCCCCAGTCCCTTTCGTCGCGATAAGCCAGAATCAAAATTTAGTTAGAGGGGCGGCATTGTTCAAACGACTCCTTGTACCTGTCTGTACTTCATTTGCCACTTATCTTGCCCCGCTTTTAGTAAGTTTTATTTCCCAAGTCTCTTCTCTTTGCCGATGCTGGCGACTAAGCGGAATACGTTTCTCAGGCCTCTATGCGATGGCTTCCTTGGACAAATTACTACATCCTCACTCGACCGGATGCCAATCGGATGCATATGACATCGGACACTTTTGTAAAGATTGGTATCTTCCTAACTCTGCTACACAAAGCATACCATATAGATACCAATTGACTAGTGACTACCTTACATTCCCTTTCTCTTCAACCAAAGTCACCGATCGACATCATGTCTCAACTGCTGCCAACGCTCAACTGGACAGCTGGTTTTTGTGCAGCTGTGCTACTCGGCATTCTGGCGTATAGGAGGAGCTCAACTTCAAACAGTAGCATCCCGCTTCCTCCTGGACCCCCTCGTCAATGGTTAGGGGGCACTAAGAATCCTAAATCTACCAAGTGAGTTCTCTACCACAGCCGCTGGTGACGCTCATTGGTCTCCCTAGTGTCGCCTTCTTATTTTCCAAATTGGTTGATGAATACGGCCCTGTAGTTTCAATCAAGCAGGGGCGCAAAGTCGCCATTATCATCGGCAGACATGACGTAAGACCCTATCGAGCATCTGCAGAACCGTGACGACCATATTGCTCACACTTCTCTACTTCACGCCTTTAGGCTGCAAACGAGATCATGGAGAAGGAGGGCGGAGCATTGGTAGATCGACCACGTTTGGTTGCCGCTGATGAGATAGTGTCCAAGGGCATGAGACTCGTTCTTGCACGGTCTGGTGACCGGTTCCGGAGGCTGCGAAGGTATGTCAGAGTTTGTTCCCTATGAACGCCATAACTGTAAAGTAACCCACAGAGCTGCCCATACGCACCTGCAGACGAAGGCAGCAGAGACATACGAACCACTTCAAATGCACAATGCGAAGAATGTAATTTTGGATATCCTCGACGACCCTAAGCAACACATCATGCATGCGAGACGGTACACTTTGGCTTTGTGTCCTGGTTTCTCTTGGTATTGACTACATATATTTTCAGTTATGCAACGTCGGTGATATTGAGAGTCACTTATGGGAAAACGGCGCCAACAGGCATTACGGACCCCGATATGATCTCAATCATGGAAGCGGTGGGGCGTTTCCAAATCGTCATGCGCCCTGGCAGCTTTCTCGTCGATCGGTTTCCTTTCTTGAAATATGTACCGGGATATGGACGTGATTTGGAGAGGCGGTACAAAGAAGACCTAAAGCTCTACTCTGGTCACATGGATCGAGTAAAGAAGAATATGGCAAGTACAATCATGCCTTAGTCTACGCTTCCAGCTTACTCAGACCTGGTATAGGCCGATGGAAAAGCAGAAGCGTGTTTCATGAGATACCTCATAGAACACGCTGAAAAGCATCAACTTTCGAATGACGAAATGGCATTTCTTGGCGGAACGTTTTACGCTGCTGGCTCAGACACAGTGAGCCCTCCTATTTTGTTATCACACATGTGCAATATGGTAGCTCTTGTTCTTCTTGACCAGACCGCTGCTGCCATTGCAAATATGATCATGGCTGCTGCTCTTCATCCCGAAGAACAAGCCAAAATTCAAGATGAACTTGACATGATCGTGGGCAGTGATAGGGGTGAGCATTGGATTTAATCACACCTGAGTATGTTAATAAATGAGGTGCTTGTGTAGTACCAACATTTGCCGACCACGATATGCTCCCCCAACTGCAGGCATTTGTGTTAGAAACGTTGCGATGGAGGCCCATCACCCACTTAGGCATATCCCAATACACAGTTCAATAAGGTTCATTCACTAACAAGACGTTTTTTTTTGTACCATTAGGTTTCGCACACCGCGCTACAAGCGACATTATATGGGCAAGTGCAATCTCGAAATAGGTATAAAGCGGCCGGTAATAAAACCTTGTTCATTTCTCCAGAAAGGTTACCGCATTCCGGCGGGAGCAACAGTATATGGTGTTCATTGGTGAGTACTGTCATACCCTGCACTCATTACACTTAATCTGACAAATACTGGTAACAGGGCCATAACACGCGATCCCGTCGTTTTTCCCGACCCTGAAAGATTCAATCCTCAGCGGTGGTTCGATAGCGAAGGGAAATTACGAACAGACATAAAGGCCTTTACATTTGGATTTGGGCGACGGTGAGTTGATCCCTCCTTCAATGGTGTATGAAGTGTAGTTTACTCATGGAAGATCATGTTGTACAGTGCTTGTCCTGGTAACCATGTAGCAAACAGGTACGTTTTTGCCTAGAGGAGTTTTCCCCACTAATTAACGCAATTAACTTCATGAATCCTTCTAGGTCCATATATATCAATGCTGCATTGCTTCTCTGGTCATTCCGTTTCTCGCAGAACCCTTTGGCTCCTATTGACTCAATGGCCTTTGAGGATAGCATTGTCGCGCATCCTCGGCCTTTTGATGTCAATTTTGAGCCCAGGAAGGAGGAAAAAGTGCTGAGGCAGATGATGGAGGACTATGCAAAAGAGTAAGAGAATGGGTGTAAACATTGCATTTTTTGTACAACACATAAATCGAGCAAAGTGGATAATTTGATTAGGCGAGGCTATTTAATACGATTCCAACAGTGGCATCTGATAAATTGCAAAGAGCCACTTGGTTGATATTCATTACTAAAGTGGGGCTCTAGCTACCCAGAAGTCTGACCCGACAGCAGAATTTGTAACTTACTATTAGCCCTAGGCTCTGGCTGTTGGTTAAGTGAGAAAAGATTCTATTCTAATCCATGCTGATTCAGTTTCGATGGGATTCGCCCTCCAGCCCCTTTTGTTGTGATTATCAAATGCATTTGGAGGTACCTTATCTAACCGTTCCTTTTCTTTCCTTCGTAAGTGTTATTTGCCCAGACTAAGCTTCTCAGATCTCAGGCCTCCGTGCGATGGCTTCCCCAGACAAATCAGCATCACTACACGTGCACTCGACCGGATGCGAATCGGATATATGACATCGCACATTTTTGTAAAATTCGATGGTATCTTCTCTACATAAAGAGCCCATAAAAACTGTACCAATGTCAGTTAACTGCCTTACACGGTACTCAGCAACTCTGTTCAGACATTAATCACGGATCGACATCATGTCTCAACCGTTACCAATGCTCAATTGGACAACTGGTTTTTGTGCAGCTGTTCTGCTCGGCATTCTAGCGTGCAGGAGACGGCTTGCTACAAATAGTAGCCTCCCACTCCCTCCTGGACCCCCTAGCCATTGGTTTTGGGGCACTAAGATTCCAAAATCTGCCAAGTAAGTTTTCTACCCTAGCGACTAGTAATCACGCTCATTGGCCTTTCTAGCGTCGCCTTCCTATTTTCCAAATTGGTTGACGAATACGGCCCTGTAGTTTCAATCAAGCAGGGGCGCAAAGTCGCCATTATCATCGGCAGACATGACGTAAGACCCTATCGAGCATCTGCAGAACAGAACAAATTGCTCACACTCCTCACTACACGCCTTAGGCTGCAAACGAGATCATGGAGAAGGAAGGTGGAGCACTGGTGGGTCGACCACGCTTAGTTGCCGCTGGAGAGATTGTGTCCAAGGACATGAGGCTCCTTCTTTCACAGTCTGGTGATCAGTTCCGGAGGCTGCGAAGGTATGTCTGAATTTGTTCTGTATAAATGCTACAGTCGTAATGTTACTCGCAGAGCTGCCCATACGCACTTGCAGGCGAAGGCTGCAGAGACATACGAACCACTTCAAATGTTCAACGCCAAGAATGTAATTTTGGATATCCTCGACGACCCTAAAGAACATATCATGCATGCGAGACGGTACGTTTTGGAATTTGTCCTGGTTTCTTTTAGTATTAATCGTGTACACTTCAAGTTATGCTACGTCAGTGATATTGAGGGTCACTTATGGGAAAACGACGCCAACAGCCGTGACAGACCCTGAGATGGTCGCAATCCTTAAAGTAGTGGACCATTTTCAAACAGTCATGCGCCCAGGTAACTTTCTCGTCGATCGGTTCCCACTCTTGAAGTATATACCGGGATATGGCCGCATCCTGGAGAAGTGGCACCAGGAAGAATTGGCGCTGTTCCATGACCATATGGATCGAGTAAAGAGGAACATGGTGGGTTTAGTCATGTGTTATATCGCGGGTCCGAGTTTTCTCAGACTTAGTGCAGGCAGAGGGCAAGGCAGAAGCGTGTTTCATGAGATACATGCTGGAAAATGCTGAAAAGCATCAACTTTCCGAAGACGAGATGGCATATCTGGGTGGGGCTTTCTATGGTGCTGGCTCAGACACAGTGAGTTCTACAGTTTCGTCATCGTCATCAGACATATGTTATAATCTGTGTCCAGAGTGCTGTTGCCATCATGAATATGATTATGGCTGCTACCCTTCATCCCGAAGCGCAAACCAAAATTCAGGAAGAACTTGACTTGATTGTGGGGCGTGATAGAGGTGAATTTCATGTTAAATTCACAAGTATGGCAAAGACTAAAATAATTGCATAGTGCCGATATTCGCCGACCACGATATGCTTCCTCAACTTCAGGCATTCATATTGGAAACTTTGCGATGGAGGCCTATCACGCCATTAGGCAAGTACCGATACAGAGTTCAATGTGGGTTTAATTATTGAACTAAACTTTTTTTGTACAGGTTTCGCTCACCGAGCCACAAGTGATATTATCTGGGTAAGCAATGTCTTTGGAGTTGGAGTTTAAGGTTTGGAATTAATATATGGTTCGCCTCTCCAGAGAGGATATCGCATTCCGGCTGGAGCAACCGTTTATGGTGTTCATTGGTGAGTACCATCATGCCTTACACTCACTGCACATGATCTAACGGGTATCCATACCAGGGCTATTACACGCGACCCCGTCGTCTTCCCTGACCCTGAAAAGTTCAATCCTGCGCGATGGTTCGACAGTGAAGGGAAGATACGAACTGACATCAAGTCATTTACATTTGGCTTCGGACGACGGTGCGTTTTCTTTCCTCCCACCTTACATTGGAGTGTCCACTCATGAGGTCCATACTAAATAGCTCTTGTCCCGGCCATCATGTAGCGAATAGGTATGCTTTCTGGTCTTTTGGAATTGTCATTCTTCGACTTATTCAACTTTGTGAACCCTCTTAGGTCTATATACATTAACGCCGCATTGATCTTCTGGTCATTCCGCCTGTCGCAAAACCCTATGGCTCCTATCGACCCAACGGCTTTTGAAGATGGCATGATCGCGCATCCTAGGCCTTTTGATGTGAAGTTTGAGCCCAGGACGGAGGAAAAGGTGCTCAGGCAGATGATGGAGAATTATGCTAAAGAGTAAGGGTACGGGGTGTATATTATGCAGACACATTACATTGTATCAACGTTTCAAACCTACCACTGTTAAATTTCACTTTTTTTTTTTTTTTGTATAGTACATAAATCGAGTCAAAAAAATCATGTTTCGAAAGTTTGGTTGGGCAAGGCTAGTCCAGCGCAAGTCCCTAGTGGGATCTAAATACCTCAGACGTTTATATCCAAGCGGAACAGTTCAAAGGCAGAAGTAGTCGGACTCTTCACTCCTATTTTCGTAGTTAGATCTTAAGCTCGTTTCTACCTAATTTGTTTACTCGATCTTTCAAGTAATTTATGTTCAATTATTCGAAAATGAGGGTATGCGAAAACATTGCATTGGTATATCAAGTCTACAACGGTTACAGTTCACATTTTGTATAGTACATAAATTGTATATACCAAAACACGACTCAGATGCAAGTTGTGAGTTTGTAATAAATAATTTTTTTTAATGTTCATAAAAGTACTCATGACGAGCTCCAGCTGGTGGCAGTGTCTTGGAGGCCATCAGGGTTCTGAGCAGCCTTGATAACACCGGCGTCTGCGACGCTCAATTCAGTCACCACGCCGACGGTCGAGAGAGCATAGACGTTCATGCTAGAAGCAGAGGCAGAATCCATGTTAAAGATCTGGTCCTGGCAGTTGGTGGTGTTGAGACAATCCTGCACGTAGTTTTCGTAGAAGCTGTAGAATCCTGCACCGAACAGGGTGATATCTGAAGACGACTGAACATACATGCCCCAAGCCGAAGTTTGCGAGCTGGAGAAAGACGGGTCACTGTACGCGCTGTCGGTCGAGAATGGAGCAGGGGCGGCGGGGGAGGGTTGGTAGTATGGCTGTAGTTTTCTCTTATCAGCATGCAAGTGGATAAAGTATGAGAATGCTACGGACCGATTCTGTCTGAGCAAACCCGATCCAGTGGTTCTTAGCACCGGCGAGATTGTATTGGTAGAGAGAAGAGTGCTCGGATGCTGGATGAAATTGGACGTTATATAGTCGCACTGAACCTGCTTCTGGAAAGTTGCGGCTTACCTGTTCCAATGAACCAGACAGGACCAGCAGACTCCGACAAAATACCACGGCCAGTGAATACAGAGGTCTGAGGAGAACCAGTTGCGTCGAGATCGTGGTCAGCGGTCCACACCCAGGTACCCTGAAACATAACACTTTAGAGCTTTCTCTCATGAAAGATAAGAAATGGTTTACCAACCTCGAAGTAAGCAGTAGACGAGTTGGTGAGGTGAATACCCATGAAGGCAGCCTGGCAGGCAGCATTCACGGTTCCGTTGAGGCACTGTCCGGATTGCATGTTGGTGCCAACAGCTGCGCAAATAAAAATTGGTTGAGTTATGATAGCGTTCGAAAATTCATCTATGAAAACTGACCTCCTCCAAGTCTATTTGTAGCGGGGCATACATCAGTTATTGCGATACATAACAGATTAAAAATTTAGAAAATACCTGAGATGAGTGTCCCATAGACCGGCGGCACCTTGTTGACCTGATGGGTCAGCTACGTTCCACTCGAGCATGATGGCACCAGGGGCTATGTGTGCGACGTCAGTGCATCTGACGAGAACATAATTGACATTACTCACATGGTCCAGCAGTGGACAGAAGCATGTCGGTAATTTCAAGGACACCACTCGAGCCCGAAGCTCCAGCCTGAACGACAACCTTGGGGGTGGTCTGGTCTGCGAATCCAGTTCCGCCTGCGAGGATCACAGACCAGGCTTCACCGACGACCTGAGAACCAGCAGGGATCGAAATAGTGTCGGTGACATAGTAAGCACCAGCATCGAAGAAGATGATCTTGCAGCCAGCGTACTAAGAATAATACTTCAGCAAATACTTCGTAACGCAAGATAACTTAGACAACCCACCTGGTCGAAGACGGCTTGGATAGCAGCTGTGTCATCGGTCTTTCCATCACCCTTGGCTCCTGAAGATTTCACACTGACGAATTGAGAGGTAGCGTACTCGGCATATTGAGGATGTGTCTTTCCGAACACCTTTCCTGTGCTATCAAGCAAAGCAGAAGGCTTGGTGGAAGAAGCGATGGTTCCCTGAGTGAAAGTGGAAGTTCCGCTGGTTCCAGTATAGACATCACCCTGTCCCCAGGAGGCGATGGTAGTGGTTCCACCGGCTAAGACATCAGCTCCACCAACGACACCAACCGCAGTGGTCACGTTGTTGAGCTGAATATTGTTCAAAACGAGCGAACCAGCGAGTTTTCCGTCGCTTGAATTTGAAGAGCGCAAGAAGATGGGGGTGTTGTTGATTACCGCGTCAACGATAGCTTGAGAGCCCACGGTCTTTTGTGCGACTATCAGTGCATGAAGGAAATTGGAAAGTAAATCCCATTACCTGGGTGTCTTCAGTCACTCCGCCAGTAGTCAAGTCGAAACCAATCTGACAGTCGTTGATCGTAACTCCCTGCCATGTCCATCCTGAAATATACATTAGTTCCTTCTCTCATGATTCGTCGTTAAAATGCTTACCCCAGTTCCAGATACCAAATACAGCTGCAATTAAGATAGCGCTCAGTTGATGTTTGCTTCCTTGGATCATGTTACATACCAGTTTGTGCATTGTTTATGGTCAAGTTGCGAACAGTGAATTGTTGGTTACCGACATTGATACCGTAGTTACCTTGAAAATAACTTAGATGTGGTAACACAAGAAGATATCAGATGGTATTACCTCCGTTGAAGACAAGGTCTAATGGTAAGAGGTTAGTAGTTGCTTCACTGACCGAGACTTGGAACACAACGAACCTCCCATGAAACCACCACTGCAGAATGAAGGGTGCTATGTAAGCATTTACTTCAGATACAAATTTGAACTGGCTGTACTTACGATCCGTTCTCCATAAACATGCCTTCGTGGGTGTTGCCTGGAGCGGTAGACATCTCAACCACGATGTTCATCAAGGAGGTCGCTTGCGAGACCTGCCAATGCAAACCGACGGCTGGGGCAGAAGCGGGCATTTGTCGGAGATCGATGACGAGGTTACGAATAGACCGGTAGCTACGAGTCCCCAGCGTTGAGTAATGGAGAATGAACATGGAAGAGAATAATGGGACTTACAAGTTGTCCTGGTTAACGAACCATTGGGCACCGCTACCACCAGGGATGTAAGGATCGGAGTCTTCACGAGATTAATACATTAGATGATCCCTAGTAGCTACCTCATCTAAGAAAGGGACTCTACTCACCAATGACAGCGAAACCGGAGAAGGCTGCGCTTGCAAGGAGCGTGGGGGGGTTCTTGGCGTCACCAATCATTTGGGTATAGTAGTACATATCAATTGCCGAAGAAACAACGTATGTTCTGCACCGTACGAGTTAGCATAGAAAATATGATCAATGAACAACAAAGTACATACCCAGAAGGGAAATAAACGATTGCAGGAGTGAGACTAAGGGGACAGTGAGCGAACTGGCTTGAGTGAATAGAAAATATGGTCTTACGTGGATGATCCGCATGAAGTACTTCCACAGCGGTTGCCAGAGGTCATCGCAGCACTGGACAAAAAACACGTTAATTTCACTCCGACATCAAGCAAAGGGGTATCTCGACTCACTTGATGGCAGCAGTATCATCTGTAACACCATCACCCTTGGCACCGAAGGTCTTGACATTGCGGAAGACTTCGTAGGTGCTAGGGGTAGGGTTGAAAGCAGATGTTCCCTGGTGAGTCATGTTTTCCAGCCAGAACGGGTCTGTGGCCGCTGCTGTTCCTGCTCCCAGCGGAGCAGAACATGATGACCCAAGAGCCGATACGGAAGTGGTCGACCCCAAGATCGTGCTCAGCACGATCAGGACTACGTTCGATAACATGGCAATTCCTAGTGACAGGTAAATCAGAGGAAGTGGGACGGAACCGTTGAGGGACAGCAAGCCCAGACAGGATAGACTTTATACTTCAAGGCAGAAAACATCCGGAAACAATGTTTGGATTCCTGTCCCCATCAAGGAGCAACCGGAAGATCAGCTGGAAGATCGCATGGCGATTGAATTACCGCGTGCTGCACAAGCTTCGGGACCTTGAAGCGTCATTCCCTCACTACAGTATATCCTCCTTTACCGTTGGAACGAATGCTGCGTTGTGCAGAACGAGAGTAGATATGGCTAATTGAGTCTGCGACAGTGTTTCGTTCAGCTTTAGCTACATTATGAAATTCTTTGTTCGGAGGCACTTACTGGTGTCCGATTCCAGAAGGGAATGTAATGAGTCAATTCGGCGAACTAACGCACGAAGAGCTGAGTAGCCTGCGATATGAAACCCGAGTACAGGATCACGAACAAATCCCAATTGATGAGGCGCTTATAATAATAGTTCAGCATCCACGTCCACACTCTAAGGAGTGCAGATTCCCCCATGTGCGAGTAAGAGCGATATTGCTCACCTATCGAAGTAAATCCCATCATGACTAACCGCTAAGATACTATCAGATTTTGAAGACCTCAGAAGGTGAACCAAGGTCTCACCGAACACACGACGCGAGAAGGCGATTAAAGCATGCTGCCACAAGTTCATGTTGGCAACGGCCGTGTTTCGGATAAACCTGCTGCCACGTTGAATTCTGCATAGATTGACCATAAACGATCAGAAGACACTTGGAATATCCGCTTTCCAGCCCGGTATCATCCATTGCAGTCAGAACGTCTTTTTAGGAGTGCAGAAGAAGGTGTTGTAAAAAGGCATGAGTGTTGGAGCTGATTGGAGTACTATGTCCCCTTAGACTTGTACAGTCTCAAGGTCGCTCTGTACTGTCACATCCAGTGTCGGCAAGAGACCTGGAGCTCGCACGGACGGGATATTCGCTGGGTTATCGACCTGTTGCTACCCCATCCCCACATGCTTGTACGATCTTTTATAATTTGGCAAGGGAGCGAGCTCGATCAGGCACGTGTACTTTCGCAGGCACGCACTCGCAAACGTCACCATAATCCATGGCGGACATAAGCATAAGTCTGCAAAATGTGTAAATGAGTATTACTCCCTTCAATGCTCGGAGGACAGCAGCTTTTCCAAAGCTAACGACCTGATGGGACACAGACAACTTGGTCAGGCTTGCACACGCCTGAGGAGCCGCTAATTCTTTTACTCACCTTTTACTGTTTCAACCTGTCCATGCCGCGAGGCTTGAGATCCTCAGAACTCGAGAATGCTCCACCTCTTTGCCTCTCTCCACCAATTTACCACGCCCGCCATTTTGTGCATGCGATGATCGCCATTAATGCTCTCGTCTTATCCCAACACCCCCTAGTGTTAGCTCTTATGACCTGTACATTGCAATCCCCTGCGGCCAGTGATTTTGACGAATCACAAATGAATAAGTAAACACAATCATGCACAATCCCGACACACTAAGGATTAATAATGTCCATTCGTGCCATCGTTGCAATGACGACTCATATGGATTCAGCTGGACGAATGGACGAATGCCGGATGGCCCAGCTCGATTTGGCAGCAAACTTCGGTATTAGCCGTCTGGCGTGCTCGGATCAGACCGACAGACTCGGACTTCCTGCCAGCACAATGGGTAAGCTAAACATCGCTCATCATAAATCATACCATCCGTACAGGCTCGACAACATTGATCGTGTCCGTAAGGATGAGGAAGAAGCTAGAGATAAGGAGGCCAGGGAAGAGGACAGGCTGATGTTGGCGGTATGTACGAACTTCTAACAAATACTCGGGAACCCACTGACAATTGCTCTAACGCTGTCATGCTTGTAGGATTCTGAGGCAAGGATAGAGAAACTACGTGATAGAGCTGGGTTGAAGGACGGTAAACGCAAGGAAAAGGAAGACGATATGGCTATAATATCTGGTGGTTCAAGTTCTGCACAGTCGTCATCGCTTCCTACCTCCAAAGGTCACATTAATTTGTTCGAGGACATTGAATTGGTATTTGTTATCGTATGCTGCCCCTGCGCATCTTGGCTAACATGTCTTGTAGCACGCACAGGTTACCATGACACGGGCCTCCAAGAAGACAGAGGCGCAGCTAGAAGCAGAAAAGGGCGTACCACTTGCTCCGTCTGCAAAGGATCTCAAGCCATGGTATTCTGAAAGAAGTCACGAACGCAATAAGGAACCTGAGGAGGAAAAACAGTATGTCATCGTTCTTTCGTGTCTAATATCCCCGCCAACACGCACCATTACTAGGGCCCGCGACTTGGCCTTCAAAAGTAGGAATGACCCCCTCACGTCCATCACCCACCAGCTAGCATCTCGATCTTCTACGAATAAATTCACTACTCGGTCTCGCCCACAGCCACGACCTATCTTATCCTCTTCATCTTTCCCCGATGACGTTAGTGCGCGCCTTTCGCGGGAGTCTTCAGAGCGTCAGCGTGCTCTTGATCTCATCCGGCGGAAAAAGAAGGAACTGGCAGGTAGCGAGACGCCCAGCACGGTGCATGGGGGTAATGACGATCGAAATAGCGGCTATGGGGATGTATTCAATAAAAGAGCAGTTGAAGAAGCCCATAGAGGTCGAGATAGAAGGTGGGGTGAAGATGATAGGCGACGATATCGGCCGAACGAATGGCAGTGAGATAGCGAGAGGCAATGTCGCACAGAGCGTGGTGGTGTATGTTGGAGGTGTAATTTGATTGGTATGTAGCATTACACGCGATTACCTCTTTCGACTTTGTATCTTCTAGACCAGCTTTTTCCAAGCCTGCAATATTACATGATTATTATATCTCCTGGGAAATACACTACTCTATACCACGTTTCACCTGTCGCTCATCCTTGCACAATATTATCTCGTCGTCAGTGTCACACACAATGGAGTTCGATGGAGGACGGAGAACCTCCACTACGTCGGCATTTGCCTTAGCTTCGACGAGCACCTAGCATCGACCTCAACAGGCGGCGATAACACTACGAGCATTCGCCGAAATCACTCGGTGCGACATACCAAAAGCACAGCGCTGACTGAAAGCCTACTATGGCTATGCTCCAGACCATAATTGGGAGTGAAAAGGTAAACAATGGGTCTAATATTGCATAACTATTCCTTTATGGAATGAGCCAAACCATCCCGTTCCAGGATATGGCCGTAACATCATAATCACAGTAAGCCTATTCTTTGACTGTTGCAGATAGTTTTGGCTGTTCCAGAGCTGCCACTTATCTTTCCCTTTGTGCGACAGGGAAATGCAATCCCACAAAGACTAGCAGTGAAGAATAGATAAAGACCAAACATGTATATTTTTACCTTTTGATTCTTTGTTCAATCTTGGAGCACACCGGTGAAAGTTTTCCATTTGCATCTCTGGTGTTAGACTGTTGCAACTTGCTATTTTGGCAATTGCTCGTAGTGTAAGTACCTGTTTTGTTTGCTAATGTTTTTAAACTCGGGAACAAGTTTCACGGCCGCATTAGTGCCTCCTATAATCCACGTCTGTGGTGCGGGTCTTCTGCTTTTTGCTTTGACCATAAACTAATGATATTCGCATATCCACGTCATCTTCTTAGCTGGCTTTCCCGACTGCGGAAGTCAAACTTATCAAGCTTTTGATGATCTGTCATACACACAAACTCCTCCTGTTGAATCTTTCCTTCATATCGAGGTTTTTGAACGTCATCACCATAGCCTTAGTCAAGTCTTCCCAGTCAGACCAATTTACGACATGACAGTCGATATCATTTTAGCCCTCAGTTGACTCTCAAAGTTCTTACGAGGGAACCCCTAGGTGCTTGCCGAAGACGTTGCGTATGTCTGTTGCAGAACGTTTAGTCAGCGCTAAGTCAGCATTGACAGCGGTACTTACCGCTGTGACACAGGACTGACACAGGTCGTAGACGTGTCTCAAGGCATCGAATCCGATTGGCCTGTTGACGTCATCGCCCTTGGTCATAGCTTGCTATTTATTATCGTAGAACAAGGTGATGTAGTACAACCAATTCTCTAGAACTCTACGCACTTACCGTGTATCACTAAACGCACAACTGACATTTGGACATGGCTCAACGTATTGTAGCTGTTTTTGGCGCAACTGGTACTCAAGGTGCGCTTTACTCAATGCATTTAACGTATAGGGGTCGTACTGTCAAAATTCTGATCAACTCCATGTTGGTTAGGCGCTTCTGTTGTCGACGCACTGCTTGCAGATGGAACTTTCAAGCCTCGAGCAATCACTAGAAGTAGCTCATCTGATGCAGCGCAAGAACTCAAGAATCGGGGTGCGGAAGTTGTCCAAGCAGATCTATTGGACGTCGAATCGATCAAGAGAGCTGTTTCCGGCTGCGAATGTGTCTTTGGTGTAAGTAACTCGTTTCATCGTTATTTGTTTCTTTTCATAAATACCCCCCACTCAGGTGACGGATTACACCGCTCTTCGCGAAAAGGGTTATAGGATTGAAGAGCAGGTTGGAAAGTCTCTGGTTGATGCTGCTAAGGAGGCTGGCGTTCGTTTCTTCGTTTGGAGGTTAGCTTTTCATTTCATAGTGATTGCGAAATCTGAGTCATTCTTCTTGTTCCATTCCCCAGCTCGTTGCCAAACGTTACGAAAATTTCAGGTGGGAAGTATCCTAACGTCTATCACTTTGACAGTACGTGTCGCGTTTTTGGCCGCTCAATATGAAATATTGAACGTTCGCTTAGACAAAGCCGCCGTTGAAGATTATCTCAAAGCATCTGGGCTTCCTAACGCTTCTGTCCAAACCGGTAGGCTCTACACTTTACTTAAATTTCTCTGGCACCTCAGATATTTTCGTCAGGATACTTTGCAGAAAACCTCTGGAAGTGAGTCTTTCCTGCCCTTCAATCCTATCTTTTATTCATCCGTTTATTCAAGAATCCACGCGTTGCGCAAAGTCGCCTCAGGTTATGAGCTCTCATCCCCAATTAAGACGGCAAGCTCCCACACCAATATTTCATGGATTGGACATGATCTCGGAGCCTCTGTGCTTGTTCTTTTCAAAAACTATGAATCTCGCCAAGCTGAAGTATTGGGTCAAACGTTCTACGTTATGTCAGAAACTATGACGTATCAAGATTTCGCTCAAAAGCTGGAAAATGGTTTGTCGATTTTCAAAACACAACCTGCTATCGGTAGTGCTAACGATAATCTAGCTTTTGGTGTACCGGTCAAATTCGTATCGGGTCCCAAGACAGGAATAGTTGAATTGAATGAGATGGTAAGTTAATGTGTGGTGGGTGTATTTACGTGCGATAACTTATACCTAACAGATTCAGGCGGATGATGAATTTGCGATCTACGCTGGCGCTGAGATTCCTGACTCTCGTCTCATGAAACTTGGGGTTAAATTCGGTTCGGTCCAGGAGTTTGCGGAGTCGGTGAAGAGCAAATACGTTTAGAAGGAACATGTGGAATATATTAGTTCATTCGGACAAGCTGTAAATCATATATATGGGAAATGAAAGTGCTGTTACTACTACACGCTGTGCTATATTATCAGGCCCCTCGGAATCGTGATTTTGGCGCGGTGCTGTCCAGCATTTCATAATTTGTTATGTTATTCTAGCGCTCACTGATAAGCCCATCTAACCGATGTGTGAGGATGATTTTTGGTGAGACGACTGCTTTGTGTTCTACAGTTATTTGTTTCCGTTGATATCGTAAGCCTGGTGGTTTGGGTTATATGCATCTAGATCCGGAAGAAGGTACAGTAGCGACCGAGAACATGACATGCCGTGACCTTGTACGGTTGTATTGGAAAGACGCTTGATGATCCGACGACCCAATTCAAATACCACGACAGTTGGCAACCGAGTAAGGACAACCTAATCCCCTTACTACAATTGACTTCGTTCATGTAAACCAGGGATAGGGACATTGCAGTGCAAAATATCCTGCAGGGAGTCAAAACCTGACGTTAAAGAGCACGCGCAGATGAAATGTCGCAGGGCTCAGTTGACTAGCATTGACATGTGATGGATAGATTTCGGGATAGCCTTTGGCTGTATAGGTTCTAGTGCAAGTCGGGATATAAGAGGGCACGCTTTAAAAGCTTTCCTGGCTCCATTGGCGAGTGCAGTAAGCTTTTACAATCGTCGAGTATTTTGCGCCTTTACCATCAAATCTCAGTTGTTCTTGAATATGGGTGAACGCATTGTAGCTGTTTTTGGCGCAACTGGCACTCAAGGTCTGTTATCTCAGTTCTCAATGTGAACTCACTAAGGCGGCAGTTTGGTTTAATCAAATGATCTACAATAGGTGCTTCTGTCGTTGACGCACTCCTTGCTGATAAAACTTTCAAGCCCCGAGCGATTACGAGAAACGTCTCGTCTGATGCAGCCCAGTCGCTCAGGAATCGTGGTGCTGAAGTTGTCGAAGCAGATCTTTTCGACACCGAGTCCATCAAGGTAGCTCTTGATGGATGTGAATGTGTCTTTGGCGTAAGTGCCTTTGTTTTACATATAACTCAAACTGACTTTATTTCGATGCTCAGGTTACGGATTATATGGATTCAAAAATGCTCGCAAAGGGGCGCGAAGCTGAAGTTGAAGTTGGGAAAGCACTAGTCGACGCTGCTGTGGAGGCTGGCGTTCGCTTTTTCGTCTGGAGGTTGTTTCTTTAGTTTGGGTTGGATGTCCCGTGGTGTCTGATCCCCTTGACTGCCGTTATTCAGTTCCTTGCCCAACTGCACCAAACGCTCCGGTGGAAAATACACTAATATCTTCCAATTTGATAGTTCGTGCTTTATTTTTCGCCCATGTCAATTAACAAACCGAATTCCCGCTTAGATAAAGCTGCCGTAGAAGATTATCTCAAAGAATCTGGACTTCCAAATGCTTCACTTCACACCGGTAGTTCAACCCATATAGTTTTCCATCATGGTGATAACTAACAATACTATCAGGTTTCTTTGCAGAAAACCTTTGGAAGTCAGTTCATTCTGGCCGTCGACTTGACCATCAAATAACCACTCACTTTTTTATGCAGAAAAATACAAGCTCTACGCAAGTCTTCGTCTGGTTATGAGCTGACGCTTCCAATACATAAGGAGGGTTCTGGTATTAACTTCTCATGGATTGGACGCGATCTTGGACCCTCGGTTCTGGCGCTCCTTCTGAATTACGAGTCCCATCAAGGCGAGATATATGGGAAAACATTCCACGTCATCTCCGCCAAGACGACATTCCGTGATTTCGCTCAAACTTTAGAAAACGGTTCGTCTCTAAACAAACATACACAAGCTGAATAGTTGTTTATAATGCACTCACTTTCTCTTGGATTTAGCGTTTGGGGTGCCGGTTAAATATGTGACAGGTCCTAAGACCGGGATGTTGGAGTTGGACGAGATGGTAAGTTCGTTTATTAGAGATATTTATTTGCCTAAATTGCGATGAGACTAATACCGGACAGTTTGAGATGGAAGAGGAGATAGGGGCTTTTGGCGATATCGACATTCCTGACCCTCGTCTAGTGAAACTTGGCGTTAAGTTCAGCTCGGTTGAGGAGTTTGCAGAGTCGGTGAAGTCAAAGTATATTTAGTGCTACAAAAGTAGATGAGCGCTGCTGCCTGCTGTAATATCAGTTCATTCTCAGTCGGCATTTGGCCTCATTGTATCTCTCTTTAAATTTGGAAGAAACGAATAGAAACCCAATGGCTTACTTACCTGGTCGACTTTCATATCAAGATTTGGTCTGATGGAGACTACTTACCTGGAACAAGTAACCAAGGATAAGTCCCCAGAAGTTCTTAATGCGTTAGAAAAGAAATCATAACGCTAAACAAAAGATGTCTACCTGAGATTTGTTACTGATGTGACATATTCGCACAGAACGTCGGGGGTTTCAATTGTAATCTGCCCAACACATACTGGCGTCATTCCTTACAAGTTCAGCAATTTTATGACCAATATTATTCACTTTGCAAAGTCAAGCGGCGAATGAGTTTCAAAGTCGTTGCCATACAGCGTAATGGTCAAAGTGCCATTCATAAAAGAGATCACATACTCATTATCCCCTCGCTAGATGGATATAATGTATCTGAATAGTAACTTGTCGGCCTTGGAAGGGTACCCGCTTTCACATTCTGAGTCAGGGTGATAGCTATTTGCCACTGACAACCAGCCAGGAATCTCGGAACCTGAGCGGCAGGCTCCGAAGCGGAGTGTCAATATCAGCCATATACTCATCCTCCCTACAAGCAAGAAACATAGCTACAGCTGATCACCTCAAGACCCCGTCGTCCTCAAGACTAAAAACTCAAAATGGTGAGCTTATCTGGAGTCGCTCCTCCCGCGCGTCTCGGTACTCTAGCATCGGGAAATCCAATCTAAGCATGAGCATATGAGTTGGATGGTAAGTTTTCATCTCAGATAACCATTTACGCTTCTCATTATTCTGACCACAATTTCATTGTTTAGATTCCCGTTTCAGCATAAGCTTGACACTATGTCTCTCGCTTGATAACTTGCGGAGCCATAGTTGTGGCGATGAAGCATATGCTGGGTCCATCGTGTATATGCGCGATGGACGCTAGAGCTCCGAGACGATGCGATGGTCATGCGACCTCTGATGTTTGCATGATTCATTGCTAATCACGTTCTCGTCTCAATGACCAGCCTCCCAAAGCCAAAGCTGGATCCGGCAAGAAGCCTGCCCCCGCCCCGGGCGCTGCTGGCAAGGCAAAAACGACTAAAAACCCTCTTTTCGAATCCAAGCCCAAGAACTTCGGCATTGGTAAGTATCTGATGACTTACTGATAGCAACTCAAGTTCTGTGTTGATGATAGGTTTAAATTAGGTCAGGATATCCGCCCCAAAACTGATCTGACTCGTTTCGTCAAATGGCCCGAATATGTTCGTCTTCAGCGCCAGAAGGTTATCCTCAGCCAGCGTCTCAAGGTCCCTCCCGCCATTGCTCAATTCTCGCATACCTTGGACAAGAACACCGCTACTCAATTGTTCAAGCTGTTGAACAAGTAAGGAGCGTGCTTTTTAACGCTCATATCGGATCTGATTGTATGTATAGGTACCGTCCTGAGACCAAACTGGAGAAGAAGGAGCGTCTGCAGGCTATTGCGAAGGCAACTGCCGAAGAAAAAGAATCCCAAGCAAAGGTAAGGCAAATTGTTGGATTTCTCCCCCCTCTTGCTTATCTTGTATCTCAGGATAAGAAGCCTCTCTTTGTTAAATACGGCTTGAACCATTGTGTCGCACTCATTGAAGCCAAGAAGGCCTCTCTTGTTGTTATTGCCCACGACGTTGACCCCATTGAGCTCGTCGTTTTCTTGCCCGCCCTTTGCCGCAAGATGGGTGTTCCCTACGTCATTGTCAAGGGCAAAGCTCGTCTCGGTACCGTTGTCCACAAGAAGACCGCTGCTGTCTTGACCCTGCAGGATGTCAAGAGCGAGGACCAACGCGAGCTGGCCACCCTCGTCAGTGCCTCTAAGGCTAACTTGTCAGTTGACTATTTTTCGACTCTTATCGCTGGTTATACTGACGTCTTGCCTCGGCAGCTCCGACAAATATGAAGAACAGCGCCGTCTCTGGGGCGGAGGTCTCCGTGGCAACAAATCCACGCAAATGCTTCGCAAGCGTGCCAAAGCTGCTGGCCAAAACGCCAGTGCCGCCTCCCTTGGCAAGCTTTAAGCCGGCTAGTTGTGTGGTCAGCGTGGATGTGTTATGGACGAGGGGTCAAGGTTGGGCTGCTTGGATGCTTATGTTTTCGTGTCAGCTTGTGCGCTCTTTCATGTCTTACGATTATGAAGTATGCTATTGTTATGCCCATAATCCTTCTGTGAAATGGTCCTTGACCTGCGCTTCTCATCGTATGTATTTGATATATGGCACTCTGCTCCCTGCATGACGAACTGCAATGTCTTGCAAAGCAAACTAGTAGAGATTGTGATATGGAATACGACATCGCTTTTCTCTCGTTAACATAGTCGCTAAGTTGGTCCTTTCAAGTAGTTTATATTACTACAACAACTGCAATAAAGTATTTACAACCATGGCTATTGTAGTCACATGAGAGGAATAAATGAATGACGGTATGCAATAGAAAAATTGCTCTTCTTCGAATAAATTACTGTTCACCAGTGAAGCACCTCCGCCTACCTCATCCCAACTTCATATTATGACGAAAGTACGAAAAGTAGCTCTCCTTTTCTAGTCCGCATCGCTAGGTAGCGAATCGCAATCCATCTGTGACCTAATTCATGTCTCTCAAGGCCCTGAAGACTTCTTGCATCTCGTCACTGCCCCAGGAGGCATTCCAGCCCTGCCTCCTCTCTTTCTTCGCCGTACCAAGTCCAGGGGCACTGAGAGCTTTCTGCGCCCTCATAGATCGACGCTTTTCCTTAGCACTAGTAGTAGGTGGAACGATGATGGGAATTTGGGAAGTAGAGCTGGAGGAAGATGACGACTGTGGAGTGGTGTTGAAAATTGAGAAGGACCTTCTGAAGCTTAGCCTCTTCATTCGCGAGGGCTTGACACTCTCCTCCTTCTGCAATGGCTTAAATCCTTCCTCTTTGTTTTCCACGAAGGAGACCTTGCCCACAGGCAGAGAATTTCTGTTAGGAGCGCTAGGGGTGATAATGGGAGTAGAAGCACGCGGGGAGACGATAGGGGGACGAGGTGCTGCAGAGGACGAACGGGATTTCCAAGAAGCGAATGTTCCAAATGGAATCATGCTTTTACGACGCGGGCGTTCTATGACCTCGGGCTCGCTCATCTGGATCTGCTCTCCTGTCTCATCCTGGAACACGAGCTGAGGAGGCACACGTGATTCGCCCAATGTGTTGGAGAGCTTTTCGATTTTACGACGACGCTGATCTGCCTCGGTCTTGATTTGGAAGGCTGGTGTCTCTGGTGTCAATGGGGCCGATGATGGCGTAGCGAAGGACTCCTGCCTCGGAGATGCCGAAAAAAGGGGAGATAAGAGCGAGGAGAACCGCGAAGATGGAAGCTGGATGTTAAGATGATAGCTGCCTCGCTTTTTGGGAGCTGTGGGTGGCTGCGGGACAACACGGGGGGTAGTCCCCAAGACCTTCTCGAGTTTGCGTGCTGATTTCATGAGGCGAGTACGCTGACGGATACCGAGACGCGCTGTAGAAGGGAAAGCCGAGGTGGAGGGGGAGAGCATATGACTGGTAGATTAATCAGAAGAGAAGAGCGAGCGACCAGCACCCTATTATAACGAACTATAGATACAGGATAACCCAAGGGTTGGAAAGAAGAGCGGACAGGAAAAATTTGGCATGTTTTTTGAGACCGTTTGTAGATATACTTTGACGGGCGCGCCGGGGGCGTTTGCTATGCCCAAAACACGTATCATTATCTGATGGCATCATCGTGAACCTGATAATAGGGTTTGGAAACGTAACAACATCTCGTTGCAGCTGAGCTATGATTGGACAGATTACCTCGGCGCGAAACTAAAATCGAGAAAACCATGAGGCATGATTGGCTGGTGGAGAGCGTTGCCACGGCAGCATTGACCGGAAGCTGTGTTCATTTTGATTGAACCTAACCCCGGGGCTGAGGCTGCTGAGGCTGTTCATTGTCTGTTGTCGCTGTCAGGAGGGCGTGGAGTCTGGACAAGATGATGGGAAAGGGAACGGAAAGGAAGTGGAAAGGGTGATCTTCTCTGATTTGCCAGGGCAATGAAAGCGGTGCTCAATGAATTGTGATCTACCATTGATAAAGATCCTTGACATTCTTACAACGGCGTGTCCAGACGACCAGAGTAGCTGATATGTTTCTGCGGGCTATTAGTGGATGATGGTACTTTACTACTTGCTGCTCCATCACGAAAGCTTCAAGGACCACAGCCCGCTTCGCTGATTCTGCGTGCCAGTAATATCAATGTCAGCGACAAGTTAAGGCACTAAATATCGTGTACCTTGTTGGTAGTTAACATGGACTGAAATCGACAACTTAACTGTTAAGGCACTTCAGAGAAACGTTGTTGAATTCCTATTCCCTGCGTCGCAGCGGGAGTTGGACAACAGATAATTTTCGGAACTTACCTTATTGGGATGTTTATACCGGATATGGAAGGTGTCGTGGTTAGATTAACTAGTGACCTCATTGAGCACAATATCGAGTCTCTAGAGCTCTATTAACGACGTCAGAGTACGTGGAATATATAAAGAGATACGATGCAAGTCTGGCACGCATGTTACCTCGCCTACCTCTTTTTCTCTCCACTACCCTCTCTCACACCCGTAAACCAATTTACGTCGCTGTACTCCAGAAAGGAAAAATGTCTAGTCTTCCAGGTGAAAATTTTGAGGTTAGACAAACTTCCACCACCGACGACTACCACCCCGATCCTAGTAAAAGCATTCCGTTAACACCTGCTCGCCAAGCGCTCATCGACGACATTATCGCACTTTACTCTTGCAAGCCAACCATCAACCGTGTCAAACGATACACCCCAGACTGCGTATACGATGATCAGTTCGTCTATGCAAATGACCGGTACAAGATGGCGGGACAATGGTTCGCACTGCCGAAGTTATTCAATGCAAGTAAGAATGAAGGGTATCAAATCGTAACGAATGATCGTGAGCTCATCCAATTCAAGAATGAACAGGTAAGTTAGCGATGAACACTTCGTGATGAACTTACCTCTCACACTCTTCTAGTCGTGGACGTTCAAGATCATACCCAAGACGGCCACAATAAACGCTCTCGTTTCTCTTTCACTCGACCCTGCAACCGTTGACTCGGACTTCATCCAAATCAAGTACCATAAGGATCAAGCGAACGACAAGGACTATTCTCACGAAGGTTTGGGATTTAGTTTCAAAAAGTGGCAGGCTGAGAATGTGGTGAAGTACATGAACAATCCTGAGGTCGAGCATTTCAAAGCAGATGAAAAAGCAGGGAAGGAGGATGTGAGGCGATATGGGTCGGGTACAGAGGAAGGGAACGCTCCGAAGAAAGACTTCTAAAGCTGTTATGTTTAGAGTAGCACTTGTCGTGAATCGTCCACATTAATATTGTGAAGTTGTCTGTAATGAATCGGCTGTGGTCCACATATTATCATTGACTCCTGGTATTCCAGTTTTTGTCGCACGTCCGAAACAAAGAAGGTATCAAACAACAGACCCCCAAGGTTAACATATTGGTTTATGGTTTATGATCTTGCGAGCAGGCAGTTTGAAGTTAGAAAAGAGGCAACTTCCAATTATGTATAGGATGCCAAATAGGTGTAGATACAGCTACGTGTCACACGACTCCATTGGCACTTCACCTTGCACTAAACTGGTCACAACGCGTTAACGCTATCACTGCCAGCCAATGGCTGCAATGTCATTACTTTGTCGAGGTAAGAGCACTATGCTATTAGTAGCCGATGAATTGATCCAATTTGTGGTTCGTCTTCAAGCAGTACAGATCTCCTTTTTGTGTTTGGACAAAGAACAAGGTGTTGAAGACTTTTGTGAAAGTGCCTTTGAGCCACTTTAATTGGCATGATGCTGCTGGTTCTGGCCTTCCGAGCATCTGATCCACCTCATCCTTTATGCAATTTAGTGCTAAACACGCCACTATCTAAGATGTAATGAACCTACGGCTTTCTGTCAACTATTATATCTTCTCCATTGGCGTACGTTCCGAACTCTAGTATCATGTCATCTGGACGAGAATCAAACATTGTATCTGGATATCCTGGACACTCGCGGCAATCTAACAAGGCGTCGTCTAATCAAGCACCAGTGTCAAAGGACAACAACGGCCCTGGAAAAGAGGACACTAACGTCCTCACAACGTCCGGCGACTTCGCCGAACAACAACCACCGAGTTCTGTTGGTCATCGCCTCCATGATCCGTCTAGCGTATCAACTTCTACGTTGGTAAATGAGCCAGTTACAATCGACGACTTCTTGGATACCGTCATACGCATCCTTTCTGAAACCACCGAAGAAGCAATTTCCCGCACCTTACCTCTGACGGTTATTCCTCAGCTCCTGCAGCCTGAGCTTCTACGCGAAAATATCATCAAACTCGAAGTCAAGGAAACGAAAGATATCTGTGGCACAGTAGACCATAGTGTTCTAGAACATTCAGTTTCTGGGCAGACATTGGAGTTTACGAGTAATAGCAGCAAGTATTCTACAAAGGAAAAGGAAAAATGGAAGGAAGCTCGTTTTGAAAATATGCGTTCCGATGCACCACTAAAGAACGAGAATATTTTGCCTCTCCCAACATTCGCAGACGTTAGTCAAATCCGCTATTTTCAGCATGGTTTGCTGATCAAAACTATATGCCAATCCTTAGTCACCAGAGGAATGGGTCACCCAAAACGAGCAGATCCTTCGAGAATATGCAAGTAGGCAAACTCACCCACCGTTAGGTCGGAGAGTCGATGTCTCGGTAATGCTGTTTTCCATTGTATTAGGTGGTCGCCTGTGCTCATCATGTCACGTCTTAATCTCAGTTGAATGAACCATCGCAGTTCATCGAAGGCACCTTACAGATGCTGGCTAATCGCAATCCCCCTCACAGCACGCCTGAGCCGTCCAGGCAGCTCGAGCCTCAGCTTTTGGAGAATTTTACCGATATACATAGGTGGGCTGCTGAGTATTTTAGAGTGCGGTTTGGCCAACAGACGGTTGGTACTAACGTTCCTGTTGTGCGTCCATGATTACTTTCAAATTTGCTATTCGCATTAAATTGCTCCCCAGATCCTTACTATTATCACAAATAATTTTTACGAGGCCCACATGCATCTCATTGATCGTTTAGTAGAAGAGGCCATGCAGAGAATGAAAGCAAGAAGTAGCGACTCTCTTGATTTGCAAGATTTTTCTTTCGGGTTTGGTATGTAGATACTTAGAGCACGACCCTGTGTTTGCTTTGACAGTCATCCTTCTTTCAGACTTCAACATGAGCCAAGACCTTCCTTTCTTTATGCAAGCGAATGTACGTATTCAGGAAAGTTTGGAACGTTGTAGGCGTGAGTCAAGGGATTCACTATTACAACCTGTTTGTTGATTTGCCAATAGCTAGGTCACCCCCTGATCTACCGCCTCCCCAGACAACTACCACGCGTTACGGTAGAAAGTCAAAGATGAGGAAGCAAGCACGAGCTGCTGCCCTAGAGGAGCATGAGAAGCAGCAAAAGGACCGTCAGAGGCAAAGAGCAGCGGCAGCTGCTGCAAATGCTCAAACCCCCTCGGCCTCTACGTCACTTCCCCTGCATGCTAATATTGCACGAGGCGTCAATGACCGGGATGCGTCCTTCTCTCCACAATCTGTGAAATGCGTTTCTAGCTCATCTGTGCCTTTCTTTGCACCATCAGTATCATCTGGACCTCAAAATGCTGTTCGTGCTAAAACAGTTGTTTACCATACGTCTAATTATGGACGAGTAGCTGGCGGCAAAGATATAAGTTTGACTACGTCTGATGTTTCTACTGGGATGCGGTGCCCAACGTGCGGCAGGACATGTCCTCCGAGAGCACCTGATAAGACATCTCTTTCTCCTCAGCGTTCCTCTGCACGGGGAAGTAGTGTAGGCCCTCCATTCGTTTCAGCGAGCGGTTCTATCGATACTTCTCGTAGGAGTGTAACGCCTGCCGCTAAATTGACATCGATAACGGTTGCAAAGCGTTCGTCTATTTTGAAAAGCGGTCAAGATTCCAACTGTGATACTGCAATCAACGCTTTTACCGCTTGTACTAGCGAAACTGAAGAATCATCTCTCGATCATGCCAATACCGATTCTCCTATTGGCACTTCGTCGACTCTGCACTCCGCAGCAAGTCCTCCATGGCTCCCTTGTAACAATTCTAGTACACAGCCTGTTCCTTTTGATGAGCAGGCCAGGCTTCCACGTCTAACTATCACCATCCCGCCCCTACGTAGACATGTACTTCCTTCTTTGAAGCCAAAACCTGGAGACTCCACCCCTGGTCTCGCAGAACCGACACAGCTCACCACGTCAGACGAGATCGAGCTATTTGGATTTGCTGATGGGACAAATACATCCATTCCGACCGCACCAACGCCGATTGGCTCAGCGTCTGTCTCTGCTGGTCCGTTTAGAGGCGGTGTAAAGGGTACTTTCAGAGGTGTAAAGGCAGCCAGGAGAGGCATTGGTAGAGGGTGGGGTGCAGACCAGACTCGTTCTTCCACTCAAGACGACTGTGATTCTCAGGGCACAAGCACTAAATGTAGCTCTGCCGCTACTAAGGCAGTCATACCTGCCTCGCCTGAAAAACCACCACTAAAGATTGGAAAGAGAAATGAAGTTCAACCTCGACGAGGACATGAAGCCAGCGGAAGTGACGAGGGAACATTGAAAAAGCCTGACATACCAAATTCTAAAAAGCGGAAATTAGACGACGAGGACGAAAAGGCGAAGTAGGTAACTGTAGGAGCATAGGAGACCGAAGTCCTCAATGCACTGGCATCAATTGCTAGTTTACTTTACCATTTTAGACTAACTTAACTTTTTACTTTTTAAAGTATAATGTTCTCACGAAATATCTAATATTTTTGTATTGGGTAATCACTCGAAAATTAGGCTTCCTTTCTTACTTTACACTCATGTTCAATGTCAATGGCTAATCCGCTCGCTGGCCCTTCTCCGTTGAGAGATCTTGTACATCCTCACTTTCACCAGAATAATTTTCCGGAAGAGTTTTTCGTGAAGAATAAGCTTGGCATTAAACTCGACAAAGGTGCGATTTGCGGTCTGGTGCTGCTCTGGTGTTGTTGAAACTGACTTGTAAGAATGGTGAATTCCATCCAGATGATCAAATATGTCGGCTGTCACTTACGCCCACTGGATGTCCTTTAGGACCACTGCACTGTCCCCTAAGACACACATCGCCGTCTGCCCAAAATTTTCAGCCACCGAAACAACTGCCCACTCATCCACGCGACCGAGAACGTTTGGCTACCGTTTGCAAGCATTGGCTACGAGGGTTGTGTAAAAAAGGCGACGCATGTGAATTTTTGCACGAGTATAACCTAAGGCGCATGCCAGAGTGTTGGTGGTTTGCGAAGTATGGTTATTGTTCTGCTGGTGATGAATGCCTTTATGCCCATCCAAAGGAGCGTCGAGTAGAGTGTCCTGATTATAAGCGTGGGTTCTGTAAACTTGGTGAGCTATATTTTTATATTCTTCCTGGATGAGCTTGCATTTATATGAACCGAGTTAACAGGTCCTACTTGTCCGCGGAAGCACGTACGGCGAGTTGCTTGCCAGCTCTATCTCACCGGAATATGCCCTTTAGGTCCAGATTGTCCGCGTGGACAGTGCGTCTTTTGTAGCTTTCGACTAGTTGTACTTGCTAATAATTTGGTCTCGCAGCCCCAAACCTGATTTACCATCTGCGAGAGCTTACGAGCCCCCATCACCACCATCGACACGTGAACTTGGACCACCACCTCCTGGATATGGTCGGTACGCCGACTTTGATCGCGGGTTTCCTGGTGGTGGTGGTGGGGGTGGGGGTGGTGGCCCTGGTCAAGCCCATGGAGCTCCTGCAGGAAACGCGAACGGGCCTCCAAGGAGAAACCTAGACGATGTGCTTTGCTTTAAGGTAAATCTAAAGGTCTCGTTATATTTTTGATTTTAACTGTGTGCCGCTCCTTCCTCTTAATAGTGCGGGGAAAAGGGCCATTATGCAAATCACTGCAGGAATCGGAATGTCCCTGGTAACCGTGGTGGTATGGACAGATCGTCGAGGAGATTTCCTGGCGGGGAGGAGTAATTGTGATGGATCTGATGTGTGGTATTGTCTCAACATTGTTGTATCACGTTGGACCTATTATACAAGCATAAGAGAATATGTAATCTGGTGCAACCTGTAGAATAGTGTACATGAATTTCATCGAGATGTGTTTACGTAATATGACTTATCAAGAAGCGAAGACTTGTGACGCTGAACCTGCTCTTTCAAGCTTTCAAGCACTCGAGTTTGTATCATTGCGTGCCGTTGATCGTGCCTCGAGTCGTCGATAACTATGGGCTGGCAAAAAACATTTACACTTTCCAGAAGGTCGAAAGGATGTCATCTTGTGACTGATGAAATTATCTCCCATATATCTCCTGGTTTGAAGGATGTTCAAGTGAGCTGTCCATTACCTCTAGGCTGTGAAAATGGCGCTTTTCTACTTCGACTGGATTGAAAACGTACATTAAAACGCTGAGATGTCTTCACCATGCAGGTTGGCATGCTGTTCCTCTTTATGTAGGTCCCTCAGATTCGATCTTTGCTCTGCAGTTGCAGACTAAGACACCGCAAGCCAACATACGTCCGCCGCTTTGACTATCAACGAGAACTGTGATCCAGGTATGTTGAGGAAGATATCATACTGATCGGCGTTCTTGTTCACGAATGTTATGTTTTTCAAGATGTTCGGAAAGGTATTTGCTGATTAGCTCCTCGATAGACCGGCTTTGCTGACGACATCGCTCTACGTCCCGCCTGCGCAAGATATGGATATGGCTCTTGATAAAGTTGTTCCCGAAAGTCTGAACTGGATGCATACCGACGAAGGCCCTGAGTGAGTTCATATTTACTGGTAAAATTTCTGGTAGTTTGCTCAAACCCCCTTATGTAGTGATTCGTAAGAGTTCCCTTCCTAGCTGTTAGACTTTCTTGACCCTGTACCTATCATAGGGTGTCGCACACGAAGACGTCTTTGATTGGTGCTACCATTTCTATGCCGATCACACAAGGTCGTCTGAACCTCGGCACTTGGCAAGGTGGGCTTTACAATTACAATCCCCTGCAATATCCCCAAATGACGACTCTTATTCTTTGGGTAGGTATCTACCTCACTGAGTTCCGACATGCTGCTCATTCCAGACGTATCGTGGCTACTGTAATGTATGTCCTTTTGACTAATCATATAGTTTTATATGTGCTGACAACGGCGACTTGCCTCAACAGTTCATGAATTTTAGAGTCATTGTGTAGACGTAGAAGTGAAGTCGTGTGTTAAAAGTCGAGTAGAAATGATTGTGCATGTATGTGGGTTGTTAGCCAGAGGTTTACTGCTGTATACTTACCACAAAGTCGAGAAGTGCTGTATCCGACATGACAAGCGTAAGATGGTGCTTAGCGTAATAACGTCAGCCTCTTCTCCACCTTTTCTGGGAGACTTTTAGGATTCTGTCGCTTCCAGCTCCAAAGTGTGATGCACTGTGGGGAGCAAGTAGTCCTCCACTTCGCTAGCCGTAATAGGAAGGTGAATATCTATAATAGGCAGGGCTAGGTTTCTTGGTGACATCACGATGTATTGTGACTGGATCAAGTGTGGGCTGGTTCAAGATGACGTCGATGCGGTCATTGGCATCATGCGTTAGAGGCGGACTACATAAATGCTCTAGGTTTACTCCATTCCACTCATTTCAACTCTTTATCCCCCTAATTAACATGTCGCTCCCACCTGCTCAGAAAGATATATCTGACCATCCTGCCTCAGGATCTGTCGTCGATCCTGTCAACAAACGCTTGAAAGACGCTGATGTGGACAGAAAAGTAACCTCTTGTTATAGTTGAGCTGTGTATGGTACTGACTGCTACAATGCTAGATTCGGTTTTATGGCGTAGTCGAAGCCTTTAGGCAGGGTCGTATGCCCGATAATAAGCAGATTGACGAGAGCTTGACATACCTCAATGATAATTCGCCACTGGATCTTGAAAAACTTTCACCAGATGGGCGCAAACTTGTTCAGGATTCTCGTGATATTATTGAGACCGCCCGGCTCATTGTCAAGGAGAAGAACTCCGACGAACTCTTCCAAAATTTCGTGTGGCATACCCGTGATGTTAGCCTGGAGGGAGCAAAGAAAGACCCAAGTGAAGTTGCTCCAATTGATCAGCAAAAAGCTCGCGACGATGGCCAGCAGGGTAAGTATGGTTATATTATCATCCGTACATTTTCGCTGAGGACCTTGTTTACGTTGGTTCTCAGCTGTTCGCCATGTCCGAACAATCCTTTCTCTCATCATGACAAACTCGGAAGTACGAAAGCTCCTTTCTGACTTTTCTGTTATTGGTCGAGACCTGCTCGCCAAAGGCGCTGCCAAAGCTGCTGAAAATCTACGGCCAGGTGAAGAGGCACTCTCTCGGGTTGACGAGCCAGCACCTCAAGATGAGTTCATTACCAAAGGAAACAGGAAGGTGGGACCAAACGAGACACCCGTGCTTGAAGCTCGAGTACCTGGTACCGATACTACTATCGAGCAGCACCCCCGTGCCGACGACGCTAAAGTAACGACTGGTGAAGGTGAAGAGAAGTCGGGGTCTCAAGTTCTAGGCGAAGGTCGTAACGCCACGCAGGGCCTTAAAGATCAAGCAATAGACAGTGCCAAGGATGGCGCGAATCAGGCGAAAGACCAAACACAGGATACTATCGGTCAACAAGCGAGCCAAGCTCAACAGCAAGGGTTAGCCTTTTCATCCCTCGAAACCATACATTATACCTAACTATAGCTATTTTTAGTAACTTGAATGGTGTTGGATCTGATGTTTCGTCTGACGATATCGAGGCAAAGAAACAGAGCATCATGGACCGCATGCGTGGCGTCAGAGTAGGTATTTCAAGAAAGAAAACCGTTCACTACTTATATTTCATGTAGGATGGTTTCTCAGACCGTGTTCCCCAACAACACAGAGATCGTGTCAACGATCACTATGAACGTGGCAAAAAGTTTTTCACTGAAGAGTATTTCCCAGAGGAGCGCCGCGACCAATTTATATATCGTGGAAAAAAGGTTATCATCGAGTGTCAAAAGCACGATGATTACCAAGGTGCAATAAAGTGGCTTCTCTCTTATGCTGAGGAGTACGCTAACCATGGAAAGACAATGGCGGGCCATGGGAAAGAGAGTGGAGGATCTCTCACTTCGGTCAGTTAGAAACTTCTGGCTCATTTGGTTTATCATTTAAATGTTATGTAATTTGCAGGATCCATCCTTGCGCCAAGCTACTTCTGAGTTACGAACGCTTTTGGAGAGGTTCGCCAATGGTAAAAACATGAATATTATCTTCGATTCTGTCAATGCTCTTGTTGACGATGCAAGGCGAGATGAGGAGTTTAGAGCGTGGTTTAGGCGGTTGGATGCGTTTATTCGCAAGGTTTGTATCGTTTAACTACATATTCTTGAAAACCGATATAACCTCATCATGACAGCTCCTGCTCCAAGCTGGATACGTTCTAGAAGAAGACTGTAATCGTGAAGGCAATGAAGTACGCGAATCAGGACGTCAATTCTGGGACCAAAAATATCGAGGACATTTCGACAATCTCTTTAATTCCACTGGGAACTGGTTCGCTGCTATGGGCGATGACCCGTTGAACAAACGTTTTGGTGAAGATTGGGCGAGACTCACACGTGATCTTCTTTTCGATAGTGAGGGCAGCTTGAAGTTCAAGCCTGAACTATGGTCGGATATTAGGAAAGTTATTCTGCCGACCTTGGTTGACAAGGTACGTCCGCTCTGCAAAATTTGTTGTTGAAGTATCATGACTCGCGACAGATTGGCTATGTTCCTATCCCACGAATCGAGTACACCGATGATTCATTGGATCTCGTCGTCGAGAATCTCACTTTGCAAGGCCGCAACCTTTTCCCTAACTACATGTCAATGGAAGCGCATAACTTCCTTAAGTTCAGCCCCTATAATGCCATCACAGACGAGCATCATCACGAATTCACACTTACATTTGGTCAAATGCAAGCTGATATGCGGGATGTCGCTTTCTATTTCCGAAAGAAGACAGGGATTCCAAAACTATCCGACTCTGGTCTTGCCGATGTTGTTTTGGGGGGGGAAGGCCTGACCGCGACGGTGCATCTCGTGTCAGCGGACAAAGATCGAACTTCAGTATTCAAAGTGAAGAACGTTCACGTAAAGGTCGACACGCTCAAGTTTAGCATACGGGATTCGAAACATGATTTACTTTATAAAACAGTGAAGCCACTAGCAACTGGCTTGGTGAAGAAGCAGATTCAGAAGGCGATTGCTGATGCAATTACAACGGGAATGGAGTATGTTGATGGACAGCTTGTTTCGGTCCGGGATCGAATGGAAGAGGCCAAATCTAGTGACGAAACCAATCGGAAACAAGTTCTTCAGGATGTACGTTGTTATTATTCTCCGGAAAACCCGAGTTAACATGCTACGTAGATGTTCAAACGACAGAAGGACGAATCGCAACAGTCTACAAAATCAGACAAGCCCGCATCGCAGTTTAAAGTGGTTCATAATAAACGTGCTTCTGTTATCGCCACTGGTCACCCTGCTGGGTGGGTCAACCGTACGACCGAAAGAGAAGAGAAAGCTATGATCGGGAAGGACTGGAGGAGTGAAGCGTAAGTCTTTCTTTTTGATCAATATCGTTTCAAAGTAGCTGAGACATCCTATAGTTTCACTGTTGTATAACGCGGAAACACTATTCCTATGATTTTATCACGGCCACGAAAGATGTACGATTCATGTTTATCGACGAGGACCTTGTTTTACCTTCTTGTCATACCGTGCTTTTATCCTTTGACGAATACTACCCTCATACATCTCAGTTATCATACTTATCCCGATAATTATATGCCCACATCTCTACGATTACGCATACTTTCGCAAAGTACGGTTTCGTGTAAATATTGCAAGTTAGTCTTCATTTCTTACAGAACCAACGACAGGTTAAGCTGGGATAATGCCTACAGCTTAATTGTTTCTCAATTATTCAAAGTTCACCAAAATAAGGACGAAATACGATGACATACGCAGAGAAATATAAGGTATATTATATCTCAATCTATTTCCTCCTGCGAAATTATTGGATTGGATCCTAACAGTTGAACTTGTTCACTCCTATATAAACTTCGAGAGATATCGGGCTCTCTCCGAAAGCAAGGTTAATACTAGTAATTTTATGCATAACTATTCCCCGCTCTCTATACCTAAGCGAGATCTTGCCTCCAAGTTTACAGTTTCAGAGAAGAGGTAAAAAGAAACATAAAGCCCCGACCCGAGTGGATTTGCGACCAAACCACGACAGAGATTGAGACGTCGAGCAGGAGGGGCAACTTTACTCTGGATAAAGCATTGGATCATGATATGATGACCGAATTTGGTCTCACTGGTAAGTTCTCCTTTGTTTATCATATTGACCAGATAGCTTAAAGAAGCAGTCAGGTCATTGTCTGTTGCTTCTGTTGCAAGGCTTGCAAACGTTAAACCAGATGGAACAGAAATTTGATGGGCTGATCATCCCAGCATATTATATACATTACAATAGATTCTTCATTCTTGCAGTCACTTTCATTCAACTATTCCGACATTCTGATAGATTACATAAGTTTCCTAATTAGGATACAGAAAAGCGCACTCATCCTACCTTAGACACCTCAGTCATTTACCAGAAAGACTGAGGTACAGTAAACACTGTTATTGCAGTTAAAACTCATACTTACACATTCCTTTAGAGTCTTTTACTTTACAGGTACATTTGATTAATATATCAGTCATTTACCAGAAAGACTGAGAGTCTTTTACTTTACAGTTCTAGTCATCACATCAACAGTGTGATGGTGTAGACACATCACGTCGTCCATCTTCGGGCAGTGCCCAAAAGCCGCCAGGAAGCTCTCACAAAGGTCGTGAATAAATTCAGGGATTGTCGTAAGTTTCTTGCTTTCGTGCTCTCGGAATTGCGCATATATGATGCTAAATTTAAATAAATGGTGTTCAATATCACATATGCTGAAGAGAAGGTGACAGAGACGTTGGCTTCTGGTGACGACAGTGGGTACTCCCCTATGACAAAACCGGATAAACCCGGTCTCTGCCAAAGCAACCATTGTTCTCCATGGAGCATAGCCACCACACCATGGAGTAACCATTGTTCTCCTAGGAGCACAATTGTACTCCTAGGAGTCATTATACTGTAGTGAGTAGCACCTCCGGCTATAAGTAGTAGGGGGTTTAGTATAGGAATACCTCAGTCATTTCTATAGCCTCTCGGGCAGCGGCTGAGGTATGTTACATTACATTTATTAGAGATCACCTTAAACTAACATCTATTGTAGTTTCACTTAGGTAAATAATAAAGTCGTTTCTATAGCCTCTCGGGCAGCGGCTGAGTTTCACTTAGTTTTATTACCCTAAACGATAAACCTTGTCCTCTGTCTGGTGTCTCAACTATCAGCACATGTATGGAAATACCGCAACTGGATATGATGACAAGTCTCCTTTGGCCTACCAAGTTATTGATATGAAAACCAATATGAATCAATGTGTAAATTTATGCTAAGCACGCGAATGATATCCAAACTTAAGATAGTAAGAATACCAAGATGCTTTGAGAGGCCAATTTAAAATCTTTGGAGTGTATAACTTTTTAGCTATAGCAGTAGGTTTTTGAGACTTAGCTTTCATGCGAGTCACCCGAGTGACCCAGTCCCAGGCTGCACTCACCAAATTTTGAGGTACTTCCTCCTTCACCTTGAATCATCTTAGATTGCCTGACAAATGTGACAACACATCTTGCGCTGGGATATACAAGAGTTTGTTTTGATTTTACCCTTTCCAATTGGTCTATGAATCATATCATAGCCCTCCGGGGCAAGACCTGGACCTGACATCTCGCGTTCTACAGTGCATTATTGAAGATACATTATTTCATTATCACTGGTACATTAACGCTAGCAAAATCGCTTATTAAAGTAAGGGTTACCAATAAAGATGAATGTAGTACATGTGCTTATTATCATATTTGATTTGTTATATTTACATAGAAAAAACAGAAATATGACAAAAAGTGTTACACTTCAAGACAAACCAGAGAAATGCTACGTTCTCGTTTAAATCAAGTGATTTATAATTTTTGTTTTGCATTGTGCAAGAAGAGATAGGTTTTTTGTGGCAAAGATGAGCCTTAGAGCTTTGGATGACCAAAGAGTTTATGTTGATGATCTCGTTGCTGACCGTCACAGGCCAAGTCACATCATGTGATGGCGTCGGCCTGTCTTAACAATGCGCTCGCGACAACTGAATTCTGGAAACCTGGATCCTACGGGTCCAGGAATAGTATGATGGAGGTGGTTTTGAAAGGTGAAAAGACATCTGAGAGGTGTCACGTGACTTGGATGACTACTAATATTTGCCACCACTATGACCATGACTCTTGGATTAGTGGAAACTCCTACTGAGATGTCGTCTAAACCTGACGACGCTCACCAATCGTCTACATCAGTAAATAATCTGCAAACCCAAGTTTCTTCCCTGCAATTCGAGCTGTCGGAACTGCAGCGTCGTTACGACGCCCTTTTGGAAGCCAAAGAAAGAGCTGCGGCACGATACAAACTGGATTACAAGAAATGGAGGGATTTTAAAAGATTGATGTACGCGGATGATAAAGAAGATAGAGCACGGCGTCCCCTTGACGCGCATAAAGACTCTAGAGTGCATGGAAAGCGTAAACGATTTGAAGAAATGGGACCTAATGTAGATGCGTTTGAGGATGAAGAGGATGAGGATAGCATGGAATTGGAGAAGGTCTGCTCATTTCTATCTTTGTATAATCCAGGCTTCATGAGAATATCCTTCAGCCCGTAGATAATGACGCTGTTTCGTTGGCGAGAAACATATTGGCTGGGCACGCTCGGAGGAAATCGTTACCGTCTCAATCATCTGGTGGGTTCATTCCTTCCCGTGTTTACAGCACTTAAAGTTGGAGCTATACCATCCCAGCGTTGTGCATACGGAAGTCATTTGAGTTCACCACGGAATCTCATTCAACTCCAAATACTCCCGCGACTTCAGCTCGTACAAGGGACCCTCTACAAACGAAAATATCTAACGGCAATACTAGCTTCCCTACATATATTAAACTATCATCTCCACATGCTATCAAGCTAGAAGATCCAGTAGAGGACTTGTCAACGAGTGTAAAGCAACAGAAAATGAGTGGCAAGTGTACGCATATATGGATCTATCAGGATGCTAAATAGCGTGTTCTTTAGAAAGTAATATAACACCCCTTGAAGACAACTCGCCTCGGCTTAATGATTACAAGCGATATAAAGGAAGGGGCAGATACGCGCGAGTTTCGTAAGTCTTTCCTTACTGCACTTCTATTGGTAAATGGAATAGGTCGCCTAGGACCTGCGAAGACCCCGATACCAACAGACCTGTTAGTCGTGAAGATGAAAATCACGAACCAAATTATGATCGATACGAAACCGTGCGGAATAAAGAGCAAAGGAAACAGCTACTGGGAGATGACTGCGAGTGTTGTCGTGATGTACGTCCTTTCTCGTAATCCTCAGTAAAAAGTCGACCCAACGATCTTCTCAGTATTATGCAGGTGTAGGTCCTCTCCCACCAAGACTGCAGCAACCCATGTGGAGATCACCCTCTCCAAACTCGATTCCTACCACAAAGCCTTTATGCAAGCACAGACAGACCGATACATATGCTACAAATGTCGGAGCTAGTGGATCCATGGAGCAAGTACAAGAAGAGGAAATCACGCGACATAAACAAGCGATTTCGAGGCATCGTCATCATTGGTATAGACCCAAGACTCCACCAGGTTATTGGGACATTGGATTTCCAGATACCCAAGAGGCTTCGGATATCAATCGCCGGGCAAGAGACATGATTAGACAGAAGATGCATGGTATTTCAAGGGACGCCGGGTAGGGACCTTAGGCTTTCTCTACACGATATTCTGGCTATTTGATATACACATTTCGTGAGGTTACAGACACAAATCACAGCGGAAACAGCGCTTATACATCGTTCGGAGTGCAAGTTGTATATTGTGCATTTCAAGTGTTGATTGATTATACATAGCGAGGTGGTCAAGACAAACAACAAAGCGCAGAAAGTACATACCGGTTTACTACTGATTATTACTAAAGCAAAGTCGAACGAAGTTTGCCATAGGGTTGTGGAAGTCGTCAAAAACGAGGGACTTCACTAACTAAGTGCTATCTCGTGCCATCTATGTCGTCATTCCGGACCTAACGTCCGTGGAGAGTCCCAGTGGCTTCACCATCTATACCTCTCGACCCGTATCGTCAGAAAGCGCATCTTCGTCATTGTCCCCGTTGACATCGCACGAATGTCCTACGAGGTTGGCGGCGTCAATAGCGTTTTGACCGTCCCCAAGGTACCAATTAGGCATAGCAAATGCGAGAAGAATTGGGACCACGCTTAGGATAGTGGCTGCTATCACCATGATCTTCATGGTGTCATCATAAGCTGTCAAAATTCGGAATCAAGACCGCAAAATCACCGCAACAAGTCAATCGTTCACACATGAAAAATGCAATCGTTAGATCTGTAACATATATATGTCGAAGCTTTCTCTCACCTAAGATGACTCCCTCGCGTACTGGATCACCTCGCGGAGTTGAAGTTACGGAAGTGATACTTCCAAATAACTTTGCACGTTGATCGTCGGACAGGAATGGGAGGTATTTCTCGAGGTTTGCTGGCATTGTGTTCGCCCATATAGCACCAGCTGCATGTGATGTGGCATGAATTATAAGACATCAAAGCGTTCGGGGAACAGGGTATCTTGAAAAGGGAAAACTCACCAATACCATTACCAACAGCACCCCCAATTTCCGTCAACAGAAGTACAATCGCAGTGACCATAGCCACATCCGCGTGTGGGACTGCAGCTTGTGCACCGACCTGTGCAGACACGGCGGCCAGTCCACCACCCATACCTTGTAATATTTGTGTCCACACCAGTTCTGCATCCGATCCATTGGCGCCGCGAGAATGTAGCATCATTCCTACCCCGCTGTCAAATAGTGATAAAAATAGAACGTAGCAATTTGGTGAGGATGTCAGCAATCAACGAGTAGATGGGCTTACGCAAGGCGAACGAAAAGACCGAATATCAATACATACTAGAGATTTTATCGTCAAAACTGGCAAGAAAGACGAGTTTTACTAAGAAAATTCACCTTGTATCGGTGGAGGAATCTCATGCTAAGTCCAGCGATAATGCCAAACAGCGTGAGTGCAACGGTCTGTGCCTGCATAAAATATGTGGCGTTGACGAGGGACCTGTCAATGTATATTAGCGTGGGCTGTGAAGTGCAGAGGTGCTGGAAATACCATGGCTTCACAACGAGGACAAACGAATAGAGGTAGACAAACGTCAGATAGTATGACATCTGACAAACGAGCATCCAAGTAAAGACTTTAACCGGATAACAGGGGAACTGGAGGGCACTTACAAAGTCGAAAAACCCGATAAAGGATGCAAAAACAACACTCCTGTTACGGACGAAGCGTGGAGCAATAACAGGTCTGCTGGCATAACGCAAATCCCACACGGCAAAGGCAATCAGCAAGCCGCAGCCCACGGTGAGCATCGCGATGATGGATCCTGTTATCATAGAAGACAATAGTATCACAAGACATGAGCTCGAATAGTGTCGTTTCACAGATCAGACTACTGCATACCGTTCTTCCAACTACCATGCACAGATTGACTGAGCGTCAGGGGGAGGAGGATGAGTGAGATGGAAGCTCCAAGTAGTGCAAGACCAACGGCATCGAGCTGTTCGGCGACTTGAAGGATGCGACGGGTGCGGGTAAGTGGTCGAGCAGGGCTTCGAGATCGTGAGCGATTGTGGGAATCCGAAATAAGAGCATCGACGATGCCAAGCTTCTTGGCTTTATTTTCTGCCCAGAGAAGCGTAATTATAAGTGGAGAAAGGGCGGCGGGAACCAATAGTGCAAACATCCCATCTAGAGAAGAATACGAACCAAGTATGCCGATGAGGCGTGCAATACAAACTGAAAAAACGTTTAGAGCACGTACATCCCCACCTCCAACCTATCGTTTCGATGACTGCTGCGGATATGTTCGACCCAACAAATGCATTGAGGAGGAAAGGTGCAGAAACGAGGGACGCAACAAGGCCACGCCAGGCAAGTGTAGTGATATCTGCGATTATAATCTGAGTAAGAAGTTGTAGACCACTGAATTTACGTTAGTGGCATTTGAACTATAAGGAAACAGCGACTCACGTGTAGCCACTGGGAAAAAATCAGGAGGATCGGTGAGATCGCGAACAGAGTCATGGACAGAAAGACATACACAGCATAGATGATGATGCCACCCGCTATTGTGCCGACATTTGGAGCAGTTGCAATCACCGTGTAGCCTTGAATATAAATTTTCAGCGAGAGATTGCGACCCGAATAGTGCGAGACACACCGACTACATAGAAACAAACTGCAGGGAATTCGAAGCGATCAATATCTGACAGTTAGAATGATGAAGATGGCACTTACGGACTCCAACGTAAGCAGATCCACGTGAAGAGACGTCTGCAACCTTTGCGATGACGGGTTTACCAACAGCGACTTCAGAAATGAAGGGTATATGCAGACACGTTTAGTCGCATAGAACTATTTAAGGAAGCATCGCAGTGTTCGACTCACTGATGAGGGACTGAGCGACCTGAATTGAGCTGATGAGGCTGTGCTCTCCGAAGCTCGAGGTGGCGAATGTGAGATATACCGAAGTCGTAGATGCATCAAGCGAGTATATATAGGACGCAAGACTAAGTCTGCAAGGCCAAAATAAGTGATAAATATCAAATCACACTGATGCTAGGAACTTCGCAAGACTGATTTCCATAGCGCTGGTTCGACGGTGAGAACGTGCTCACCCAATAAACAAAAACCATCGTGCGTAGGGGCCGTAGACCCTGTTTGCGGCCTCTACTTTCTTGACACCGATGTGGGCGTCCTCCTCAACTGTGTCTGCAACAAGAAGGCCGGCATCGAGAGCTATTTGGTGTGCGTCGTCCGTGTGCAACGAGGTGGGAGAAGGCGTGGGTTCATCTGGTTCAAATTTTTGGGGCATTATTAGCTGTAGAATGGCTCATTGATAGAAGATCAAAAGAAAATATTTATACCTGGTGGGTGAGTGGGTAGTAATGTATAACCTCCTGGCATTGAATATAAAAAAATAGGGCTTGGGGATAAGGATATGACTGTCCTGAAGACCTAGGTTTGGCGCTAATCAAGCATGCTGGAATAACTAAGAGTCGTGAATAGGAAACCTGACTAAGCCGATCGTGGTTGCTATGCGTTATCTGATAAAAAATCAGCCAAGATAACGCCGTGCGCTTATCAGATAAAAAGTTCTATTATCTCATCTCTTATCGGCCGAACACATAAGTGGGCTCATTCTTGGACTCACAAACCAATGAGAATAGTAGCTGCACCGCGTGTTGGATTACAGTACGTATGAAAATGCACTATGCACGATTGTCTTACATGTATACGGAGCAAGGATAAATTTCAAGGGTGACTTCCGTAACACCGGTAGCGAAGAACAGGCGACCCCAGAGCGATCCACGGAAGAGGGCCGTTAGATCTGCTTGAAACATTCAAGTTGCACTAAAAATTCAGGGCATAAGCCCAACGGGGAGCACGCTATGATCCGAGCACGTCCTCCTCGTCGCTCCACACAAGATCATCTTCATCATCAGATGGGAGGCCGCAGTTGCCTTGGCCTAACGAGGGTGCTCCAATGATATGACGCCTTAGTAAAGTATAAGCATACTTGCTACCGCATGTATACCTTGAAACGTACCTTGAAAGTAGATCTTCAACCCCAGCCTTACCAGCTTCCCAATCTACCCGCACCCAGTTGTGCACGAGTTCACCGTCGCGGTAAACCAACATTGTCGGTAGCATATCGGTATCCACGTCTTGCTCTTCCTCTTCATCGTCATCATAGTACTCTTCTGCTTTCTCATCCTCGTCATAGTCATACGGATCCTCGTCATCCTCTACGTAACGTCCAGGCATAGCATGCGATGTAGTCGTCGTTCGTCTCGATGATGAGGTTGCTGTGGAGGCAAATCCCAATGCTGATGCTCGCGCACGAAGGAATTTCGTCTGAGGATAGATACGTGCGAGGCGGGCAAGTGTGTCATCGAGAGCATAACACCTATCCAGCGACTATGCAACAGCGTCATTGACATGAAAAACTCCAGTTAGGGAACAAAACAACGCACCGATTCATAAAGGTGTATCACAACCCACACCCCCCTCTCCTCCTTCTCGACGGCTGGTACAAAACCCGCCTTGCCTACTTCACGAAGGTGCCCAAACCGACCCTCCCTCCGCCTCCCCAACACATCCCGCTTATCGTCGTCGCTCTCGCCCTCCTGCACCCGCTTCTCCCACGCCCGCTCCTGTTCTTCCTCCAGATACGTCCGCCCACCCAGACTCGCTTTTTCCATCCGTCGATTCACCTCCCTCATCGCCCGTGCCCGACGCGCAGCCAACAACGCATCTGCCTCAAAGCGATCGCGAATGACCCCCTTCACACCCGTCCGTCCAGGGCCCATCCCAATCGGCTCGTTCCCATTCCCATTGTTACTGTTCAGGATCTGATCTATCTGCTTGCTGCGCTCCCCGTCAGAATCGTCGTCTGGATTCTCGTCATCGTGCCACCCGTGATCGGGTGATGGCGAGCGTTCGGGGGAGGACGAGCGAGAGCCGTCTGGGTTAAAGAGTTTTCCTGAGAGCACCAGGTGTTCGATGTCTGCATCCTGTTGTATCGTATGTCAAACGCATGATGCTGGGAAACAATAGCAATTACCCACCATAAGCGTACTAGTAGCACAGACGTGTGAGAGAACTTGTTGTGGTTAGAGGTCTTTAGGGAAGAGGATAAGTGTCCGCCACAAATGCGACTACTAGGAATATTAGTAAAATGCAAAATGCTGCTTATTGCGCAACCCGTGTACTTCGTGATCGCAGCTGATCATGAAATTCGCAGATTCGAAAATGGCTGAGCTGAGAACGTTTGAACCTTGATAACAAAATATAAAGCACCCTCAAATTGTAGACGGAGGTGTAGTCTATTCTTATTGCAACTGTGTTTATTCAAACGTCTGATTCGAAACACACTACAATGAGAATATAGATGCAATCGTACAAAACCAATATGCTGCAGTCCGATTTTAGAAACTTAAAATTTGAAGTGACCGTCCATTGACAGGTATCCAAAGAAAGCAGGAAGGTCATAACAACGTAAAGCACATGAAAAGTCATGAACGGAAAAAGTTTTATGGGGCACGATGAAGAGAAATGATGCACATGTGGATAAAAAAGAATTCTGGGGAGAATGAGTGTATAAAAGATACAGTACGGGACAATGGGCTACACAATCGTTCGGGAGGAATGCGAAGATAGATCAGACAGTGATGAATGGCATATAATGAGTATAAAGGGGGAAACACACAGAAAAAGAGATGGGCGCTGATCTAATGAAACAGAGAAGAAGAGAAAGAGTAAATGGAAGGACGATATCAGAGACAAGCTCTCGGGGTATATTAAAGGCACAGCAAGCCGCTAATTATGCCCAGTTTATCGAAGCTCCCTGATTGTTCTGCGCTAGCGCCAGTCCGGCGCGCTGAAGATCGCGCTGGGTGATGTTAATACCACGGAAATCCTCCAGCCATACTTGGCGCTCGCGACACCGTGATAGAATCTTGGCCCAGAATTTGATAACTCCCATTTGTGGATGGGCCGTACGCATGGTATGAGATGCGCGGCTAAGGTCGCGGATGTAGCGCAGCGAAGGGAATGCTTCTGCATGAAGGAGGGAGGATAATTGTTCAACGAGAGGGAAGAATGGCGCGTCGTCGGCTTCATTGCCGGGGAACGCACTTGCATCATCTTCAAGGCGCTTATCGATGTCTCGGATGCCGATAAACTCGATTCGGGGATGCGCGGGGAGAAGGACGTGTGGCGCAATCCAGTCAGGGGTTTGCCAGTTCCATTCTGCGTCAGCAGAGCAGATGAATTCACGCAATTCGGGACACCACTCGGCCAGAGGGATAGGTGATTGGGGGCGGGGTGGTAAAGCGAGGTAATACTCTTCGATGAGCGAAGAAGAATGGCCAAGCTCAAGTTGGCGTAGCTTGGCACCATGTGCACGGAAGAATTGTGCAAAACCAGGACCGGTATAGCTAAAATCAGTCGAAACGACAGAAACGTTACGCAAGTTTGGCATGTCCCACGCTGCTAGGACGGCAAAGGTGACGTTATCGAGTGTAAGCTTGAGGGATTGTAGGACGGGAAGGGCGACGATATCAGACGGGAGTTGTTCGAGGGAATCACGAGAGATGAGAGGGAAACTCAAGGAAGAGAGCTCGAGGTATTCAAGACTGGCGGCAGTGTGTTGGAGCATGGGTGACATCAGATGCGGGAAGGGCTCATCGCAGTAATTGGTAACTGATAGCCGACGGAGTTTGCTGTTTGGGTGGGCAAGTGCGGAAAACATTTGTTCTGGGGAACACCGAAGATCTCCAAGGTCAGAGTAGCGACTGCAGCGGACAGAGCGGTGATCAGAATAAATGACGATGTATGGCGCGTAGTCGAGAATGGTGCGAATATCATCAGGAGCGCAGCGTTTCAGGCCAGGTGTCTCCATATGCAAGCGGCGAATGTACTGCCCGCTTGAGACTTTACCGTCGATGTAGTGTGTGAGGAGTGTCAAAGCAAGTGCTTTAGCCTGGCTGGCGCGGCTGATCCATACAAACTCGTACAAGAACTGCTGCAAATGGCGGTTCCACGCCTTGTTTACAAGCGCTAGGTTACGCTTATTTTGCATGGCTGCATAGTAGTCCGAAACTTGACATGGGGAAGTTTCAAGGAAAGAGAGGCCGAGGGATATATCGAGAGGGTCGGGGCACATGGATGTGGCTTCGCGAAAGATGAGAAGCCATAGCTCAGTGGGTAGGTATGGCAAGTCAAGCGCAGGACTGAAGCAGGTGGAGGGAATAACTAGACCGCGTGGTGGATAACGCCTGGTAAAAAATAGGTCAATAATTGAAAAGCTAATGGAAAAAGAGCCAAAAATAAGACGACAGAAAAGAAGACCAAAAGTGCGGTACCGCACGGGGAAGCAAAATTTTCTCCGTAGTGCACGCCACCATCCGTCGCACCTATGAATAGGACGGACGGATGAAGGCTGGAGAGCTCAAAATACACTGCGTCCGCTGTGTCCCAAGCACGCTGTGTGTGCCGACGTCGCCACACGCGTCTCAACGGACTATATCATGCTCTTCCTCGAGCGAGGTCTCTATATATGACGCGAATCGAGAAGCTGGCTGCCATGTTGGGGAGACAGAAAGAAAACATACGCCTACCTCGAGCGCAGCCTTGGTGTGACGGATGGGATGCTTTTGAGGAAACGCCGGACAGAGAAACGGATGTTACGAGGGTGCATCGCGTATAAGAGAACGATGGGGTAAGTGTCCGAGAGGATGTGTGGGGGGAGGAAACAAAGAAAGAGCTCGCGTTTTGAGGAGGAAAAGGTGGAGGAGGAGGAGGCAAAAGGATTCTGAGCGGGACCTTTACAGGGGACCCTGCACTGGCGCATTCCCACGGGGTCATGACAGCCAATATAGATAAGATAAGATAAGATTTTCAACATAGCCATCGCGGCTTTTCACTCCCTCCGCCTCGCGTTTTCCTCTTATTCTCCTCTGCTAAACGCTCTGGTTCTTCTTCCATAATCCCAAGAACGCCGGGTTTACCACCATTTCATGCCTGGTTTACTCCCAAATATCCTCAAGGGAACCACCTAGATACTACGGCCTTTTCCGTCATCGCCATCATCAATGTCCCATCACAACAACGATTGGCCGCGGTACCATGTCATATCTGACGTGGCCCTCGTCCAGAATGTATATAGTATCTGCCAGTACGTATTCACTTTATGCTGTTTCGATAACTTATTGCAAGGCTAGCCTTGCAAATTCTAGGTTGGAAGCAGCCTGCATGACCTCCGTGTAGAGCGGCCCGCGAATCCAATATTCCGTAATGCCTTTCTTCTGTTGTGTTTTCTTCCATGAGCGTTCAAAACTCCGAGTTCTGTTCATGGAAAATCAACTCTCCAAGCGCTATTCAACACGTTTTCTTTCTTCTTGTGCGTTGAATTCCGTCATAGTCGCATATCCTCGTGTTTGATTGGGTCCTCTCATCGCGACTGATTGATAAACTTGTTACATCTTACCCGAGTTGTGCAGTGTTTTGCGTTTTCGGGAACTAAGAACTCTTACTCAAAGACCCATCGATGCTCCCTACTAGCCTAAGATTTCGAAGGTGCGGTGACCTTCATACTATCCGCATCGTTTCTCGCTTTGTGCTACTCTGAGACCTACTCCAACCTTCTTTCCACCTTTCTACTCCGCGGATGCTGATATAAACCGGAATATGCAATGGAACACCCTCTTTTGAACCTACTCGAGTCTTCCTTTACATCGGCAACGTGGCCTGCCTGAACGGAGTTAATCTTGCTTAATTAGCCACGCAAGACACAAGCCTTTCGGTACACTAATCCATCAGCATGAATAAGTCGCTGACGAGTATACAAATTATAGCTATGCATTGGCCGAGCTCCTATGGCTTTTTCAGTGTGGCTTGATTCGTACGCTAGGCTTTGAAATGCGCAAACCTACTACCATCTGCATCTGCAACAACCTGTAAATGGAAATATGTATCAGGATCACTAATACCCATCAGTGTGTTTGTCAGATAGAGAAACATCAGTGCAACCTGAGCCATACTCTCACTCCTATGCCTATTATTTCCACATCATAGTCGGCCTCCCGCGAAACGAAACGCCATCTCGTGATTCCACTCAGTGATGGACATCCGCACAGGTGCAAGATGCTGAGATGATCGTTTATAGCACAGCAAATATTTTGATCACCGTGCTCACTTCAGAAACACCTCGGACTCGTCCTATGCACCTTCTGCACCCGTGCAGAGCGTCTATTTCGTGCCTGCTATCATCGAGCGTCTGTCATGTCAGCTCTCGAAAAGCGCGGTCCGAAGCTTCATCCGAAGCAACTTGCTTTCTGATTATAGAGCCAGGCAAGGGGATGAGCTTGTTGCCGAGCCAGCGCTGGTACCAGAATCAAAAATAGAGCGTTTCTTGAACTTGATCTAGTGGCAGCCAAGACGCTGACCTACATCGAGACAGGTCTGCTTCATTGCTGAGATCACGGAACAGCCCCTGGTCCTACCTGAACCATATGCTCACCTGACTTCTTTTCATCTTTCCGGTATTCTAGTATATGGCCTGCATAGCCTCGCATTCTACCCCTAAAGCGACAGCACTTCGTGTATCATGCGTTCACCAAGACTGGCTGTATATTGATGGCAGGTCTGTGATCAGATTTCTATGTGATCCTATGGAGATTCAGGGGATGTCATGCTGACTGTTTGCTTTCCGTAATCCCGCCGCCGTTTTAAAGAGACCCATCCGGCAAGAGGCCCTCGCACAGAACTTTATCTCCCAACAACCTCTGTACGCTACAAGCAAAGCCCATACTTCATTCAACTAGATGCTCATCAGAACTTCATCTTCCCACTGCCATCCATACGTCCGGCCGGACCTTACCATGCCCGTCACAGAAAAGCTCTCTAGAATCTCTCCTTACCAACAAATTGACACGAACTGACAGTTGACCAGTAATTGAAAGCGAGCACTATTCATATCCCGGCGTCCGAAACCTACCTTACGAGCTCATGTCAAAATTAAGAAGGCTTACCTCGGTGTTTAAGATTATTTATAAACTGATGTACTGGGATCCAGCCTGCTCGATGAACCTAGATTATTTTCGAGGAACACTATAATGAACTTGTTCATCTTCAGCTGTATTTACGGACCAGACTCACATCAGACAGCCTGTTGATTGGTGGGGTTCTCCGTTCTACATCCGTACGGGGCTTATTGTATTATGGCAGACGCCCTGGATTAAGTTACAGGCAACATTTGCACAATTCAGGCCTGCTCGTCTCTATTCATGGAGGCCATCCGTCATTGTCTGCCATCATCGTCCGCCGGCGCTGCTCTTTGGCTAAATAATTGTCAGGACGTCCCACCACGGCATCATACACCTGCTTGCACCGTTGGGTGTATTTCACCCTGGATGTGAGCGCCTGACGTTGGCATAATAGAACAGCTTTGAGGGAACGCCGCGATGGAAGCTATCAACCACCATGTACGGGATCGTATAGGTCTACGGGGTGGATGCGCCGCATGGGATTGCTAGGCTGCCATTCTTGAAGGCATTAGATTATCAAATTGCTAGGTTAGTCTGCACTTGTACTATAGAGATACCAAGACACAACCACCAAGCAACCAGTAAGCTGATTTGGCTCCATTTCAGCGACGTCGATTCTTTTAAGCCAGGGGCCATCACGATAAGCATGCGACTTTCGGTTCGCCAAGTGGACACGAGAGCCGATACACAAGGCACTCACACTCTAGGTTGTGCAACACCAGCGTTAAGGTATGCCCGCAGCCCTAGGATCAGGCTAAGCCGCCCTATACAGGTGCGTGAAACCTTGAGCTAAGATGTGGGTATCAGTTCGCTGATGCTGACTGTAGCGATATAAAACCACAAAAAGGGATACTACCCATCGGATAACATCCCCAATCGCATATGACGAATCGCAAAAATCAAGGCGCCCCAACGTATACCTGGCTAATTCCAAAAAAAAAGAAACATCGTTCGACTTGGGTCGTCGGTCTCCGCATGGAAGAAAAGTGCTATTAGAGTGGTGTTCAAGGGTCAGGTGCTCACTGTGTGCTGAAGCACCAAAGTATACCCGCATGGAAGAAAAGTGCTATTAGGGTGGTGTTCAAGAGTCAGGTGCTCACTGTGTGCTGAAGCACCAAAGTATAGTCCTGCTTAGCAAGAAACGGGGCATAGGCCGAAATTTCGAATGTTGTACTAGTACCAGAGGGAGGGAAAACCTGCGAAAGGACAGTGTGCTCACATGAAGCAAACCGGGCCGGTTTAGGATATAAATGGCAAGTATAGTGTTTATCAATAATCCGGCACATTACGCACGGACTCAGAACCCACTAAACGACAAAGCCTGAGTAAGCTCAGTCCACTCGCCTTGTCTTATCCCATCCACTCTCTCACTCCTCTCAATCCACAATGCCCACCGTTGCACCTCCCAGCAAAGTTCTCGTCACTGGCGCGAATGGATACATCGCAATTTGGGTCGTCAAGAACCTCTTGGAAAAAGGTTATGCTGTCCGTGGAACAGTTCGTTCGGAAGAGAAGGCACAATACCTGAGGACACTGTTCAGCGCTTATGGTGATAAGCACGAAGAGGTTGTTGTGGAGGATATCACAAAGGTACGCGTTACGCTTTACGATCTCTTATAAATATTCACACTTCCCAGGAAGGGGCCTTCGATGAGGCTGTCAAGGGGGTTGACGCTATTGAGCATACAGCCTCGCCGTTCCACCTAAACGCGGACGACCCAGATGGTACGCGATGACAAGCGCTGCTCGTGTATATAGCTAACCAAATGGATCGATTCCCAGAGTTGATTATCCCAGCTGTACGCGGTACAGTTGGTATTCTTCAGAGTACCCTCAAACATGGGCAAGTGCGCATATACCTCACATTAGTCTACCATCTTACCTTTCCCTACAGATCCTCTGTCAAGCGTGTCGTCATTACTTCCTCATGCGCTTCTGTGCTCACTGATGTTCCAACTGCCTCAACGTTTACTGAAGTCAACTGGAACGAGCAATGTCTGGAGATAGTCAAAGAGAAGGGACGCTCCGCTCCCAACATGATGAAGTATAGAGCTTCCAAGACCTTGGCTGAGAAATGTATGTCCATAAAATACTGCTGGGACACTGGTAAATAATATTCTGTAGCGGCATGGGAGTTCTGGAACCAGCACAAAAGCGAGGTTGCGTGGGATCTCACAGTGTTGAATCCCCCCTTTGTACGTGCCATTTATTTACGATAATGTTGACTGTTACTCATAATACCCCTCGAGTAGGTCTTTGGTGTCAGCACACTTTATTTCTGTATAGATATGATACTGATCATTCGTACAGCCAGTGATTCATGATGTAAAGACAGCCGAAACTTTGAACACGTCTGCCTTGACCTGGTACAAAATGGTTGCTCATCCCACATCCAACGGTGTCACCAACGAATTTCTCGCAACGAACGGCTCATGCTGGGTCGACGTGCGCGACCTGGCCGAGGCCCACTCTCGTGCACTGGAGAAAGCCGCCGCAGGTGGTGAACGTATCATCGTTAGCACTGGTGAATTACTTTTTATTTTCTATGATGAAAATGTCTCGCTGACCGTCATCGTAAACAGGGCTATGGAAATGGCAAGACTTTAGTACGTTATTTCCTTAGCCTTTCCCTAGCTGAATTCAACACTTATCTGCCTTGTAGTTGATGCTGCGAACGAATTAAACCCTCCTCCTCGCTTGTCGCAGCCTCTTCCACGAGGCGTTCCTGGTGCAGGGACTCCGAACCCGGCCACCGTTCACCTGCTTTATTATGATACTGCCAAAGGGGAACGTATTCTAGGGATTAAGCACCGCACAATTGCAGAAACAACGAAGGACACACTGGCGGATTATGAAGCTAGAGGCTGGTAAACTGATCCCGACCGCTAGAGAATAAGAAGTAAGGATGATAGAGGCCGCAGGAAGGAAGTAACATGCCATGTATTCGGAAGTCACCCAGAAGGATAAATTTTTAGTTGTACCATGTAAAAGAAAGATCATTGAAACCATACCTGTTGCTCTCATTCCTTAGCTGCACAGTTTGTAGAAACTAGGAAATATCAGGGCCTCAGTCATATACAGAACAACTAATGTTTGTACAGTTAATGTGCTCATAATGCATAGCATTATGTGGCAAAAAAGGGTCTTTTTCAATACAAAATTTCCTTTTTGAATTATGGATTATGAGCATATCAATTGTACTGTTACAATTGACATACCAGCACCTACTTACGCTTCACTTTTTGCACTTTTACTTTTCATTTTCCAAGTCACATGACTGATCATGTGACCATTTACTTTACTTTACATTTCCGGACTTTTCATAGTCACATGACCATCATGTGACACATCACCTGACCAGTATCTAGACTCATCATGTGACCAGTCACATGCTAGACATCAGACTTTAAACTTTATTTACAACTGTATAGTACCTCATGTATTTTAGTATATATACAGGAGCAATACATGGGGAAGGACTCAGCGAGTCCTCCTGTTGTCTAGCACAACAAACTTGTTGAAACCTAAGGGGTGATCTGTAACAACCAAGAGTTTGTTATTCTGGCGCACAACTAGAACCAACTATAGAGATAATGATGAGGGAGTGTTTACCCTTTAGGCTTCAACAAGTTAGTTGTGAGGATACAACAGGAGGACTCGCTGAGGAGTCTCCTTGACTTATTAGTCTATATATACTACTACAGGTTTGTTTGTACATATGTACTGTACAGTTGATAGAGGCAGTGGCTGATGATGTCATGGGGCCTAGCCCGTGTGACCAGCTCCACTGCGTGAGAGACTTGTAGCTAAAATAAGAAGAAAGGTAGTGCGGCGCAAGAAAGAAGAGTTTGAACAAAAGGGAAAGTGCCACATGGCACAATGTGAGAAAACTTCAGTGAAAGGTTAAAGAGGAGAATGAAATTTAAAGGTCCAAAAATGTGTTATTGTAACATGATCCTTTCTTTCTCTCTTCTCTCTTTTGCTTGTCTGAGTTGTGCACCAGAGTAAGGAACTCTTGGTTGTTACATGTACCTAGAAAGTATCAGGGCTACACTAGTTTAAACAATAATAAAAGAGATATTATAGATAAACATACCCTCAGTTGTATATAGCACAACTGAGGGTGTAACACTAGTGAAACAAGAATAGTGAGTAATAAGAAATATGGATAGTATTTATTAGATTATGAGAGTCAAAATACAGTATTAGCATTTATAATAATTTTGATCTTTTTCAAACTTTTACTTTACTTGACTTTTATATTTTTAACTTTACAACTTTTCATTTTCCAAGTTATGTGATCCATCATGTGACCTAACACTTGACTTTGCTTTTCAGACTTTTCATAGTCACTATCAGGCAATAAATACGAAGCTATATAACAACAACTAGAATCAGGCCAAGTTTTTAATACAAGATGATGGAGCTGAGTGAAGTTGATGAAGAGTATCAGTCTGAATGCAAATCCAAACTAATATTGAACTAAGGAAATAAATACATCAAATATCTACTCCTTATATAGCAAACAATGGGAGCCAGACCAGAAAAGGGAAAGGAAAAAGAATAAGAAAGCGGTCTGACCAGCCAACTAACCAATAAGAAAAAGAATGCAGTGGTACAATCTATCATAATTACTAATTGTGTGGGAAAGATCCTTAGTAAGGGATTTGCAATTGGCTGAATCAGTAATCCCATGAGAAGATGCTGAGTCAAAGTCTAGGTTGCTGATTAATCTTTCACCAAGGTTTTCCCATGCACAGTGTGAGGAATTGATTTTTCTTATCGCATTCCCGTCATGTCGTGGTTAGCAGACTCGATCCCCGTCACTCCTCTTGCCCTTGGACTAGAGATTACAGCAGGTGTCTTATTACTTTTATCATTTTTCTTCTTATTCTCTCTTCACACTCACGTTCTATCGTACCTACAACGAGGTAAACTTGTTGTCGACCCTCGAGAAGATATCCAGATGACATAGCAACGATCCAGTGCTATGTCTGGGAATACTTTGGAGGAATATTGATAAGCGAAGAAGGTTGTGAGTCAGCGCCTTCTCATGGGCTTACTGATACAGCCAATCGCACATCCCTTACCAATAGGTTTTCTCATACGATTAGTAAATACGATAGATCGGACCACCTTCTCCTTTTTTCTTATTGGTTAGCTAGCTGGTCAGACCACTTTCTCAGTTCTTCCCTTTCTCGGTCTGACCATCGCTGTTCACTATATAAAGAGGTACATACTCGATGTATTGTTCTCTAGTTCAATATTAGTTTGGATTTGCGCTCATACCAATACTCTTCATTCTCATACCCTGATTCACCGCCTTCCAGCAAGGACTTGACCAGGCATTGGGCTTTGTTATATAGCTTTGTATTTGTTGCCTGACAAAATATTGAACTCACCTCCTTTGAATCCTTTTCCAGAGCCCCTCTTTGGAAAACCATTTCCTTACACCCTGAAAAAGACTGTCGTTGCCACTGCACTGGTCTAAACCTTCATCATCACCTTCTCCACATGGCTATCATCCCTACCCCTCTCCTCACTATCGTCATCGACCTCTTACTATCCACAACACTACACCTATTGTCATTCAGTCTTCTCAAACTGGACGCCTTCTCTACCATCACCGCTCTCGTCCAAATCTTTGCGTTCTTTGCTATTATCAGATACCTACAAACCGGACTCGTCAGCGATGTCGTATACCTCCATCGTGTCTACATCCCAACAGCTCTCAGAAGAGTGGGTATCAGACGCGGACCGCAGACACCAGAGAGATTTCCTCGCAGCCCTCAACAAACCGCTCCCGGTCCTCCCCATCCCTACCAAAGCCCGTACTCCAGACGCGGAAGGAACGGTCGAACAGATCACTGAGTTGTATCAAGACTCCTCTGCTTCGTCTTCTCCAATTGATCCGATCGAGGAAATCATCCTTGACATAAAGGATGCACTCGCTCTCACCCAATCCATTTTTTACCATTCCGCCATCTGTAGGAGAAATTCTCGCAGTCTCGAGGAGGTACTCCAACGTCTCCGACAGAGCACAGAGAGAACTTTTAATCTTCATATCCCTGCGGCACGAACAAATTCCGTTGATAAACTACTTCGAGAGCCTAGTACACCCGAGTTACGAGAACACTCAGAGGGTTAAGCTTTTGAAGGGAGTAGCCAACGTACAAGAACGAAACCTGCAACTTATTTCGCAGAGCCACATTCCAGATCTCCTCGACCTTTATCGAATCCGCCCTCTTTCCTTTCCAGACATACCCAGTCGCCTCCTCCCTTACGACTTCGAACACACCTTGCTTTGCGGCATTGTGTTAAGGAAGAGGCCTCACGAAGAACCCACCTACGATATCCCGTCCTCATTTTTTACATCTGACTACTACGACACCTACTCCGCCTCTCCTGTCAGTTACCAACCTATCCAGTACTTCTGCATTGGCAATCATCTGGACCACCTCTCTATTGTCCAATATCTGACACGACTTCGCTGAACTCTCTACCTCCCTGAAGTCCAAGATCAGTTGTTGCTGCGTTAGCACGATTTGATCAGCTCATCGCAACTGCTCAGAGGAAATCCCGTGACGGAGAAGATTACACGACCGAAATCGACAATATTCGACACATTTCAGAATATGTCGACAAATATTACTGGATCCTAGAAATCCTCACCCCATTTGTTGTTAACCAACAATCTGATCACCCCAAACGTTTTATTGTTACAGTTCTCCAAAGCAATTTCTGGGCCGTTATTAACCATAGCCCACAAACTCGTATCTATTCGCAGTACTCTTACACCTACCAAGGTCGAAGAGGAGAGACACCGCTCATCCCGTCGGTTGAACAGCTTTTTGCACCTTGCGCAGAAAGGATAGAATGAGAAATAGGAAGTTCATTAACAGATATACTTGGAGGAGAATCTAGCAGCGAAACTGAGTCGGAAAGTGAAGAGTCTACTCAAAGCGTAGAATACTGGAGGCCCCGAGAAGCAGAAGGAGGAGACTTCCCTAGTAACTTTATGTTTGACCCAGACTTTGAGTAAATAAAAAAGGGACTCGTTATCTAGAAAGACTTGTTATCTAAAAACCCGTTATCTAACCCGTTAAAAACTGGAGCCCTATCGAGAACCCCATCCTTTGGTCACTCCTGACACACCTCCCCCACAATCTCTAGGAGCTGCTGCGGAAGCTCTAGAACCCGACGATCTGTATCAATCAGCAGGACCGGAAAACTTTCCTCCCCCACCTCCAACTCCAGAACCCGAAAACCAACCCGACGATTGGTTCGATCAGGAATCTTTAGACCTTGAACCTGATCTAGCGGCAGCAATAGCCGACGAAACGAATCAAGGTAGCAAAGCTGTCCTTGCCACTCCTCCGTTCGAATTCATCGGTAAAAAGGAAACATATGTTGATTGGAAGAACGCCCTGGCAAACTACTTTTTCGCCTACCCCAGAAGTTTCCAAAACAACTCCTCCAAAATCCTCTTCGCGTTATCCTGAATCTCGTCTGATAAAGCCAATGACGCCTGTCACACATGGAAGGCGAATTTCAACAACAAAACTGCAGTACTAGGAGACCTATTTGCACCACGGAACTGGGGAACTATCTCTGAATTCATCAAGGAATTAGATAACGAATTCCTGGATCCCCATCTCAAGTTGAAAGCAGAGATTGCCCTTCATAACTACGAACAGCGAGAAATGACGGTAGATGCATACTTTGGAGGACTCGAATCCAAACTTATGGAAGCAGGGTTACCACCAGACGCAGATGAAAGTTATCTATTCATTCACAGTATCCTTCGCCGCAACCTCTCTCAGTTCCTTCGTGATCGTATCTCGCAACAGGAAAACCTACCCACCACGTACTTAGAATGGAAGGCAGCAGCGAGGAAATGGGAACAGCGAAACAAAGAACTTAATCTAGAAAGGAGGAGAGATAAACCCCCTCAACAGAGGCTGCCAACTCAGTACCAACGATATCAACCGCGTTATCAGCAGAACCAAGACTACCCCCCACCACAGCATCGACAAACAGTACCGCGAACAGAGACGCGAAGACCACGATATATCCAACAACGACCGTATTATACTCTATCACATAGACCACCTCCCCAGAATGCAGTCCATCCAAACACAGCAGGAACGTTTGGAGGATCAGGTGTACCTATGGAGATTGGGAGTTCCAACACGCAGAGACAACATCGGCCCAACCTGAATGTTACTTGTTACAACTGTGGCGAACGAGGCCACATTGCTAGAAATTGCCCACATGGAAAGATGGCAATACAATATATGGAAACGGAGGAAACCAAAGACACTCCCACTACATCGTCATTAAAAGAAATTGAAGCGCCCCCAAAGGATTTTCAGAAAGGTCAGGAGTGAGCACGGACTCTCTGACCCGTAATGTTGTACTTAACCCTCGTACATTACCAATGACTGCAATGAAACGAGTTGATCAACATCTACGTGCTGTAACCGAAACCTACGCAAAGCCACATTCACTGGAATGGTTGGCCAGACGAATCAAAGACCAGAAACCAGAAAAAGCAAGAGCTCTGTTACGAAACTGGGCCCATAAAGATCACTACGAGCATATCACCCTGCAAGCGATACAGATGCTAAAGAACCACGACGAAGAGAATATTGTAGAACACATCCATGCTTCCACCTCGCCGCACAACCCCACATCAAAACGAAGCCTCCATGTCATTTCTCAAGTCACTACCATAGACGACAGACAGACATTCACCGTCCCAACCCTTATCGACTCTGGTTGCACCAACTCAGTTATTGATCGAAGCCTGGTTGACAAGTACACCCTCAATACTACGCCTCTGCCCGTCCCTCTTGACGCCGCAGGAGCCGATGGTCAATCCCAGAAAGTAACACACTATGTCACTCTTTGTAAGGACCGTTTTATTATTTCCTTATCTTTGCTATGTCTTGGTTCTCGAACACTTTTCCCATTACACCTCTGGCTCTAGGGCTAGAGGTATCGTTTGCAGTTCTACTTCTCATAGCCCTCACAGGCTTTCTTAACCATCGCTACCATTTTATATCACAGATCAGAGACTGGGCATCGCTCCCAGCCAGCCAGCACACTGGGTAGGGACTGGTAGTAGGCATCTCGCCAACCAGCTCCAAGCCCCAGTAAAGCCTGGTAATACTAATAATGCCTTATCTAGAATCGTACCTCATCATGAGGATACGGTTCCTGACCACGCGTGACAATCTTCTATTATTAGTACAAGTCTCTCACCTGCTGATTAATCAAGTCAGAAGTCGTACAATAGTTACTCTCCCTTTTTCTTATTGATTGATTAATTCCTCAGACCACTTTTTGTATATTCTCCTTTCGGTCTGAGGAACGGACAGTTCCCTATATAAAGCCGTACCTATTCATGTATGGCTCCTTAGGTTTCTATTACTGAATTTACCCGCTTTACTCCTCAACAAGAACCTTTGAAGCTTACCTCTCAAAGTCCTCTACTCGCTATATTTACTAGCGTCTGTCGACCCCAAGCTCATTGAACCCTTACTCCCTGCAAGTGCAGAAGGAGACAGGTTTAGTTTTTGTTATAGTTTATCGTTGCCTCACACTTTTCACATCAATGTGAAAGGGAAAGAACATTTGATAGATGTTATCGTAGCATCCCTACTTTCACCACGCATACTGCTTGGATACGACTGGTTGATACTGACGAATCCAACAATTGATTGGCGGACCAACAAGATTACCTTCCCTGCCGATGATCCGGAGTATCATCCTGAAGAAGGGGATAAAGTTCTAGCCGTCGATCTTGAAACACGAATCATGGAGATAACACAGCTAGAATTGAATGCTTTTGCCACTAAAAGTCAACAAATTGCTGAATCCTCCGAAAAGGCAAAGTCAAAGCTCACTTTCCGAGATGTCGTTCCTCCAATCTACCGTGAATTTGAACCTGTCTTCACCAAAGAATCATTTGACAAACTTCCCCCAAAATGTCCTTGGGACCATGCAATTGAGTTAATACCTGAGGCTAATGGTCTTGACTGCAAAACATATCCTCTTAGCCGAGACGAACAACACCATCTAGACGAATTCCTTAACGAGAACCTAACAAGTGGACGGATTCGAGTATCCAAATCACCTTACGCATCACCATTCTTCTTTATCAAAAAGAAAGATGGTTCATTACGCCCTGTCCAAGACTATTGCAAGCTGAATGAGCTTACCATAAAGAATCGCTACACCCTCCCCCTCATATCCGAACTCATCGATAAACTCAAAGGTGCCAATTACTTCACGAAACTAGACGTACGATGGGGATACAACAATGTCCGAATCCAAGAAGGAGACGAACACAAGGCCGCTTTCAGGACCAATCGCGGCCTGTTTGAACCCCTTGTCATGTTTTTCGGACTTACCAACTCGCCAGCAACCTTCCAGACCATGATGGACCACCTCCTAAGAGAACTGATCACGGAAGGAAAAGCTATTGTATATTTAGACGATATCATGATCTTCACGGAAACACTCGAAGAACATCGCCAAATAGTCACCAAAGTCCTCCGTATCCTGCAACAAAACCAGTTGTATCTTAAACCAGAGAAGTGCGAATTCGAGAAACAGGAAGTCGAGTACTTAGGCATAATCATCTCCAAAGACACTATCCGTATGGATCCGTTAAAAGTCGCAGCGGTTGCTGACTGGCCCGCACCAAAGAATAAAAGAGAACTCCAATCATTCTTAGGGTTCTCCAACTTCTATCGACAATTTGTCAAAGACTACGGACGAATCGCGAAACCACTCACTGTGCTCACCGGAAAAGTGGACTGGACCTGGAAAGACGAACAAGAGACATCCTTTGAAACATTGAAGAAAACGCTTACTACTGCTCCCACCCTCACTATACCAAACGACAACGACCTGTTCAAACTAGAAACCGACGCCTCTGACTTCGCTGTAGGAGCCGTCCTATCCCAGAAACAAAATGATAAATTCAGACCCATAGCATTCCTCTCGAAAGCTCTTACCCCTGCAGAACAAAACTATGAAATTTACAATAAAGAGATGCTCGCAGTCATGACGGCGCTAGATGAATGGCAACATCACCTTGTAGGATTGAAACACCCCTTCACCATCTTCACAGATCACCAAAACCTCCTCTACTTCCGTCAACCTCAGAAATATAATCGACGCCAAGCTCGATGGTCATCCCAGCTTGCAGATTATAATTTTAAAATGGAACACGTCAAAGGAAATCAAAATACGAAGCCCGACCTGTTAAGTAGACGAATCGATCATCCTAAAGGCACAAACGATAACGAGAATCAGACACTTCTCCCAGACGTACATTTTGAAGTACTTGACAACAACGAAGGATACCTACCAGATATACGTCAAAGCTTCCAGAAACAAGACGACGTAGTAAAGAAGAACTTGAAAGAGAAGCCGGATACCTGGAAGATGAAGGATAGGATCGTCTGGATCAAGAGAGAGTCCGCAACGAGTTCCTACCCAATCCCATTAGCTGACCGCGTATACGTTCCCCGAAACCACAAATTACGGGCGCGAATATTGAAAGATCATCACGACAAAGCCCTGGCTGGACACCCAGGAGAAAGAACAATGTTTGAACGAGTAAACCGAGAGCTCTGGTGGCCAAGTCTTCGTACAGATATCAGACGATATGTACGAGGATGCGAGAGTTGTCAACGCTGTCATGCACCAAAGTTGATTGGTAGCATGGACAGGTGTCAATAACGAAGTGAATATTCAAAAAGACTCGCCTTTGCGCCACACAGGCACAGTGCCATGTGGAATAGTAATTAATATTGCCCTTTTCGAACTTGTGGCTGATCAGCACCACCTCTATTAGGCAATCCAGTCGCGGTGCTTTCCATTTGGTACTTTCCGTGTTTTGGCATTTTGGCAAATTTTTGCGTCGCCACTGGCTACACATTGCATTGCGCCCTCGCCTTCATCGTTTCCCTTACTCCCCTTCCTTTGCCTAGCCCCACCATGGGCCCCTTCCTCTCCTTTTTATTCTCACCCAATGGTTGTTTCTGGATCCCCATTCTAATCCACCTCTTCGTCACCTCCAGTCTCCTCCTCCTCATCTTCTTTGCTCCCCCACCATATGTGATGTCACCACTTCCTATCCGCTTCCGTCGCCGATCCGTTGACTACCATGTGCCACTGCTGATATCAGCAAAGCCCCGGTGGCCGGTCCAAATAGGGCAACAGGTCCATCTTCATGACATCGATCTGCCATCATATACTATCAAAACATCAGTCGCTCGTCTCGCCTGGTTGGAGCGTGGGTGGGTAGTTTTTGAGCTGGAGAAGGTTCATCCCCTTGCGTCGCCCATGTTCATCGCTGTCCCATTCACTTGGGTACACTTATCATTTGTCCATCGTCTTCGCTACAGCTACACCTACCACACACTGCCTGGGACTCACTTGTTCCAAATTGGAACTACTCCTCTCCCTCCCTCGTTTGATCAGGTGGTCCAACACAACCAGTCCATTGGTAAGGCCATGGAACTGTCAGATTTGGACTAGGTGGTGGACCGGTGGCTCCAGTTTCTTTTTCTTCAGCAGAACATTCATTTACAGTGCGATTATTTTTGATTTTTGAATCATTTTTATGGACACATATTTTTTTAGAATGCCTGACTGACAATAAAGGAACTGTGTTGATACTGATAGTGTTTTGACTTGCACTTTTTTTTACTGCATCTTCCCATGACATCATGATTTTCCTGCTCTCCTTTTGCTATTGGACTTTACTTTATGGCTGTACAAACCTGTGACATTACTCACAGCATTTATTGTTCTATCCCTTTCTTTTCCTTTTTTTGACAATCTTATCCTGTACTACCTACGCAGGATTTGTCAGCGTACATTCCTTCCTTCATATTCTTTCTCATCCTTTTTGCACAGCTATACTATGCATAGCCTACTTTTCTTTTACTATATAAACCCCTGTATTTTACCTTGTAAAAAAAAACAACAACAAGTAATCCAATCCAGACTTCTTCTCTACTCTCAAGTTCACTACTCTACTACTTGTGATCCAGTGTGGTCACAACACTTCCCACTTCTACCACTGTTAACTGCTGTCATCATCACTCGTCACTTTTTGAAAGTGATTGTCATCCCCTTCGATTAGAGTCCTTCTGAGCACTACAGTTTGTGCGTCAGGAGCCTGCTATCACTGGGAACCTCGTCACCTCGTCATCCTCGTCGTTCTCAAACCTACCTTGTGCTATGATTAGCAAGGTAGTGCTTGTCTATACTCATCACAAAGCCCCTATCCTTCTATAAAATCAACTATCCCTCCTCCTCAAAACCCACACTCATACACCTCTGGGTTTTACTTTGAAGGATCTTTATACGTACCACCCCACGAACAACCAGACCACTCCACTGTTCTAGGAGGAAAAGCCCATAAACAAGTTCCGTGGAATCTGGGAGGATTGTGTGTTAGTTTGTTTTGTGTGTGGTTTTCTAACTGCAGTTCTCATCATCGACAATTAGAGCCCACCGCGAGGGGTGGTTTCCTTCAAGCTAAATACCAACCATTTCATCGCCATCACTGTCTAATTTATCATCTACACCTTCTATCTCACCCACCGCTTTATCTGTCCCATCCCTCTCTTCCAGTAACTCAATTTCTGTACCAGCTTCTACTCAGCAAGCTTCGCGTTTACCCCCTATACTTTTCACTATGAATCAACCTACTACTCTCTCAGTCATCACTATGCCAATTCCTGGCACTCGTTATGCTCCTAAGAAGTTCAAGGGAGACTATACTCGTGTCAGGGATTTTGTTCTCCACTATGAGTGCATCTGTCATGCAAACAATGTCACTGCTGACGATGAAAAATGCTCAAGCATTCTCCAATACTGCTCCACATATGTTCGCGAAATTATTGAAGGAATGAAGCACTTCATTACGCCCTCATGGAACAGTCTCAAAGACGAAATTCTCCAGTACTTTGATGCTGCAAAAGCAGAGGCCAAATTTAAAGAGCATCATCTTAAACAGCTGGTCGATGCTTCGCACAAGAAGAAAATGGGCTCTCTGGACGATTTCAAGAGCTACATGAGGAAGTATGTTCGTGTTGGAGGATGGCTTCTTGCCAAATCCAAAATCACTCAGGACGTATTCAATCGCTTCTTCTGGAAAGGACTACCCAAAACCCTTCGTCATCGCGTTGAAAACAGACTTTTACAGAGGGATCCTACCCTTGATCTCTCCCAGCCTTTTGTCTTTGATGATGTTGTCAAGGCTGTAGAGCATGTCCTTCGCAGAGATCGCTTTGATGATGAAGATTTTGACTCTGATGATTCGGATTCAGACTCGGATTCAGAAAACTCTTCCAGTTCTTCGGACGATTCTTCTGACTCTGACAAAGAGGAAGAACCACCTCGTTATATCAGGAAAACCACCAAGCAGAAGAAAGAAAAAAAGCGCACCTCTGAGACAGAGAAAGAGAGAAAGTTGTTGAGTCCTTCCAAGTCGAAGAAAACCCTTCACTCTTTAGACGAAGAAGAGCACACTGCTGTCAAACAGGATGAAGTAGAAACCCTTATCAAGAAGTTGGGTTCTATGACAATTGAAGATCCTAACTATCCTCTGCTCTACTATCGTGCTATCAAACTTGACACTGATGCTCGACTTATACTTCGTCTTCCCACTTTCATGAACCAGTCAGCTAGACCATCTCGATCCTAAACTGAAAGGTAGTAAGCTCGATTACCTAATTCACTGGCATGGTTATCCAGTCTCCAAACGCACTTGGGAACCCGACACCAATCTTACACATGTCGCTAATTTACTCGCCGCTTTCCACAAAACAAATCCAGCCGCCCCTCGGATTATTACCGCTTCTCTTCACTTCCGTCCTTACGAAAACTACACCGCCACTTCTAAACCTCCAATGCTTTTTGATTGGATTAGTAACAAGTTCCAGAGTGCCACATCCGGACTCATGAGGACACGAGTCTTATAAAAGGGGAGCTAATGTGAGGAATCGATTTTTCTTATCGCATTCCCGTCATGTCGTGGTTAGCAGACTCGATCCCCGTCACTCCTCTTGCCCTTGGACTAGAGATTACAGCAGGTGTCTTATTACTTTTATCATTTTTCTTCTTATTCTCTCTTCACACTCACGTTCTATCGTACCTACAACAAGGTAGACTTGTTGTCAACCCTCGAGAAGATATCCAGATGACATAGCCACGATCCAGTGCTATGTCTGGGAATACTTTGGAGGAATATTGATAAGCAAAGAAGGTTGTGAGTCAGTGCCTTCCCATGGGCTTACTGATACAGCCAATCACACATCCCTTACCAATACATTTTCTCATACAATTAGTAAATACGATAGATCGGACCACCTTCTCCTTTTTTCTTATTGGTTAGCTAGCTGGTCAGACCACTTTCTCAGTTCTTCCCTTTCTCGGTCTGACCATCGCTGTTCACTATATAAAGAGGTACATACTCGATGTACTATTCTCTAGTTCAATATTAGTTTGGATTTGCGCTTATACCGATACTCTTTATCCTCATACCCTGATTCACCGCCTTCCAGCAAGGACTTGACCAGGCATTGGGCTTTGTTATATAGCTTCGTATTTGTTGCCTGACACACAGCTCTTGATCAGAGCTATGTCATTGGGATATCTTCTTGTGAACAAAGGAAGAGCCTTCTATTCTGTAAGTATGGTAGAATGCAAGTATGAAAGGAAAATAAAAGAAGAAAGGAGATAAGTAAAAGGATCTCTATGGTGACTTCTAGTCTGATGGCTAGGGGAGTGGCTGGAAGCAATTGAGAGAACCAAGACATGATGGGAATGCAATTAGAATAATCAATTCCTCACAGTTTGAAGGACAAGATTTGCTGATGTACCCAGTTATGCTCAGCTTGAGGCTTGGAGTATTTTTCAACTTCGGCCTTGAGGCTCTTCCAGGTTGGCCATGCATTTTCAGCATAGCAATCCTGAAGTCTCACTTGGGCGTTGTCATGCACCAAAGTTGATTGGCAGCATAGACAGGTGTCAATAATGAAGCAAATATTCAAAAATACTCGCTTTTGCGCCACACAAGCACAGTGCCACATAGAATAGTAATTAATATTGCCTTTTTCGAACTTGTGGCTGTTCAGCACCCACCTGTATTAGGCAATCAGGTTGCGCTCATCTTTGCTTTCCATTCAGTACTTTCCACATTTTGGCATTTTGGCAATTTTTTGCATTACCACTGGCTACATATTGTATTGCACTCTCGCTTTTGTCGTTTCCCTTACTCCCCTTCATTTGCCTAGCCCCACCATGGGCCCTTTACTGTCTTTTTTATTCCCACCTGACAGTTGTTTCTGACTCCCTATTCTAGTCCACTTTCTCATCACCTCCACCCTCCTCCTATTCGTTTTCCTTGCTTCCCCACCATACCTGATGTCACCACTCTCCATCCGCTTCCGTTGCCAATCCGTCAACCACCACGTATCACTGCTAATATCAGCAAAGCCCTGGCAGCCAGTCCAAATTGGGCAACAGGTCTATTTTCATGACATTGATCTTCTATTATATACTATCAAATCATTGGTCGCTTGTCTCACCTGGTTGGAGCGTGGGTGGGTAGTTTTTGAGCTGGAGAAGGTTCATCCCCTTTTGTTGCCTAAGTACATTGCTGTCCCATTCACTTGGGTACACTTATCATTTGTCCATCGTCTTCGCTACAGCTACACCTACCACACACTGCCTGGGACTCCAAATTGGAACTACTCCTCTCCCTCCCTCGTTTGATCAGGTGGTCCAACACAACCAGTCCATTGGTAAGGCCATGGAACTGTCGGATTTGGACTAGGTGGTGGACCGGTGGCTCCAGTTTCTTTTTCTTCAGCAGAACATTCATTTACAGTGCAATTATTTTTGATTTTTGAATCATTTTTATGGACACATATTTTTTTAGAATGTCTGACTGACAATAAAGGAACTGTGTTGATACTGATATTATTTGTGCCTTGCTTTTTTTTACTGCATCTTCCCATGACATCATGATTTTCTTGCTCTCTTTCTGCTATTGGACTTTATTTTATGGCTGTACAAACCTATGATAGTACCTACACAGCATTCATTGTTCTATCCCTTTTTTTTTTTCCTTTTTTTGACAATCTTATCCCGTACTACCTATGTAGGATTTGTCAGTGTACAATATATTCATTCCTTCATGTTCTTTCTCATTCTTTTTGCACAGCTATACTGTGCATAGCCTTCCTTTTTTTTTACTAGATAAACCCCTGTATTCTACCTTGTAAAAAAAACAAAAAATTGAATCCAGACTTCTTCTCTCATCTCAAGTCTACTGTTCACTGCTACTTGTGATCCAGTGTGGTTACAACACTTCCCACTACTACTACTGTTATCTGCAGTCATTGTCACTCTCTACTTCTGAAGTCACTATTATCTCTTTTAATTAGAGTTTTTTTGAGCACTACAGTCTGTGTATTAGGAGCCTGCTATCATTGGGAACCTCGTCACCTCGTCATTCTCAAACCTACCTTGTGCTACAATTAGCAAGATAGTACTCTACTGATTGACAGATTAACTACAGCTATCAAATTCCTACAAAAATGGCTGCAAGACTGCATCCATGTTTTGTGTGGAAATATAAAATTATTTCAACAAAAATACAGTATTCTGACAAAATCTTGTAGGTCCAAGATACAATCAAATATCCTAACCACCTTCAGGCTTTTTCATCAATTTTGGGTGTGATAAAAGTCAGTTATGCTTGGTGTAATATCAATGTCTGCCATACCTAATAAGATCAACATTTGAAACAACAATGGATCTTTATTGGCTTTTTTATGCTAGGACATGCTTCTAGCTATGAAGACCAACCTGTCAGCCAACCTAAACACATGTATAGATGACTTACCTTTGTTCATTAATGGAGGAAATGGCATACAGCAATTTCAATGCATCTATTTTTCTTGGTGGAATAGGTATGGTACATCAGTAAGTTGTTCTATGGTATTTATAATTTGTGCTTTCTTAACACAGGGTCATGATGCTCCAGTAGAGCATCCAAATAAACTTGTTGGTGCCAACCAGAGTCAATCTTTGCCTTACCTATTCAGTGAAATTGAACAGAATGAACAGCTTTATTTTAACCTTCAAGCAGCCTTTGGCAAGGTATTTGAGTGGATTGAATCAGAAGTATTTTTTTTCTGTGGACATATATGATTTTAATAGATTTTCTTACAGATAGAGCATTGCCTTCCTCAAGAGTACTGTGACCACATCAACAAGAATCTATCTTGGGGCACTAGAGCACAACCACAGAAACATCAACTCAGAGGAATGATGGTATAACTCAGCAAGAGAGGGAGGTTGTTGTACTAATGTTGGAATACACTAGAAGAGGACTCACTGAGTCTCTCCACATGTATTGCTCAGGTATATATACTACAATACATGAGGTATTGTACAGTTGTAAGTAAAGTTCAAAGTCCGATGTCTAGCATGTAACCAATTATATGTTGAGTCTAGACACTGGTCAGGTGATGTGTCACATGACTGGTCATATGATTATGAAAAGTCCAAAAAGTAAAGTAAAATAAATGGTCACATGATTAGTCATGTGACTTGGAAAATGAAAAGTAAAAGTACACAAAAGTAAAGCGTAAAGTAGATACTGGGGTGCCTATTGTAACAAATACTCTACTCTAGTCAAGATAGTGGACACTTTTCCAGACAAGCTTGGATCCCCTGTCAGCCCATTTTTCTCCCTTGTTGTAAACATTGATGTTTGCACAAATGCTCATAGAGATAGTAAGGATCAAGACTTATGCTTAGTTTTACCTATTGGTGATTTTTCTGGGGGTGTTCTTGTTATGTATGAGCAAGTGTGACAACACCAACAAGACACAATCTTGGGGCACTGGAGCACAATGAAAACAACACTCAGAAGTAGAGGAAAAGGTGGGAGTGGTTACCGATTTGGTAGGAACAAATTAGTTGTTGGTAGACAACAGGAGGACTCGCTGAGTCCTTCTCCATGTATTGCTCCTGTATATATACTAAAATACATGAGGTACTATACAGTTGTAAATAAAGTTTACAGTCCGATGTCTAGCATGTGACTGGTCACATGATGAGTCTAGACTAGACACTGGTCATGTGGCTATGAAAAGTCCGAAAATGTAAAGTAAAGTAAATGGTCACATGATCAGTCATGTGACTTGGAAAATAAAAAGTAAAAGTACAAAAAGTAAAGTGTAAGTAGATGTTGGTATGCCAATTGTAACAGCAAGGGCTTGTTTTTGAGTTGTGTTCTGGGGATTTTGTTATATTCCGCTCTGAAGAGACTACTCACTTTGACCTTGATTATCAAGGGGAAAAAACTTCCTTTGTTTTACATACAGATGGCCACTTTAGATCTTGGGTTAGTGACAGGAATGGTTGGGAGGAAAATCTATTCTTCAATTAATACTACATAATTTTAGCTATAGTTTTCTTTGTTTTCTTGATTTTTACAGACGCACACAAGCATACAACAGCTATCTGTCTATATGTTGTTACGATAACACATTTCCGGACCTTTCCTTTTATTTTCATTCTCCGCTTTAACCTTTACTATAGTTTTCACACTCTGTGCCATGCGGCACTTTCCCTTTTGTTCAAACTCCTCTTTCTTGCGCGGTGCTGCTTTTATTCTTAGTTTAGCTACAAGTCTCTCATGCAGTGGAGCTGGTCACACAGGCTGTGCCCTCTGACATCATCAGCCACTGCCTTATCAACTGTATAGTACAACATGTACAAACAACCTGTAGTAGTATATATACCACAATAAATCCAGGAGACTCCTCAGCAAGTCCCCCTGTTGTTTACCCATAACTAACTCAGTCCTATCCCAAGGGTAACCACTCCCCTCACTACCTTTATAGTTAGTTCTAGTTGTGCACCAGAGTATACAAACTCTAGGTTGTTACATTAGGACTCGCTCTTTTTACTCTCTCGCACATTGTGCAAACTCGGACTCCAGGGTCAAGGAGATAGAATTGTTGTTTGGGAATATCCCGCATAGCAGATAGGTGCACTCTTTGCGATGGCCTTGTAGTGCTTTGGGAGAAGAAATAATAATTATTTGACACGCGGCCCCCAACGTTAAGGGGAGTACCTTAGCTCAGCAGTTGGTGCGGAACCACTGTTGATTAGAAATTTAGACACAAAAACTTCTCTTTCTCTTTCCTCTGACCAAACCGGGCATTTGCCTCCGCCAGTTGGAGAAGGGCTGACAGCTTAACAAGCGGGTGTAACAACCAAGAGTTAGTTACTCTGGCGCACACTATAAAGGTAGTGAATGGGGAGTGGTTACCCCTTAGGCTGCAGAGAGTTTGTTGGTTAACAACAGGAGGACTTGCTGAGGAGTCTCCTGGATCTATTGGGGTATATATACTAATACAGAGTGTTTGTACTTATGTACTGTACAGTTGATAAAGTCAGTGGCTGATGATGTCATGGGGCCTAGCCCGCATGACCAGCTCCACTGTGTGAGAGAGTTTGTATCTAAAATCAGAAGAAGGCAATGCGGCGCGAGAAAGAGGAGTTTGATCAAAAGGGGAAGTGCCGCGTGGCACTATGTGTGAAAGCTAAAGTATACAAGGTTAAAGCGGAGAATGAAAAAGAAGGAAAGGTCCAAAAATTGTGTTATCATAACAGCAGGCCACCCCCTGACAACCGTTCGAACCAAGGTTTTAATACGAATACTTTTTATATACAAATTCAAATACTATAGTGTGGGTAGTCGGGGATTGAGACCCGATACTCAGCTAGGAAGAGGTTGATCCGCAGATAGCAAGCGGGGACCCCCAGTTACATTTTTTTACCTTATATTATAAGAAAACAAGTCGACATGTCGTTGCAAAGCCAACAACCTGACGTCAATATTCTGTTGCACAACATGCGTGCACAGATATTGACGTTGACCACGCAACTCGCCAAGCTGCAGGCGAACCCCGCCGCAGCAACCCCCTCAGTCAGGAAAAAGTTCACAAAGAAAGTCGAAGTTGTTGCTGACCCTGGCGCCTTCAAAGGAGAAAGATCACAATTCGCCAAATGGTGGATCAAACTCCAAATTTGGGTCAAGGCAAACTGGGATGTGTTTGCCGACAACTTTGAGGTAGCCACTGTGGTGCTATCTCGACTAAAAGGACCTGTGGCGGGTCAATACGCCCAAGTTAGAATGCAGGAGTGCTAGACCGCGGGAGTGTGGCCTGTCTGGGATGATCTCAAAGTTGAGATTGAAAAGTATTTCAAACCGCAAGCTGAGCGTGACTGGGCGCATCAGCAGATCCGTTCCTTCAAACAAGGAAATATGAGGACGGATGATTTTGTAACCCGGTTCCTGGCCCTCTCTATCCAAGGGGGCTTAGGTAATGAACATGCGGTAGAGCTATTGGAATGCAATGTGAACCCTCATATTGCAGAACAACTCTATCTGCAGGATATGAGAAACGACAACCTCTCCCAAGCAGCGGAGGAGGTTAGAAAGATAGGTAGGGCCATAGAGCTCTACAAAATGCACCAAGGTGGCGGGATCACCACCAAAAATAACTATTCCCAGAGGAGCCCTGGGTTATCAAACCAAAAATCAAATCACTCTCACAGGTTCCAGCCTTTTGGGTTGCAACCAGGTCAGGGTGCTCCAATGGATATCAGTGTGGTCCAAGGTGGACAGAAGGGCAGATTCACCTGCTTCAGCTGTGGGCAGGAGGGGCACATGGCCCAAGATTGCATAAACAGAGCGCGGGCCGCTCAACAAAAAAATAACCAAGCGTGCCAATTGGAATCAGAAAAGCCGGACAATCAGCTCAACACTCTGGCCGGTCGTTCTTACGACAAAATCCGGGCTTTCTTCTATGACCAACATGTTAATGAAATGAAAGCTTAGGGAAAAGAGTTTGGAGCTTAGGTCACTTGGGTGCCTTCGCTCCACAAAACAATGAAGTAAACCACAACAAAGTGGCCCCTGCTCTGGGGTGTTGCACGAGCAATAATAGAAAGAAGGGGATGGCTCCCCAAATTGTAAATAGATTCTTAGATTTATTATCAGAAGTATGTACATGTATGCGTAGTTGTGACTGTGGATTTGCCCTGGACCCATCTGGCAATATAGCTGCTTTGAGCGCTGATTCAGTGGGTCAGGACGATGAAGGAGTTAGTACTAGAAATACTTACAATACCACCGCTGTACCAGCGTCTCCTTTGGAGCGTGGCCCCGGCGAGACAAATACTAGGGTGCTTGATTCTGGTAAAAATAAGATAGAAAAACATGTAGTTTTCGATGTTTCTTCTTCTTCTTTGGAGCCACCCTTTAACAAAATCCCAAGGTGTGTGTTGATGCGCACATATTTATTCCAAAAGGAGATCTGTTTAGATGTTGGTGTGGAAAGTCTTGCCCGGGGCACAGTACACCCAACTAGTGCTGTCGATGATGAGAACTGTTGTTAGAAAACCACACATAAAACAAACTAACACACAATCCTCCCAGATTCCACGGAATTTGTTTATGGGCTTTGCCTTCTAGAACAGTGGGTGCTCTTGTTGTTCGTGGAGTAGTATGTATGAGGATCCTTCAAAGTAAAACCCAAAAATGTATGGGTGTGGGTTTTGAGGAGGAGGGATAGTTGAAATGTAGAAGGTAGGGGCTTTGTGGTGAGTATAAGATGAGCACTACCTTGCTAATCTTAGCACAAGGTAGGTTTGAGAATGACAAGATAATGAGGTTCCCAGTGATAGCAGGCTCCTAATGCACAAACTGTAGTGCTTGTGAGGATTTGATTTTTCTTATCGCATTCCCGTCATGTTGTGGTTAGCAGACTCGATCCTGTCACTCCTCTTGCCCTTGGACTAGAGATTACAGCAGGTGTTTTATTACTTTTATCCTTTTTCTTCTTATTCTCTATTCACACTCACGTCCTATTGTACCTACAACGAAGGAGACTTATTGTAGACCCTCGAGAAGATATCCAAATGACATAGCAACGATCCAGTGCTATGTCTGGGAATACTTTGGAGGAATATTGATAAGCGAAGAAGGTTGTGAGTCAGCACCTTCTCATGGGCTTACTGATACAGCCATTCGCACATCCCTTACCAATACATTTTCTCATACGATTAGTAAATACGATAGATCGGACCACCTTCTCCTTTTTTTTCTTATTGGTTAGCTAGCTGGTCAGACCACTTTCTTAGTTATTCCCTTTCTCGGTCTGACCATCGCCGTTCACTATATAAAGAAGTATATACTCGATGTACTATTCTCTAGTTCAATATTAGTTTGGATTTGCGCTTATACCGATACTCTTCATCCTCATACCCTGATTCATCGCCTTCCAACAAGGACTTGACCAGGCATTGTGCTTTGTTATATAGCTTCGTATTTGTTGCCTGACAGTGCTCAGAAGGACTCTAATCAAAAGGGATGACAATGACTTTCAAAAGTGACAAGTGACGATGACAGCAGTTAACAGTGGTAACAGTGTTAAGTGTTGTGACCACACTGGATCACAAGTAGAAGAGTAGTGAACTTGAGATTAGAGAAGAAGTCTGGATTTGAGTTCTTGTTGTTTTTTTACAAGGTAAAATACAGGGGTTTATATAGTAAAAGAAAAGTAGGCTATGCACAGTATAGCTGTGCAAAAAGAATGAGAAAGAACATGAAGGAAGGAATGTACGCTGACAAATCCTGCATAGGTAGTACAGGATAAGATTGTCAAAAAAAGGAAAAAAAAGGGATAGAACAATGAATGCTGTGAGTAATGTCACAGGTTTGTACAGCCATAAAGTAAAGTCCAATAGCAAAAAGAGAGCAGGAAAATCATGATGTCATGGGAAGATGCAGTAAAAAAAGGGCAAGGCAAAACACTATCAGTATCAACACAGTTCCTTTATTGTCAGTCAGACATTCTAAAAAAATATGTGTCCATAAAAATGATTCAAAAATCAAAAATAATCGCACTGCAAATGAATGTTCTGCTGAAGAAAAAGAAACTGAAGCCACCGGTCCACCACCTAGTCCAAATCCGACGGTTCCATGGCCTTACCAATGGACTGGTTGTGTTGGACCACCTGGTCAAACGAGGGAGGGAGAGGAGTAGTTCCAATTTGGAACGAGTGAGTCCCAGGCAGTGTGTGGTAGGTGTAGCTATAGCGAAGATGATGGACAAAAGATAAGTGTACCCAAGTGAATGGGACAGCGATGAACATGGGCGACGCAAGGGGATGAACCTTCTCCAGCTCAAAAACTACCCACCCACGCTCCAACCAGGCGAGACGAGCGACTGATGTTTTGATAGTATATGATGGCAGATCGATGTCATGAAGATGGACCTGTTGCCCTATTTGGACCGGCCACCGGGGCTTTGCTGATATCAGCAGTGGCACATGGTAGTCAACGGATCGGCGACGGAAGCGGATAGGAAGTGGTGACATCACATATGGTGGGGGAGCAAAGAAGATGAGGAGGAGGAGACTGGAGGTGACGAAGAGGTGGATTAGAATGGGGATCCAGAAACAACCATTGGGTGAGAATAAAAAGGAGAGGAAGGGGCCCATGGTGGGGCTAGGCAAAGGAAGGGGAGTAAGGGAAACGATGAAGGCGAGGGCGCAATGCAATGTGTAGCCAGTGGCGACGCAAAAATTTGCCAAAATGCCAAAACACGGAAAGTACCAAATGGAAAGCACCGCGACTGGATTGCCTAATAGAGGTGGTGCTGATCAGCCACAATATTGAAAAGGCAATATTAATTACTATTCCACGTGGCACTGTGCCTGAGTGGCACAAAGGCGAGTCTTTTTGAATATTCACTTTGTTATTGACACCTGTCCATGCTACCAATCAACTTTGGTGCATGACATCGGATGACCACGACATGATGGGAATGCAATGAGAAAAATTGATTCCTCACAGAGCAGGGGCCGGTAAGGAGTAACTTGTAATGTAGGTACGGAGTTCCATGTGACAAAACCGGATAAACCCGGTCTCTGCCAAAGCAGCCATTGTTCTCCATGGAGCATAGCCACCACTCCATGTAGTAACCATTGTTCTCCTAGGAGCACAATTGTACTCCTAGGAGTCATTATACTGTAGCGAGTAGCACCTCCGACTATAAGTAGTAGGGGGTTTAGTATAGGAATACCTCAGTCGTTTCTATAGCCTCTCGGGCAGCAGCTGAGGTATGTTACATTACATTTATTAGAGATCACCTTAAACTAACATCTATTGTAGTTTCACTTAGGTAAATAATAAAGTCGTTTCTATAGCCTCTTGGGCAGCGGCTGAGTTTCACTTAGTTTTATTACCATGCGGACAATTATCTAGCGAGAGGAGAACATATGTACAAGGAGTGTATCATAAGGTCTAACTACAGAGTCCACGAGGAATACTAGAACGTGCGAGGAGAAACATATGGCGGATTAGAAATCCGGTGCAGGAGTATTGGGGTGGACGGCCGGAGTACCATGTGGAACTGGGGCGTAGAGTTATGCCGACTGGCAGACCATGAGGAACATAATCCCGAGTATGCCAATGGTTCAGGGGCTTTGGATTCAGAGAGTATCTCCTTCGGAGACACTGGAGTTCTGTCTTCCGGTACAGATATGACAATGGCACAGTAAGTCATACTCCTACAGAGCGGGTCTGAGCTATGCCTCATGCATTGTTTCATTATTACTTAACTCCTAGGACACAGCTCACTCAATATGCTCTTTTTCAAGGCATGTTTTGGATCAAAAAGCCCCTCCGGGTTTTCTCCGAAAACTGTTCTTATTAATCAAATCTTTCAGATCAAGAAATTTCATTTTTCATCCAGTACTAAGGCAGAACTTCGAAAGTACAGACTTAGAATATCATCTCCTGCTAGTTTATTACATAAGAGTGTATTACCTTTTGTAATGTCTGTTTCTAACTAACATTCAAGTTCACTCAGAAAGATCTACAGCACAGTATAGTAATGTGATTCAGTAGTAGACTAAGCAATACACGTACACATCCAATCTAAAACTACAGTCCTACACGTTCGACGAACCTAATTTCTATATATCTAGTATATAATAGTAATGGTAGTACTACAATTAAGAGCATGCCGATGTCGAGCATTGGCCCGGGCATGTGATGAAACCGGGCATACGATATAAAACAAATATTTTGAGGGGGTATGCTTTAGTGGCGTCATGAATGATGATAGTAGAAAATGAGGAAGGAAAATAGAAGATTGTGTTTGGTACTGGTAGGCCTGCAGCCAGCAAGTATTCCGGCGAATGTCCGCATGAAAGATCCAATATTAGCTCCAGCCCAATGCTATAAGCCGTTTATCAACGTCAATTCAGCGTGCCTTCAAAGCCCGTAGCTCTCTCTGCACATCCCTGATATCGCCCCTGTTCCATTCACCAACCCAGTCCTGCCTCCCCCTCGGTGTGCTCGCCACACGCGGTGCAGACAGTGACATACTCCTTCTTTTCACGCGTTTCTCGCCAGCCGATGGGTTGGGGAACACGAGCTCGCACGGGACGTTCTCACCCAAGTGTCTTGCGAGCTTCGCCATGCGCTTGCGGCGTACCTCGGCTACGCTCGGCACTGCGGGAGTGCATGGGGTAGGAGGGAGTATGGGACTGGTGCAGGTAGCGGAAGGTGTCGAGGGCAAGAGGGAGAGGGATGAGGCGAAGCGTGTATCCGAAGGAGAAACAGGGACAGTGTTGAGGCGAAGGTAGAGTGGGTGTGGTTTGAAGTGCTTGCCAGCTCTGCGAGTGGGGTTTGGCAAGCCAGGGGGCGTCATGGGGGCATCGCCGTTTTTAGAATCGAATGAAAGGGGGAGGGAGACCAGAGAAGCAGATGGAGAGGGGTTGTGCGAAGATGGAGGGTGGGACGAACTGAATGAGGAGACAGATGAGGAAGCGTGCGAGTGGTGCGTGAATATAGACCCTTGGCGCCTCAGCGCTTTCGTGTTCTTCATTTTGAAACGTTTGTCGCTGTCTCCGCCAATGGGAAGGATACTAATGGGGATGGGAGTGGAGTCGGACTCAAGGAGGTAGGGCGTAGTACCAAGGACCGCGCCTAGTTTTCGTGTCGAGCGGATGAGGCGCGTGCGTTGATAAGCATCAAGAGTATTAGAAGTGGGTGGCGGATGTGGGTATATGATTGTGCTTGTAGGTGCGGTCATGGTACAAGACATTGGAGAAGAACGGGAGGGAGTAGATTAAGGAGAAGTCGAAAGTTTGCGTGATGCAAGGACTCAGAAGGAAATAGGAATAGGAGAGAAGAGTAACCGGTACTCGTTGATATTGAAGCGAAAAAGACGAACGGGATAAGATGTCGATGGAACCGAACGAGGGCGAACGCGGTTTGAAGAGGAAATGAAAGTTGAGGAGATATAAGGCAAACGAGAACAATTGAGCTTTAACCAAAAGCAGAACTCCAGTTCTTGCCGATACGGGGATAATACAATTGAACCCTGAACAATGAGCTTAGAGTGATGGGCCAGCGAGATACAGTGCACCTGCACGGCGGTCGCGAGGCGGAAGAATAGAGCGAAAAACAATACCAACTCCTCTCCTATTGTTCCCGATTTGGCAAGTGCTGTAAAACGTGACAGCAGAACAAGGCGTGACGGAGCTTTGGTGACATACGATTTCCTGATTTGGATATGAGTAACGCATTCGAGTCACGGGACACATGCCACGGAACATATGTTTTCTTGTTCTTGTCCTCGATCTGTGTGACATCGCCTCGGAAGCGCAATGGAAAACCTGAACAAGGTTCGCAGTTAGAATTGGTCTGGCCAACCACATCGCGGAAGAGGAGATAGATTGGGCTTTGGAGACACAGGTGTGTGCTGGACTCATCGCGGCTGTGCTATCAGCGTCTGTGCTCAACAACATCATGATACGAGATGCACAGATCATGAAATACATAGATGATGATCAACAAGTATGCCCTCGCCGAATAACGCCTTCAAATTCGGAGCATATTGTGAAGCTAGAGGCTGGATTAATAAGACTTTAGAGTTTTAACCTATCGGCGCTCTCGCTGTTTTCCAGTGAAAGTCTGGAGATGTCCGTTGATGAGGAAGCGACGACGACAGTGAGGGTGGCTTTGCAAAATTTTGGATTGCGCACTAAGAAGGAAATGTTGTATTAGAGTTTGTAAACGGCGACTTGGGGGGCCTATGCGAGAATTGCTTTTTGTGCTGGAAGTCATTACGCAGTCACTGGAGTGCTGGCGATATCGATGCTGTTAGCCCGAGGTGAGACGTTCATTTTGGGGCTGTGATGATATCCTTCACTCCCAGTCAAAATCTATGCAAAGTTGCTTCATACATGTGCAAATTGTTTCGCGGATATGTCTACCAGCATTGTTTCGATGGTAGACAGTTGACCTAATACGACAACAATATTTTGACGACGATAGTTCAGCTGTGAGGGGATGGAGTGGCACCAGCGTTGTGCGCAAAGGGACAAGACAAGACCAGTGGTGGGAACTGCAGTAGGGAAGAGCCCGAGAATAGCGATATTGTCTGAGGCTGGAGCTGCGTAGGCGTTGGGTGGGAAAGAAGTCAACCTAGGAATGTGAGATGACCTGTAAACTTCACCGTCATGATGCCGAATGATTGCACGGCATGATCATTGCCATACATAGTAGGACCGCCCGATATCGCTCTCGCTCTCAACCAACCACCGAGCGGTGCTGAGAGCGTGCCTGGGCTTAACTACAGAGGGTTAACTGCTGTGGTTAACGAGTGCTGAGCTGGCTGCAGAAACTTTTGTGTGCGGCTGGTCCAGAACATTGCTGTTTGATAGTGCCCGGAGACATTTTACTGCTTTCTGGAGCTGTGTGAGACGCGTTGTCGCGTTCAACGAGGTGACAGTGCCACTTAGGGATTGTAATTGTAATTGTCTTGTCGTTATTGGGACAAGTCTATAAAGGCGAAAATAGATGCCTACCGAATTCTGAGCAAAATTGCACCCTACGAGTCGGACGAGCTCGAGGTTACTGCCTATATACACTTGACTTTATATGCTGCCGGGACGTTGGCATAAACGATTGAGTATATTCAAATAGTCAAAGTCAGCTAGTATGTTCCGTGTAAGCAATGGGTATCACCTAAATACCCACTGCTTACAAGAACCGTATTAGTCGACAGGGACAGCGAAGAACTTGGAAGCTGGACGGGTGTTTCGCAACCACTGGCTAAATATGACTAGCTCGAAGCGTCATGATCAACGAGACAGTAGTGTTGCTGGGCTATTGATATTGGGCTATTGTTGTTAGAACAAAATCATGGCAAAAAAAGCACAAGTTACTGACTGTATTCATAACAATAACCCTCGCCATCTGCCCACAACTTGTGAATATGGTGGTTGAGTATCGTGGGCCCGCTGTCCTGACACTTACAGTGGTGACAGACAGTTTGCCGATAAGCTCGTGGCTCTGACCTGATGATCGTGGTGAGAGAAGCGGAGAAAAAGACGGTGTCTCTTGGGAAGATCGAGGGCTGATGCTAAGTTATTTGTAGTGCTGGACTACACAAACGAAAGATAAGGCTTGCATTTGTAAGATTTAACCGCAAGAGTTGTTGTTTACCTAAAATGTGTATCCCCATGCCATTGCGTCCTCGACGAACAACGGCGACAGTTCTGCCAACAATGTCGATATCGTAATCCTGTCATTTGTCGTGCCACGACCACAACTCTGTTTGTAAAATTATGATTTTGGTTGACAGGAGAAGACAGGTACGAATGGTGGTCTGGTGAACTCGGAAAAGCCTCGGATGTGGGGATTTGCCCTGGTTGAAGGCACAGTTCATTCTACAATATCACTCGCACCATACGAATGCCTCGTATTCATCTCAGCCGTGATGGATGTCAATTATACAGGTTGGCTGGAACGACCAGGGCTGACACTGGGAGACCTATAAGAAACAATATGGTGGTCCGAGATTAAGGTGTTGTTACTCGTTTCCGGTCTTGCGCTAACGTTAGCCTGCAGGGAGGGAATTTCTTTTATAGTGAGTCTATTCGCTTTCGTTCGTCACCAGGTTTACAGTTCACTGACCTACCCCCAGTCTTTTTCCCCGTCTAGCAAAAACACACTCTTTTCTTTGTCTCTCGTTTCTTATTCATACGCCTGCTACAGCGTTTCAGGTGGTTCTAAAATGCTCTCAAGCTTTCTCGCGCTCTTTACGAGTATCATTCTCGCCTCGTCTACCCTCGTATCGGGCCTAGGATCCTACTGCGATGTGGAAGTGAACAAGGGAACGGCAGCCCCTGGTGATCCCTACTGGTTCGGTAACATCACCCACCGTGGAACCTCCGCCTTTAATCCCGACCCCAATTCATATAAGGTCTTCCGCAACGTCAAGGACTTTGGTGCAGTGGGTGATGGTCTCACGGACGATACAGCTGCAATCAAGTGCGTAGATTAACATATGTTTCAGCTTTCTTATATATGTGATTTAACAGTTTGGCAATGTCGACTGGGGATCGGTGTGGAAATGGGACGTGCCAGTCTTCTACGTAAGCCATCCAAGTTATTAATTGATCTGATTGCGCCCAATGCTCATCGCTCTCAAATAGACTTACACCTGCAATCGTCTATTTCCCCCAAGGGTAAGTGCTTATATGCAGACCTAGCTCGCTTTCACGGTTTCACTGGGTATAAAGGACGTATCTCGTCTCGTCAGCAATCAACACATATTATTACACCCAAATGATTGGAGATGCCAGGAAACCACCCACTTTACTCGCAAGTCATAATTTCACGGGTTTTGCGGTCATCGGTGAGTTATTGTTCGTTATCTCATGTAGCCAGAAGCGCTGAGGTCAATTAGATGCGGATCCTTACATTCCTGGCGGAGGTGGATCACAGTGGTTCATCAATCAGGACAATTTGTACGTCACTGCGTGTTTTAATTTTACCTATGAAGAAGACACGTTTTGTTCATACCTACGGTCATATCTGTTATCAGCTATCGTTCGATCCGGAACTTGGTTATTGACTTGCGTCAAATGAACGTGTCTGCACCTGCTATTGGTATACACTGGCAGGTCTCACAGTCCACTTCACTAATGAACATCGTCGTGGAAATGTCTTCTGAAAATGGAACTCAGCACAAGGGTGAGTGGTCAATTGGCGAAGTAGCTCGTGGTGTGAATGAGACTGGCTGACTGGTTTTGAGTAAGGTCTGTACATGGAGAATGGAAGGTATGTTCGCTCTAAACCTGAAATGCGATAAGCTGGAAATTGATCGTTCCTGTCAATTGCAGTGGCGGTTTCATGGGAGGTATGTCGTTTTTCCTCTTGGTGTCATAGAAGAGATCCTCATATAATGATGTTAGATTTAATTTTCAACGGAGGCATGCAAATTTTCACGTTTCATTGAGCACTGGCAGTAATGTTTCGCTTTCAGGCTATGCTGGCCTTTCTGTCGGCAATCAACAGTTCACTGTCCGTAACTTGACTGTCAACAACGCACAATCTGGTAGGGCGCATAAATCGATGTTCGAACTACCTGTAGGAGCTGATTTGAATCTGTGCTTCTATAGCTATTCTCGGTGCTTGGACGTGGGGTAAGGATTTGTGCCTTGTATATGACGATACCAGATAGTAATACTATACGCTTGCAGGCTGGACATATCAAGGTGTCATCATCAATAACTGTTCAGTACGTTTTTTGTCTATATACTATTCTGAATCCCTGTCCTATCCTTCCTCCCCCATGCAGATCGGTTTCAACTTGACGACAGGCGGTACCACATCGGCCACTCAGGTTCTTTCCTTTGCCATTCTGACGGATCTACACAACTGACTAAATACCACTTTCTATCTACCTCACAGTCTGTCGGCTCTGAAGCTATCATTGACGCTGTTGTCATCGACACTCCCATCTTCATCCAAACCTCGAACTCGAGCAACGGTACCCTCCACGGCTCGCTTGTGCTCAACAATATCAACCTGCACAACGTGCCCATCGCTGTCACGGTTGCAAATGGGAGCGTCGTTCTCCCTGGCGGGACAGCCTACATCCCGTCCTGGGGCCAGGGTAACGTGTTTACGGGTATGGACCCACACCCCAAGTTCACGCAGGGTGAGATCCAGGCGGCGAACAAGCCATGGAATGTCCTTGATGCGAATGGGCGTGTATTTGGGAAGATGCATCCACAATATGAGAACTGGGCGGTGAGCCAGGTTGTGAGTGTCAAAGAGGAGGGGGCGAAGGGTGATGGAGTGACGGATGATACGGAGGCGATAAGGAAGGTTTTTGAGAAGGTATGTTTGTATGTTTTGTTCGTTTTCTGGGCACTGACGACTGGCGATGGTGGTCATATTTAGTACGCTGGATGCAAGATCATTTTCTTCGATGCAGGCACGTACTACATCACGGACACTATCGACATTCCGGGCGGAAGCCGAGTAGTGGGTGAAGCATGGTCTGTCATCCTCGCTGGTGGAGAAAAGTTCTCAGACCAACTGCACCCTCATGTCGCTGTTCGCGTCGGAGAAGCCTACGAGAGAGGAGTTGCAGAGATTTCTGACATCATATTCTCCACAGTTGGCCCTGGTACGTATGCTCGTCTCCCCTTGAGTAGTGCTGTGAGTGAAGTGTATGATTGTTACAGCCCCCGGTGCCATTGTGATCGAGTGGAACATCCACGACTCTGATGGTGAGCAAGGTGTTGCTGGCATGTGGGACAGCATTATCAGGTGCGTTTTCCACTTACTTCCCTATTTTACCAAATGACTAAGCCTTTTTTGTTTAGACTTGGAGGATGTTCGTTGTTTTATACATTAGACTGTATTGCAAAATCGTAGCTCACTATATCACTTTTAGCCGCTGGCACGAACATGCAGTTTGACAACTGCCCAGCTGGGAATTTAAGTCCTGACTGCCAAGCTTCTTTCCTCGGTATTCACCTCACCCCTGGGTCCAGCGCATACTTCGAGGTCCGCCTTTCCTCTCTTCTTGTACTGCATGCAGTCCAACAGCAGTTCGCTCACATCCTATTGTCAGGGTACTTGGGTATGGACCGCTGACCACGATCTCGACTCGCCACTGGGCAATCAGACTAGCATCTTCAGCGGCCGTGGAATTCTTTCAGAGTCTTTGGGCCCAGTTTGGTTTATTGGTACAGCTTGTGAGTCATACTGTATACCGCGTCTTCTCAGAGTAGCCAAAACGGTGGCATGAAATCTAACGTAAAATTTCTCAAGCCGAGCACGCAGCGCTCTATCAATACAGCCTTATCAACGCACAAAACCACTGGATAGGGTTCATGCAGACTGAAACGGTTAGTACTTTTCCTTTCTCATAAATCCGCTTTGTTTGACGTGATGCTTTCGATCTGATCAACGAACGTCATCACAGCCTTACTATCAACCTGCCCCTGCCCCGCCCGCACCTTTCGTCGACAATGCGGAGTATCACGACCCCGTGTTCGGTGGTCCCATCAATATGGCGTGGGGTCTCCACGTGAGAACGTCTTGGGATATCATTGTGTTCGGTATGTCGTGCTCGGTTTTCGACGTGATGGACAGACATTTGACTCGTGGGTTTTGATCACAGGTGCTGGATTCTATAGTTTCTTCCAGGTACGTAACCTGAAACTTCCTTCGCGCTGAGCACGACCCACGTGGGACTGATTCACGTTCTTTCTTTCGTGCAGAACTATACTCAAGTCTGTGCCAGCACGTTCAACTGTCAAGAACAGATCTTCAATATCGACAAGACATCTACGATTCAGGTGTACAGTCTGTCGACGGTGGGCACTACGAACCAGTTGAGCGTTGATGAGCTTGGGGTTGTCAATGAGGCTTATGGTCCAGATGGGTTCCAAGAGACGGCTACCGTGTGGACCCGCTGGTAAACGTGATCGTGTTGAGCATCTGCGCAAACGTCAGTCATTCCGAATAAGTTTCTTGGAACTGACGTCCATACGCCACTCGGCTCTTAAGCATGGTAAAAAAAACATCGATGGTTCTCAGACTGTATCTAATCTTTATATAATGATTCTGTGACCATCTTGTGGGGTTGGGCATGTAATTTTCGTCCTAATGTTGTTTATTCTTGTCTTACACAATTACCAATTACTAGTATCCCTGGTATCTGTCCTTTCATTTCGTACTGAGTGACCTAGAGAAGTAATCACGCAGCCATCCAAATGCACAGAGCGAGCTTGAGACTCCAGTCGAAGGGAAGCTCTGCATCTCCACTTTAGCATCGATGACAACCGCAGCTAGTCCGCTTTCAAGCGCTATGAAGTAAGTCCTGCAGTGCATGCGTATTTTGTAGGAACTCATACCCAAAGGCTAGGAGCGAAGGCGATGCGCGAGGATATAGTAGCTATGTAAGCACTCACTCCCAAACCAACGAATACGGTTTCTACAGGTACATGGTAACAAGGTCTTCGTAGTTGGCGTCTAGCACACGATGTTCGTTGCAGTGCGGGACATGGACAGGTATAATTTCGTCCGTGGAAACCTTTGTCCATCCGAATGGGTTGGATACTAACAGGTAAGCCAACGAGTGTTGCTCAAGCTGGAACTGTTCGACCTGTTGCGAGCTGTTCGGCATCCTGTATGACATGTGATAATAATTGTATATCCCCAGAGCAAACGAGGGATCTTTCATGCATCCAAGCTGCAGGTCGGGCTTCACGCGGATAGTCAAATCTCCAATCTCGTATCTGTCGCAATGGAATGCAAGTTCAGCTTGACAAAGGGGCGTTATAGGCCGGATTAGGACGAACAGCAAATCTACTTGCAGCCCCATGCTAGTCAGCAAGATTTCGTGCTTGGAGAAGAATGACGACTCTGCGTAGGTCGATGGGTCGCAATCATAGCAGTCGGGTGACGATGGCAGGGCACGCGATACCTGTGAATTGGCTGGATCGCCTGCCCAGTTGAGGACACCCGGTTTGTAAGACGCTTGCAGGATCGCTTCAATGAGCCTGCAGAATGCTCTCTGTGGCCCTTCACCATAAGCAATCGGAAAGCGGACACCAAATATACCCATCAGCGAATAAGCTCTATCTTCACCCCTTGTCGTTCTTCTCCTGGCAGCCCATGGCATTTGGGACTGTACCGAATCTGATCCAGGCGAGAAGGTGAGTAGATCCGATTCTGGGATGCCAGAAGATTTTGCTAGCGCAGTAAGAAAAGGAGATGAGTCAAAGTTGGATATGTAGATGCCAGTACGTTCAATGTCGCGGTGTTTCGAAGTCAGCGGTACCCATTCTGCACCAAAGAACTTCATGTTTCGTGGAGCAAGGAGCTCTTGCAGAGTCCACCCTCTCTTGAACCAAGGATCATTTGGCATATCAGCGAGGGATGTCGTCTGAGCGAGATGAACTATGCAGATGTGTGCATTCTTGTACCACTTGAACATGGAACATATAGATTCGTTGAGTTCTGCGCTGCTGCTTTTGTCGATACAACAGGTATCGGCCCATGCAAGCTCAATGCCACATTCACGTGCAGCGCTGCAGAATTGCGTCAGCTTGTCGTATCCTGGACTGACAGGCCTCTTTTCCGTCAACATTTCGTGATATCTTGGCTCCCCCTCCGCTAGCCATCTATGCGACAGGATGGCGTATTGCACGGTCTCCAAAACGAGTGACCTAATGGCATCTCGTCTAGGATCATCGGGATAAACACGGGGAGAATCCTTCCAATATAGCTTTTCCTGAATCCTTTTCTCTGTAACCTTTTCCACAACACGGTCATGGAAATGCCTTTTCACATCTTCCCGCTCAACAAGCACCATATCTTTCAAACGGATGAGACGAATGGGCATCTCATCATCAACATATCGTCTGAAAATGTCTAGGGCTATTTGACGTCGCTGCAGTAAAAGTGATTACAAACTAATATCTGATGGTGCTAAGGAGAGCATACTTCGTCTAACAAGTGAGGTTCGATTGGTTCCTTGAAGCTAGAGTCATCCTGAAGGAACCAAAGGTTGTCTTCTGTTTCTGCGTCAGATTCAGGATCATTGGGCTTGTTTTCAAGACACCCTTTCTGTTCAGGCTCGGGTTCAGGTTCAGGTTCAGGACCAGGTTGTGGAACACATGGATTGGTCTTAACCTGCGCTGGGTTCGATAACACAACGCTAGAGGGGCCCGTTTTCCATGTGCAGATGTACCCGAAAGTAAATCCGATTACTGCAATTGTACAGAAAGCGAGTTCCAAACCAGTGAGGGAGAGCATTGGCGGCCAGGCTCTGCTTTGCCAATGTCGAAGTAGATGTCGAAAAAGCTTGGCGAAAACACAACCACGTTGCGTACTTTGAACTTATGAGAGGCGATGACGAGAACAGTCTGCACACCTACAGGCTACCGCATGTCTGAGTGCACACCTTGATGATGTATGGAATCAGCGCAATGGCACAACGCAGCCACAATCAGCGTTTACTTCGTGTGTTTGTACAGCTTGGGCAAGAGCTTCGAATTCGAATTCGAGGCAGCGATAATGAAATGCAAGGAAAAGGAAGAAAACACATGCAGGGTCTCAAAAGCACATAAGCAAAGTCAAGCCACGGAGAAAATGTGATGACAGTAGATTGTAACTGTGCCCGCCGAGCTACAGAAGCATAGACACGAGTTCTTTGTCACTGGCGTCTCGGAGGCCCGATTCATTACAGTTTGGGACGTGGAAGGATATGATATCTTTTGTAGGGATTTTCATCCACCCAAACAGGGTGGATGTCAATAGGTAAGCCACAGACACTTGTTCTAGCTGAAGATTGTTTGGTAACTGGTAATAGTTGTATATTCCAAGCGCCCACCGGGGATCCAACGCACGAAGATTCCACTTTCCAGTCAACTTGGACTGGACAGTAATATCGCCAATATCGTATGCATCACAGCGGAAGGTCATTTCACTTTGATGTGTAGAGGTCAAAGGTTCTACTGGCAGGAGAAGCAGCGAGACTCGCAAACCCATGCTAGTGATCGCGAGCTGTTGTCTCGAAAAGAACCTTAGGTTGGCGTAGGTGGACGCAGGGTAATTATAGCAATCTGGTGATGATGGTATAGCGCGCGAAACCTGCGAGTCACCCGACTCTCCGGCCCAGTTGAGGATCTCTGTGCTGGGAGAGGAATGCATGATCGCATCCACCAGTCTGCAGAATGCTCGTTGTAGTCCTTCACCGTAAGCGATTGGAAAGCTGACATCGAAGATACCCATCAGAGAGTATGCCCTGTCCTCCCCCCTCGTCGTTAGCCTCCTAGCTGCCCAGGGCATACGAATGTGCACTAATTTCGCCCCAGGTGAGAATGTGAGTAGGTCTGCCTCTGTAATACCCGAACCATCTGACATTTTGGCAAGCAACGGAGATGAAGTGCCGGGTGTGTAGACTCCCTGACGTTCGATATCACGACGAGAGTTCGTTAAAGGAGCCCATGTAGATCCAAAGAACTTCAAGTATTGTGGTGCAAGGAGTTCTTGAAGTGTCCACCCCCTCTTGAACCACGGATCATTAGGCATATCAGACAGAGACGTTGTCTGGGCTAGAAAGACGATACATATATGCGCCGTCTTGTACCACTTAAACATGGAGCGTATAGATTCGTCAAGTTCTGAGCTGCTGGTTTTATCGATGCAACAAGTGTCTGACCACGCAAATTCTGTACCATATTCGCGAGCTAAACGACAGAATTGCCCAAGCTTGTCGTATCCTGGGCCGACAGGTGGGTATTCCATCAACATCTCCTGGTATGTTGGTTCGCCTTTGTCAAGCCATCTGTGCGACAAGATTGCATATTTCACAACCTCTTTGACAAGGGAACTGATCGCATTTCGTCTGGTAGTCTCAGGCTGGGGTAACGTGCCTTGGATGTCAGCGATATCTGCGGCTTTTTCGACGATGCGACTATAGAAATGCATCCTTACATCTCCCCTTTCGACGAGCTTCATTGTGTCCAAGGATATGAGGCGGATGGGCATCTCGTCGTAAATATACCGAGTGAGCGTTTCGAAGATGTCATCCGCGATTGTAGGATCCTGAAATGAGAACGAAAGTACTATCAGTTCTGTAGAATGCAGTAGAGATTCAAATTAAAACAGTATACCAGTCCTGTAGAAGGGACCGGAGATTCATGGGATGGCACAGGTTTCATTGAAGGACCTTGCTAAGACCTGCCTCTGGAGAGCGAACCATCATGACCGTATCAACTTGGAAGCACATCCGAGTCGGAACTCGGCACACGCACCTCGATTGAATGTCCGCACGATGATTTCCTACTCCGAGTTAGTGGCTGAAATTCACATTACGGTCGCACATAGCCAACCTTTCTTTCACCATGTGCAGCTCAGAAGGCGCTTTCCCCGAGTAATGTCGCAACTGGGCGCGTGCACAAACCCCATCAGACCAATACTGTCTTCGAGTTTGGAAAATACAATGACCATTATACGATAGGGATCTGCGATGCTCCGTGCTCTCCGCAGATGGGGTCCCAGCTGCGATCACGAACAATACGGGATGTTTGGCTATTCATTGGCTAGCTTCATACAGGAGTAGCTCCATATCTCATTAGTCATCCATGTTATGATGTTATGTAAAATGTACCAGCTCTCGCAGATGCAGCCATGTTCTTCGATTTTGGTGGAATCAGCACGACTTCTTTGAATGCATGCACTGGTCCTGGTATGTTCAATGTCTTGGCGTGTATGGTGACGGTGACATGTTGACAGCGTGAACTTAATCCGACGTCGGAAAACGTTATCTCTCGAGGATGGCAAATACCATTGCCAATGTAGCGTCGGTGTGTCCCAAGATCCCAGTTCCCCGCCATACCATCTTAAGCACATCTTTGAAAGATAGGGCCGTTCAATCAGATTAACCTGGAAACGATGTATCCTACGTTCACATCGCATCAATACGATCTCAAGTCTAGAGACCGAGTTAGGTGAAATTCGATAGACATGCACGGTCCTAATCCTGTATTACTCACAAGCTCTAGGCCTTTATATACCTCCTCCATGCTACTTATATGTCGTAGTAAGTTTGGTCATCGTTTTGTCACCAATCATCTATAGCTAACGCCCATGTCTCCAGGTGGCATATCTTTAGAATTCGCATCAACTGATGACCGTGCCTTGTGCATTCCTGAAAGAACCATCCTACCAAATCATATAGGATCCCTGAGTGCCATCGCTATTTGCAATCGGTTTATATATCACTTGCGCCCAACGTTAGAGCGGATGAACCCTGACTGTACCAGATATGCTAAGCCATATGCTGGTACCTATAAAGCCTACTCATTTTATCTATTCATCCACGGTCGGAAGTGCTGTTTCTTATTCTCCCAGACATTAAGAAACTAAGCATTATGTTCGATACGTTCACGCCACTTCAATGGTTGGCTTGCTTTTGCACGACCGCGCTGGTTGGCACTTGGGTGAAGGGTCGAATAGTTACCAGAGATTACCCTCTTCCCCCTGGCCCGCCAGGACATTGGTTTTGGGGTAATGCAATGCCGAGGTCTCAGTGAGCAATACCTTATACCTCCTGCTATGGTTTTAAACAATGATACGTCTCTTTAGAATAGCCTATCAATTTGCCAGGTGGGTTGACGAATACGGGCCCGTAGTGTCGCTCAGGCCGCGCAACAAAGTTATTATCATTATCGGGCGCTATGAAGTAAACCATCTTACTAATTCATTCCTATCATTCTTACTAACTACCTTCCATAGGCAGCTTGTGATCTGATGGAGAAAGAAGGTGGAGCATTGGCAGATCGACCGCGCTTGATCGCCGCTGGGGAGATTTTTTCTAGGAATATGAGGCTCCTTCTCACGCGCTATGGCGAACAGTTCAAGAGGCTGCGGAAGTATGTTTCAATGCTGTCGTTGTTTTCATCCAGAATCGTCTAAGTATTGGTTCACACAGAGCTGCCCACACTCACTTGCAGCCAAAAGCAGTGGTGGCTTACGAGCCTCTTCAGATGCACAATGCCAAGAATGTAATCCTCGATATCCTCGATAACCCTGCTCTGCATATGATGCACGCTAGACGGTGAATAATGTCGCCGCTCTAGGGTCATTACCTTTTGACTCAACGTTGTTCAGCTACTCTGCATCAGCCATGATGAAGATCACGTATGGCAAGTCGACACCTACGGATATGACGGATCCTGAAATGGCCAGAGTCCTGAAGTGTATGCATCAATTTCAAGCTGCCATGCGCCCGGGTAGATATTTGGTTGATACATTCCCGTTCTTGAAATACGTGCCGGGCTATGGTGGTGACCTGGAACGATGGCGTAAGGACGAGTTAGCCCTTTTCGGTGGGCTAATGAATCGCGTGAAGACCAACATGGTGGGTAGAGAAAAAAAATCCAGTTTCTTGCTACCACAATTGCTGACCAGTGATCGTAAATGGGCAGGACAACGATAAAGCGGAAGCGTGCTTCATGAGATATCTTATCGAGCACGTGGACGACCATCAATTGTCTAGTGAAGAAATGACTTACCTTGGCGGCACTTTCTTTGGCGCTGGGTTTGATACTGTCAGTACAATTATATGATCTTCCAACAGGATTATAATGCTAATGATGCCGTTTTCAGACAACGGTCGCTATTATCGTTCAAATCATGGCTGCCGCTTGCCACCCGGAAGAACAAGCCAAAGTGCAGGAAGAACTCGACATGGTCGTGGGCCATGATAGAGGTACTAGTTTGGTTGAAAGCTGTTTGATCATATTGTTTATGGGTGGTTGTACAGCACCAACATTCTCCGATCAGGATATGCTTCCCCAGTTGCATGCATTTACTCTAGAGGCTTTGCGGTGGAGACCGGTAACGCCTATAGGTATATCTTGGGCTTTTGCGTGTGCCAAGTTCAAATTTTCTGACGATGGTTTCGAGGTTTCGCACATCGAGCTACGAAGGATATTATCTGGGTTGGTGTCTTCTGCTGCTCGAATCCATTCATTCAAAATCACGCGCTGATCATCCCTCCCGCTACTCTAGAAAGGATATTGCATACCCGAGGGAGCAACGGTCTTTGGAAACCACTGGTAACGATGGTCACGCCTATAAAAACAGAACCACGATATACTAATCGCCGGTATTGACAGGGCCATTACACGCGATCCATCCGTCTTTCCTGATCCTGAAAAGTTTGATCCTGGAAGATGGATAAATAGCGAGGGCAAGGTTCGGACTGATATCCATTCGTTTACATTCGGCTTTGGAAGACGGTGCGTCATATTATATGTTCATGCTTGAATATTTGATTGATCAGAGGGGTGTGCATGCAGAGTGTGCCCCGGACAACATCTCGCGAATAGGTGCGATTGGTGTTCCAAGTTCACTTCCTGTCGTTCGGGCCTGATAAGATTTTTCTTCATTAGATCCATCTTCATCAACACCTCCCTTCTCTTCTGGTCTTTCCGCATCTCACAAAATCCTCTAGCCCCCATCGATACCATGAGCTTCGATAATGGTGTTGTGACACATCCTCAGCAGTTCGACGCAATTTTTGAGCCGAGGATGAACAAGGCGGTGCTGAAGCAGATGATGGAAAATTACGCCAAAGATTGAGGCTCTGAAGTGTCTCCAAGTATTTCTTGTATACTGTACCTAGGTTTTTCATAACTGCTTTAGATATAAGTTAGTAGACGAACAGACTCTGCGGCAATGTAAGGATATGTTAAGTTTATTCGGTTGAAGACTGCGTTTCTCGGTTCCTTCTCGGTGGCGCCAGTTTAAAATTCCGAGCCGTCACTTGACTTGGAACCATTGACAGATATGATAGCTTTTCGTACTTTGTTCGCAATAACAGTCTCGTGCATACATCACCGATTTCATTTCTTCGCAATGTATAGCACTTTCTAGTGGACAAGAAGTTGTCAGGAACGACCGAATCTGCCTGTTTTTACGGCGTCAGCTTGTTCGGGAGACCAATGACATTCGACATCCACAAATGCTTGCAGTCAGGAACTTCGCTACCTCAGCATTTAGCATTTCAACTTTAAATTTTGAATTGGTTAAAAGACGACGATACTCCTCTATCTTCGAATTCGAGGCATATTTTCCCCCCAGCCACTGCGTGATATCCAACTTCAAGACTATCCGCCTTCTCACGTCGAAACACCAATGGACGTCGTTCGGAAAAATTCGGTCCTCTCGTCTATCTCTGGAGGCTTGGCTATATGTGTCATACTGGGCGTTGCTTATCGCGCGAAGCAGCGAGCAAATAAGTCTTCTCTACCTCTCCCACCAGGTCCTCCAGGAGGCTGGTTTACCCGGACGCCTTAGTGAGCAGCACTAGTGCTGATACGGCGTTCTGGAATCATCTTCTGATTGTTTCGAAGTTCGTCGTTTCAGATCATGGAGTGGGTCAAGGAGTACGGCCCCGTTTTCTCGTTGCAGCAGGGAAGTGAAAGGATGGTCGTCATTGGGGGTCACCAAGTCAGTGTTTACTCTTTGGCTATATCCTCTAGTTTTTATTGACATTTTTACCCAGGAAGCCTATGACATCATGGAAAAGGAAGGAGCTTATCTGCAAGACAGGCCACGCTGGATTGCTGCACGCGACATGCTTTCAAATGGACTTGACCCCGTTCTGGTAGGAGCTGGTGAAAGACTGAAGAAATATCGTAGGCGCGTGTTTTTTTTTTGTTTTTTGTTTTTTTGGAGGAGTGATACTATCTGCGCTTTCTTCTCTCGATTTCCAAGCTAAAATAGCGATTTCATTCTAAGAGCAGCGAACGTCGGGTTGCAAGCGAAGGCTGCAGAGTCATACGAGCCCATTCAACTGGACAATGCCAAGAACATGATTGTAGATATTCTGCAAGATCCCAAGGAGCACGCAAAGCATGCTCTACGGTATGTCTCTACCCTCCAGCACTCGTTTGTGTTAGAACCGGCAAAAATGTTTGTTGTGCATCAGATATGCAGTAGCTGCAGTCCTGCAGATCACGTATGGAAAGAACACGCCTACTACAAATACATCGCCTGAAATCATTCAAATTGAAAGAATACTAAAACGGTTCCATTATGCCATGCGTCCCAACGGGTTTTACGTAGATGGATTCCCATTTTTAAAATACGTCCCAGGCTATGCTAGCTATCTCAAACAATGGCATCAAGATGAGATTGGGCTGTATAGACGTCAACTGCAACGTGTTGAAGACGAGCTGGTGAGTTCGCAAGCCCAGGGTCTTGGGCCCTTTCTGAAAACGAAAGGCTTTAAAGGCGAGTGGAGACTCAGGACCGTCGTTTGCCAGGTATCTGATAGAAAACCCGAATGAACATGGTCTGTCAGAGGGAGAGATGGCCTACCTTTCAGGGGCCTTCTACGGCGCAGGAGCAGATACAGTATAAACGATCCATTGCAATTCGACATTGGTAGCTGACTGTCTGTGCAGACAGCGGTTGCCATCACTATCATGGTCATGGCGGCGGCACGCTTCCCAGAAGCCCAAGCTAAAGTACAAGAAGAGCTTGATGAAGTCATTGGCCATGGCAGAGGTCCGTGTTTTGACGTGTATGTATTAACGAAAGCGTTTTTGAGGCAGCATGGGTTTCCCTGCGTCCAGCCCCGTCTTTTGCAGATCAATCTCTTCTACCTCAACTCCAAGCATGGATACTGGAAACTTTGCGATGGAGACCTGTCGTGTTGCTAGGTACGCGTACACTTTCCCTGAAAACATTTTTTTCCCCTTTTCAATCCCTTCACCTTGGATGCGTGTTACGCCCTTAGGTTTCTGTCATCGCGCTACCAAGGACATCGTCTGGGTATGCTCGCATCCTCATAGCTTCTCGTCGCCACCTTTTCCACCTCCTCTAATCCACGTTTTATAGAACAACTTCCTCATTCCTTCTGGGACAACCGTACTAGGAAACCACTGGTGAGGGCTTTCTTCCCAACTGCCTTTGACTTGTCTCCGCCCTTGCATCGAGAGAACTCAACGCCCGAAACATTTCTCGTCGGCAGGACCATCTCGCGCGATGCCAAGGTGTTTCCCAACCCTGAGACATTCGACCCCCAACGCTGGCTTGACGACAACGGGCAAGTCAGAGATAATCTCAAATTCTTTTCGTTTGGCTTTGGGCGCCGGTAAGTCCGAATACGTGTCTCTCCAATACTTCCCTCCCCATCTGTGGGGGGATTTTGTGAAATACATAGCACTCACTTATATCCTTTATACTTTTCGTCCGCGTCTTAGTGTCTGCCCAGGTCAGCAGGTGGGGCACAGGTGCGTTCGAGAGGCTCTTGTCACTCTAATCCGATGAATAGGATAGCTTATTGCGTTCTGTCATCTGAATGCAGGTCACTGTTCATCACTGCAGCGCTTCTCCTCTGGGCATTCAAGCTATCTGAAGATCCTTCTGCTCCCATAGACGATAAAGCCTTTTCGGATGGTGTCGTCGCCTTCCTACAGCCCTTCACCGTCAAGTTCGAACCTCGTTTCGAGGAGGGGAGTTTGAGGACTATGATGGAATGATCCATATTAAGTCTAAAAAGTACTGATTACTGTGTGATTTAGGCATAGTCGTAGAGAGATTGTAGCGAGCGATTTCGATATCTCACAGTACCCTACATGTCATTCGTAGTCCCCTCCAAATGAAATCCTTGCAATTCTATAAACGACCAAATCTACCAAACGACAAGAAATTGCGAAATGACAACAGCGCCCAGTTACTTTCATAAGAGACATGAGACAAGGTCGGGGTTTACATTGGTTATCATGCTAGAGAAGAGAAAACATGAAGAGTAGACATCGTTATCATGAACGTAAAGTGAATGCAGAAGGGGGATATGCTGATGGATATGCGGATGGATAGTTAAGTTGAATCGTACAAAAACTGCTATCGTCTAATATGGGTGTCCATGAGATGAGTCTATACAATGTAGATCACCGCGCATATCGACTGCTGTTTCGGATCCGTTCTCCATAGTGCCAGAATAACCAAGGTCTGATGGTAGCATCAGGATGACATTGTCAGACAGAGGGAACAATGAAGGAAAACGAGGAACAGACATACGCTGGGCATCCTATTAATATAGCTGCAGCCGCAAGGATGGTATCACCTTTGCCAAAGCCCAATGCCTGATACATGGCAGGAGCGAAAAGAGGAAATCCGAAACCAGCGAGTGATCGTAGACATGATACGGCCGCCAGAGCTATAGCACGCCATGAAGGTGAGCACATGGAAAGAAAGAGTGAATGCTAAAAAATGGGGAGATGACAAAACACAATGACAATAGAAAATATGTGGACGAGGAGGAAGAAACATATGGCGAAAGAAGACTCACCAGAAGCAGCGTGTAAGGTGAACGTGTCGACGACATAAGTCTGGATGCACTGGAAGTTCAAAATCGTCCCGGCACCGACAAGAGCAATTCCCTAAACCGCGGAAACCCGAAGGATGATAAGCCAGGCTGTAAAGAAAGAAGAAAAACCGAGGCTTGATAAACTATGGCTTACAATGTCAGGAGCAATCCAGTGAATCTGAGCCTTGGTTGTCCAACCCGTTATGAGCAATCCGATCGGCAAAAGTAATGTGCCGGGGAACATGGCAGCTATCACACGCGAAAACGATAAAATAAGTTTTGGACGGCAATGAAAGAAGGGATGGGAAGCAAGATAACTTACGAAGTCGGTACTCGGGCCTCCCAACGCCACCGTTCTTGTTTTTGAAATGTATGTACACTCTATCCAGTGTTCTCGCGTTAATCTGCGATGCGCCACTAAGGCCTATACCGAGTGCGATGTAATGTAATCCGGCTATACCAACGGGCTGTTCATAAACTCCTTCGAATATGCTGGGTATGGTTGTTAAGAACACTAGCAGGCAAATTGAGGTGAGATAGAGCAGAAGGTTTAAGGGGTATGCATACAGTAGAGATTTCCATATAGATAGGCCATATAGATACCGAGTAATTGTACGATAGGTTCGCGCGCGAAGAGTAAGAAAGGGCGCGTGAGGGCTTTCTTGAATATTGACTGCCAACTACGAGCTTAGAGTTAGTCGGTGCCTTTGTGTAGAAAAAAAAACACGCACGATCTATCGTCACTTTCAAATACAGTGCGAACATGTCTATGGGGACCCTTTTCAGCGTCCATGGTTTGTCTTATCTGTTCAGCCTTTCGTTCTAATAGTATAGGTGCATATGCTGCATGACATGTGATACTATCAGGTATTTAGTTCGAAATAACAAAAAAATATACGCACTTTCTTGCAAAAAGAACAGGCCAAAGAACTGAATGACGGCATCAACGATACTTGTGGACCAGAACTGAAATATAAAACTAAGAATAGGCTTCTCGTCAGATTGGTCAAAATCTCACCACCCATCTCCACGTCGATCTTTCAGCTATCCTAAATATATGCGCGATCAGATTTTCCTTGTTGGGACAATGCGTTCAGTTTTTCGATGCGTACCATGCTCCAGTGATGGGCCCAACAACTGGACCAAGCAACGGTGCCAGTGAGTAGAGAGCGACAGCCTGACCTCTCTCTTCCGCTCTCCAACAGTCTCCAAGTACACCACCACCGATCTAAAGGGGGGAAAATACGTAAAAGGGGTTCCCAAAAAAGGGCTATCTGAGCCGGCAACTCACAGAAAGCGGAGCACTTCCTCCCAAACCCGCCAGAAAACGGAAAGCAACGAGCTGTGACTCGTTCTGCGCAAACCCACACCCCAGATTCCACGCTGTGGACGGAGATAGATGTCAGGTTGGTGTTTATTGGGTGAGGGATTCAAAAAGAGCTACCGAGGTACCACATGTTTGCCAGCTGAAGGACTCGTGACCGTCCATATATCTCACTGAGGGGCCCGAGGATAAGGGGACCGATAGCTATTTTGTGGGCGTTAAGCGGATGTAAGCGCTCTGCACGGTGACACTATATTCTACAATATACGCACCATAAGCGAGTACAAAAATTGAGGTAGTCAACGCGATCATGACAGCGTTTGTTATACCAAAACTGGCGGCCAACTGGGAGCTTGCGGGAGCAACCATGGAGGATGAAACGGGACTGATAAAAGTGAATGAAGAGACGATGGCTGTGGCTGCCCATTTTCGTTTAAAGCTCCAACTATGGAGAGAGATAAGCTTATGGACTGGTGCTCCTATGGTTTATTTTCTACACACTTTTTTGGATTTTGAGGATCATCGGGACCGTCCCAGTCTACAACAAGAGTATCTGTATCGTTATTTAAGATGTCGTTAGCGGGTGTTTTTTCTCTTAGTAAATCCTGAGGGCGTGATTCTTGGGTATCTGCTGGCTGGTTATGGCCATGCAAAGTTGAGGATGGGGAAGCCGGTGGTGGGCGTGCTGGGGTCATAATGTCATTTTCCGATTTGTCAAGTGGGTCGGACATGGTGGTAATGGACAAAGACAGGCGTGAGACGGCCGACAGGACGATGGGCAAATCTCGAATGGTGGCTTATAAGTATACGATACATGTGATGACATTGAGGAGATGACACTGGAGATGTCGATGCTGCCGTCATGCCGCCTTTTCAGGTTGCGTTCCCACGGCCACTTTAACCAGATCGGAACCTATAGCCTCTGTCAGCACCATCGGACGAGGCATGCACCAGTCGTGTCTGCCACCATTGCCTCCTCACCTTGAAACCAGCGTCCTATCGTTCGGCCGTCAGAGCGCATCCCGTTTTAACAATGGCATTACGTCCACAATGATCCTACGGCGCTTTTATCTTTAAACTTTCGTGTCCACAGTCTCACGCCGGACTTCGACATCGTTTTTTCGCAGTCAAACAAAGCAAGGATCCGCATTCTGCTTGCTTCTCAGCGAATAGAAAAGTGGGGAACACGATCTGTACTTGGCTTTTCTGGCCAATCCTAACACCAAGTACCGCCGGGTTCGTCCCACCTTAAGTGCGTTACAGCGCATTCGGAAATGGTTCTCCGCGCCTTTTCAATCAGCCACCCAGTACCACCACAGTGATGAGCATTCGCTCGCGAGTCTGAGTCTCTCACGCAAATGTAAGTGAGCTTATTTGATTCTATCAATGGCGCCAGCTGCACCATGGATGACCGTAGACGCGATTGTCGAACTCGAAACAAGCGCGCTCGTATCAGTTGACGTATTACTAGGTTTTTTCCGGCTCATCCGGACGTTTATCATGACGCAACTTCTTTCAACGGGTCCTGTCTGGTGCGGCTATACATTTCCCGCAGACTCCATGCTACGTGATTTTTGTATGCCAGCTATCGCCAAGCTTACAGCAAGTCCACACTGGCGAAAGTAACTTTTAGTAGCGTTCAGCTCCGTGATGAGTGCCTCTTGTCGATCATACTGACGTCGCTACTGCAAGGCGCGTCCTGAACACTTGTTAGGTCCGTTAATTATTGTTGACTGATCCGATCATAGCGTCTTTGAAGCTTTCGGCTTTGCTCTCCGATGACTGTATGCTTTTCACCATAAAAGACAAACTGACTGCTCTTATCGATCCACGGCTCCATTCTCCATGAGCACGGCCGTCGCTCATTGAAAATTTTGCCGTGTGTATGCGGCAGCAGCGCACGGCGAAATTTCAACACATGTTGTCCCCTTCAGTCTCACTCCTTACTTCTTCTACCTCCGCAGCCATCTTCCATATCTTCCGCCCAGAAACTCGGACGTTTCTGAAACCTTGCTTGATAACGACTTGCCTTTTTCGCAAACTCGCCATCCGCCATACACCATAGGCTATACAGTCCGCCAATACCACACTTCTCCATATCGCCTGAGACCATGCTGACAACTTTACCTCATGATACGGTGCGAACAGCATGAGCCGTATGATTCTCGTCGTGATACCACGATACCACAGGCGGTAGGGCACAGGCAGCTAATCCACGCCTTTCATTTTTCTCCTTTTCGGACGTGTTTTCCCGACTCCAGCCTGAGGGCCATATATACGACGGCATCGGACAAAATTCGGCCTCTGACTGATTTGTTATTCCCATACTCGACAGCTAACCTTGTTCACCTTGGGGTCAGTATAAAACAACTGTCATCTCACGCACGGTGCCAGTAACCTTACCCCCTATGTGTCGTCGTCGGTCCACCTCGCCCATGTGCCCATGAAGTCTATTTTGCCGCCCCAGGTATTCGTGACACGGATCTAGACATATCGCAGGCGCTTTTCCCATGAAGTCGTTCATGCGATATTTCAAGTGCGTCGAAATCGATGTGATAAATCTATCTTAGGCCCTACGATTATGTGACAACTAGGACGAGGGCTTGTTATGCTTGGAATATGCTAGGGTTATCCAAGATACTATCGCACACCTCGTCTCGCACACCGCAACTCTGCTGAGAAGACGGAAAAGCGTTCGGCAGGACATTGACATGCTCACTCCTCATTTCCTCTTTTGTTCAGTCCTTCGCACCTTGGACTGCACGGTCTCACCACCCCCTTTCCTCATAATCAGCCAGGGTATCCTTTGTCGTCTCCGCCAAGCTGCGAAATTTAATTCCCAAGATACGTGTGGCTTTTGAAGAGTCGAAAAAGTAGACTGGAGCCGGATTGGTGATACCCGTGTTGCGAAGGCTTTTGCGAAGCGGTAGCGACAAACGAGGAGGGGGATCCAGCTTGTTTCCCGCATCAACTAACAGACCCAACGTCAACGTCGTTATAACAGTACAAAAGCAAGCTGAACGTACTGAAGTCCTGCCATGCCGAGATTCCTGTTCAGCCCTGGTCAGCAATATGGTCTACGGACATGAGGGGGATTTGGCTTCAATAGTGCTCACCGGCGCTGACGATGAACCGCTCGCCACCTGCTGCCGCTTTCTCCAGTGCAAGCGCATGGGCTTCTACAAGATCACGCACGTCAACGTAGCAGGCACCAGTTACCGCAAGCAAATCGTTGGTGGCTCCCTCCGAAGCGAGCTGGATAATGTTTTTGTACCAGGTCAGTGTGGATGAGTTCAAGTTTTCAGGGGTGGACACGTCATGTATCGAGGGCTGCGAAAGGTCAGTATCGTGGCCTGACAAATAACAATGTCTTCACTTACACCAAATACCTACGACCAATCGGTTCATATCAATCAACATCATATCCAGGAAGAAAACACATACCCAGGGAGGGTTAATCACTGCAAGTTCCCATGCGACAGCACCTTTGTGTGTCTCGTAGAACTCCCATGCGGCTGTTGGATAGCCTTTGTTATGACCCTAGTACTGACCCCAAGAAAAAGTCAACGCACCTTTTTCAGCCAACGTTTTAGAGGCCCTGTACTTGATCATACCTCCAGCGTCACGTCCCTTTTCTTTCACGGCCTGTATAGTCTGCTCGGCCCAGTCAGCCTCCGTGTATGTCACAGACGTGGAATCCATTTTGTTGATAGTAGCGCAGGACGAGGTGACGATGATACGCTTGACAGAGGGCCTACATTCATCACAAGATCAGAATAAATGGAGCGGCGGACGAGATGTGTGATGCTTACCCGTATTTAAGAGCGCTCTCCATGATACTGATGGTACCCCTCACAGCGGGGACGATAACCTCTGTCAAGCCAGATTCAGTCTGTAACTGCGTGAATGTAGATGGCTGACAGTTTCTTACCATTTGGATCGTCAGCGTCGACATGGCATGGGGAAGCGGTGTGTAGAATACCATCTATGTCTTTCACAGCTTCGTCGAAGGCTCCGTCCTGTTTGCAGTATGAGTACCGTCAGTAACTCACATGCGATATACGGACCTTTGTCACATCCTCCACAACGACGACTTCATGCTTATCTCCGTAGCTGCTAAATCGCTCTCTAAGATACTGAGCCTTCGCCTCTGAACGAACGGTACCACGGACGGTATACCCACGTTCAAGAAGATTGTTGACGAGCCAGACTGCGATGAATCCATTTGCGCCTGTGACGAGTACTTTGCTGGGCGGTGCGATGGCAGGCATCGAAATAAACTGTTGTGATGGAAAGAAAAATAATGAAAGGGGGGGGGGGGGAGGTATAGACTAGCTAGTAACAACCCTGCGCGTTCGCGCGTTCATCGTGGCCTTCTATATAGACAACTTGGTTTTTGGATTACTGATCATTGCCTAACAACACTCGTCAAATCCATCTGCTGATAACCCAATTCGGTGTGCCGATAAAGTGACGTGGACTGTAATCGCCCGGAAAAGTCATAAAAGTCACAGCACCTCAGTCATTTCACTCCAAGTCGTCTGCGTCAGCGTCCAGATGATAGCTAAGCATAGAGTCGATGTATAATTCAATCTTATGCTTTATACCTATGCAAATGCTTATGATAGGCTCATCGGAATTGAGTATCTTCTTACCGTCTTACACGTAGTCTTTCACACCTTCAAATTCGGACTCCTGGACCTCACCTCCTTTCATCTCACCTCAGCTAGCGTATCCTGGGTTAGACAAGCCTTCGGTATTGCGATGGAAGGTAAAATAATGGTATGGTATGTACGCACCAGAAGTCTCGCCTACATCCAGTGTCAATGTCCCCTTGAGATACAGCAGGACTCTTCTGGCTTGTGGGACGTGATCATATCAACGATGCTTACCAGAGCTGATGATGGAACATTTAAATAACAACATCCAAGTCACGAAATGGATAAGCGGAGTCAAAACTGGCGTGGGGCATCTCTCGGCCCGGCAAAGTCATGAAAGTCTTCCAGTTCAGGTTCACTTATAAGACTATCATCATCGTGTATGCTCACAACAAGGTAAACTGACTTATGAGGCAGTTGTCCCTGCTACATTTAGGCAGCGCCAGTGAGATGAGTATAGTACGCATAGCCTTGTACGTCGTCAGCTGCCCACGTCACCTCTCGGCCAGACCAAATCACCAAATGGAGCTGCCACTTCAATGAATTGAGAAAGTGTAGTATACATAGCCTAGAACACTTACTTACAAACGGGACCACCGAACCTGGATAAAAGGCTCTGTCCGTTGTGAGTCCATTCGTTATCTTCCCTGTTTTCACTCACGAAACACTGATCTCAAATGCCTGGCGTTGCACCACCCAGCAGAGTTCTTGTCACTGGTGCGAATGGTTTCATTGCCATCCATATCGTACGAAATCTTCTAGAACGGGGATTTGCCGTCCGTGGCACTGTTCGCTCAAAAGCGAAGGCTCGACACCTGGACCAAATGTTTAGCAGCTACGGAGACAAATACGAGGTTGTCATCGTGGAAGATGTCACAAAGGTGTGTAGCCACTTGCATATTTTTCCGTGCTTTCATATTCAACCTCTCAATTTTCTCCACAGGAAGGGGCATTCGATGATGCTGTCAAAGGAGTTGATGCCATCGAGCACACCGCTTCACCGTGCCAGCTTGAGTCAGATCATCCTGATGGTAAGAAATCATTGGCGTATTACAGTGTACGTACAATTAACAGAGTCTTTTTCATAGAGGTCATCGTTCCAGCCGTGAGCGGTACCGTTAGTATCCTTCAAAGCGCGCTCAAACACGGGCAAGTATTACACGCTTACCTGCACTGCCCCTTCCATCTCATATTTCCACATAGGCCCTCCGTTAAGCGTATCGTCATCACCTCGTCCTGCGCGGCTATCCTCGAGATCAACCCAACCCCGTCAACTTTCTCGGAAGCCGACTGGGGCGAACAAGCTATCAATGTCGTCAACGCTCAAGGGCGGGATGCACCAGGTTTGGTTAAGTACAGAGCCTCCAAGACGCTAGCTGAGAAAGGTTCGTTTCATTTCATAAATTCTATATTATCAGTTAACCGAATATTTTGGCAGCCGCATGGGAATTCTGGAATAAGCATAGAGACGAGGTTGCCTGGGACCTTACTGTGATAAACCCTCCTTGGGTAAGTTTACCCCCACCCCAAACAGAGTTTTAGATTTGACGCCTTTTCCTAGGTCTTTGGCGTAAGTGCACTTTTCTTAGTTAACCCGATCCCAACTATATTGATTCTTCGGATAGCCATCAATTCACGACGTGACTACTCCAGACACCTTGAACGCGTCCACCCTGACCTGGTACAACTATGTTGTACATCCTACATCCAACGGGGTTACTGATGAGACCCTCGCAACACTTGGTGGATGCTATGTCGACGTGCGTGATCTAGCAGAGGCGCACTCGCTTGTACTCGAGAAACCTGAAGCAGGCGGTGAGCGTATTATCGTAAGCGCCGGTGAGTAATTCACTCCCTAACCTATGCTTACTCACCGTCATCTCAATCTAGGGACATGGAAAGCGCAAGATTTCAGTATGTCTATACATGTCGTTTAATGTGAAATTGCTAATGCTGGCTGGCTCTAGTTGATGCCGCAAACACCATAAATCCTCCCGTTCGCTTGTCGCAGCCTCTTCCACGCGGAGTTTTTGGCGCAGGAAGTCCTAATCCAGCTACTGTTCATTTACTTCAGTTCGATAACTCGAAGGCTGGGCGCATACTGGGCATTAAATATCGGACCATGGCAAAGACTACAGAAGACACGTTACGTGACTACGAGGCGAGAGGATGGTAATGTGTAACAGATGCGAAAGGTATCATGCCTCGACCGAAATTAAAGTGTACAGTTATTAGCCTAGACTTTTTCTGCATTGCGAATCTTCAAACCGCAATATATCCTCGTGTTCGCTCGTCGCAGCGGTGTCATCATACAAAAAGAAAATTTTTAAGAAAAAATCTACCATTCCCTTCACCACACCGATGTGCAGCGAACTACCCCTTCAATTCATTCCTAGTTTCTAAGGTTGAATGATAAAGAACTACTTATTTTGTGTTACATGTTGGCCTTGTCATCTCCAGGCTAATCCTGGTCGTCCTGCCAGGGGGAGGGGTAGCATGCAAGGTTCCGACTAGCGCTGCACCTCTATACCGCTGTACGTAATGCCCATAATGTCTGATCACAAGAAAGGTGACACATCCATTTCCAGGTACACATTTTGATCTATTGACTTTCTGTGGTGTGATATTGTGAGGAATTTGAATCATCTTCAAGTTGGGGCGATAATTCGGGACTGTGAACCACTAGAGGAACGTGATGACATGAGACTATTCACTGACAACAAAATATACATACCTGATCCACTATTAGCAATACCTCCTATATTGAAGGTAGGGTTATGAAGGTCCCCACGGATAATAAACTGTATGTCTTGGGTTTGGGACCGCTCATCGACAGCCTCGGCTCCAAGTCTGTGCAGTATGGCTAGCATATTTTGGCGTTCAGAATATTGTCGTGTTCCGCCAGCATCAAAGGTAGGTGATTGAATTTGAAGATTAGTATCCTCATTGGTTTCAGTATAATCCGTCTGGAGATGTTCTGACACTTCTGGACACACTGCGAGGCACTGATGATTACTCGACGATATACCGTGATGCATATTGTGCAGCCGGCTGACTGTGTCGTTGATCACCTCGATGGTTTCTGAATCTGGAGGTTGCGATAGTGGTATTGATATCCCAGAAATTCTTTGATACGGAGATAGAACGTGCCCTATTTTTTGTTCAACTGAGCAAACATGGGTACCTGGATGCTGATAGAAGTCACACCATTCATAGCAAGGCGTTCAGCAGATAGCAATCTCCTCTTCAATTCCTCGGACGTTTTCTGGTGCGACAGGCCAATCGTGTTTATTTATTACTGACCATAGAATAGATTGTGGCTACTTACTCTAGTCTGCTTGTACAATCGACGGCTAGCCAGCATAAAACGGCGTGTATCGAGCTTGATGGAAAACCATGAAAGAAAACTGGATGACTGGCGCCGTTCTTCTATTCCCTTGGCCATCTCTTTCATCCTGAATAGCCTCTTGAGACGTATATCAAACAGTGACATTGGTGATAGTACACACTCATCGTACGTGACTTTGCCAGCAGTCACGAATTGTTCGAAGTCCAAGCCATGATTCCTGGACTGCTGTTGTATTTCCCGAAGTGTCGCAAGCGAGATAGATAGCCAGTGTTCTCCTAGTTCTAGTGAATTGCGAGAGGATCTTGGTTCAGGAGTGTAACGGAGAAATTGAGCTGTGGGCTGAAAATCAGCCGCAGTCCCAATATCACTAGGTATGAAAATCGTATGTGGGGAAACCGACGACATAAGAGAAAGGGTGGAGAGAAAGGGCCAGACTATTAAATGTGAGATCGAAGCAATCGAGCGGGTGCTCCTGAGTTGTTGTAGAGAAAGGAAACATACTGGAGACGACAAAAGATAAATGGGCGTCTCATCGGCATGGCAGCTGCCTGCCATAATCGATCTGTAGGCCTGCATGCATCTACCAAAAGTGGGCATACCGTGACTTACAGTACACGCCTGACAGTGGTAAAGTACGAGTCTGGGAAGTGCAAACATATTGATATCATTTTGCCAGTGAGAGTAACCAACCCGGGAAGTTTGAATGACAAGCAACTGAAGAGATTTCAAGTCGCCTCAGATAAGTCTTCGTACTCACTAGTATTCAAGATATACAACAATTCAATAAAAGCCTTGCGATGAACCGTAGGTTATATAACCATTCGAATTCGAGTTGGTTGTCAGATGATCGATGAGGTTGGCTGTGTTCGCACTCCGCGGTTATTGCTGTCTATTACAATACCCGGAAGTAGGTCCCTATTTAGGAGTGTATGTCCGTATTTACCATTTTCCACAGGACCCACGATGGCATGTTTTTGACGAGGTTCGAGTGATTCTTCTTTTGTCTCGATTCCCTTTTTTTAATGTTCACCGGGCATTTCTAGAAGAGTATCTGGCGCGAAGAAGACCATGCCATCATCTCCAGATCAGCGCAAACTTGGGAAAGCTAAGTTGGCTGACGCTCAAGCAGACACTGCAGCGAAAGGCAGTTCAAACGAGGCACCCAAAGCTGGTCGTGGGGCCCTTCGTGACGATGAACTTTGGTGGTGTAGTCATTTCCAATGGCTGATGGAACGAGGATACTTGTTGCGTCCTCGCTATGCCCCTGGTTGGGTACCGTCCTGGCAAAATACAAAAAAGTTCTGGTACAACTGCGAAGACGGTCGCACTCCTTGGGTCAGTATCCCTGGAATCACTGACCCTTGTTTCTCAATCTATCTTACAGTATCCCCATCTATTGGACGCAACTCGAATTGCGGATGGCTCATACGTGTCCTTGAAAGTCATAGTAAAATCGCGCCACCCTTTTGAGGCTGACATTGGACGTTACTTCTCTTCTGGACAACTCGTCAAAGATCCCGCCAATCACTGTGTCCCAATATATGAAGTTATCGAAGTACCGAAAGAACAGGACAAGATTATGCTGGTGATGCCTTTATTACGAGAGTACGATGATCCACCCTTTGACACGTTCGGGGAAGCTGTTGACTGTTTTCGGCAAATTTTCGAGGTATCTGCGTGTTATCATCATCACTGCCTAATCTTATTCTTCGTTAGGGCTTGCAATTTATGCATAAACATCATGTTGCTCATCGGTAAGCTGACGTCGCCCCTAACATCTGTTGCACTTTTCATGAGGGCATCACAGTGACTGTATGAATCTGAATATCATGATGGATCCAACCTCTTTTTACATAGATGCATACCATCCTTTCGATCCATGTATGAGGCGGGATTTTAAGGGTGAAGCGAGACATCGTACCCGTACGCAGCGTCCACCCAAGTACTTCTTTATCGATTTTGGCATATCTCGTCGTTATGACCCTACCGACGAGCAACCTCTGGAAGACCCCATATGGGGCGGCGACAAGACGGTACCAGAATTTCAAAGGTCGAATGAACCTCAAAATCCATTTTATACCGATGTCTACTATCTTGGTAATGTTATTCGAGAAGATTTTATACAAGTGAGTCGAACGTGTCTAACATAAGGAATTTTCTTGGAGTTAAACCTTGTATTTAAGGGGAAATTTGGATTCGAATTCATGATACCGCTAGTTGCTGATATGGTCCAAGACGACCCAGCTAAGCGACCTTCGATGGATGAGGTGGTTATTCGATTCGAGAAGCTTCGCCAGGAGCTAAGTACTTGGAAACTACGTTCCAGAGTTATTGACAAGGAAAACGACGATACAATGGGTTTTTTCGGTGGCCTAACTCATTGGACGCGTCGGGTCAGTTTCATGATCAGACGTATCCCTCCTGTACCTATCCCATAGCGCGATAGCGTCACCTACATGCAGAAAGTACTCATTTCTGTTGGAATAGGCGATGTAGCTATTGATGTTATGCCTGTCTGTCTTTTATTTTGTGATTTTCGTGGCTATCGACATTGAAACGTACATGAGCTACTACCCAAGCCTTGAATGCCTCAACTACTCAAACTTAGGCCCCTCCACATTGTCATATAACCTTCAAGCTGATGACACTTGTGTAGGATACATGGGACGCAGGGAGTAAACTGTGTAGTCAAGGAATCCGAGCACAATCTGGATATTGCTTGATCTGTCTTATATATAGTACAACTAGAACTTTATCCTTCTTCCGAATACTTGGCACGTTACTTCCTTCCTGTGGCCTTTATCATCTAGCTTACTTCGAATTCTCGTTCTCTAGCGATCAGCGATCACTTTACCAGTATCCGACTTCATAATCTGCCAACGTGTCCGTGCGGTGCTTGGTCCCTGGAACACGCTTCCCTTTGACACTATCATAGTAAAGCAGGTGAACGGTGGCCATGGCCGGGTTCGGAGTTCCTGCACCACGAACGCCTCGTGGAAGAGGTTGCTACAACCGAGGAGGAGGGTTCAATTCGTTCGCAGCATCAACTACAAGGCAAGCGTTAAATTCAGGTAGGGAAAGGCCAAGAAATTAACGTACTAGACTTTACCACCTCCATAGCCCCGGTCTGTTTACGATGGCGGTCAGCAAGACAGACATGTTCACTTTTCATCGGTAGAAAACGACAAGAAATTCACCAGTGCTAACAATGATACGTTGCCTGACCTGTCCGTCATCATAGCGATGCTAGCAGGCGCACCCGCGAACATTCTGCACACGCATGAACTTGAAACCTTGAACGCCTAGTCTCGCGCGAGTTACAAGTTGTAACCGGATGTCAAGGAGATCACCACTGCCCATGATGAGCATCGCACTTCTCGCTGACAATATCGATCGTGCCAGTACTACACTGACTCACTTCTGGCACGACTTCGACTCTTTCGAGTTCATTGGCGGGTCCACAACTCACAATGACTCCCAAAGCCGTTGCTTCTCAAAACCAATACAGCCTTTCCCTGTTAGTACTCAAGCTTGCGTCCCACGACGCACTCGCGCTAGGACGCAAGAGACTTTACATTGTCATGGTAGCCACCTTATGAGCAAATTTTATTTTCCAACAACAGCAAGAGCGCCAACTCTCTAAAAACCAAATAGTCTTGTGGCCTCAAGCTTCATTTGATATTTCAAATCGGAGCTTGTGATTTCACAGTTATCCACGAGAGCATGCTTGGTGATGCAGCTCATTTTATGACGTAGTACAAGGATAGTATATAAATAATCCGCCAATGAACGCCAGTACCAACCCCACGTATTGCACAATATGGAACATGTATCAATCTTCCGTCGAGCTTTCAGATAGGGGTGGTTCGATGATTATGATTTCAGATCCTCGGAAGGTTGACCTTGAAAACGTAGGCAGAGTTTCATGATCGCGGGATCCAATGTCCTCGCTCTCTGAGAAAGGCTTTGGCTCGTCATCTGCGACTGAGTTGGCTATCCGACAGCGACACTGTTGACATTCCTGTCGAAAGCGTAGTGGCGAAGATAAAGCTTCGTTCCGGTGAGGTGCCTCAAAGAGTGCTGTTGTGACTTGGAGCTGATCCGTGTCACTGCGTAATACCAGTCGAGCGTTTAGAGTAGCCATCATGCAGTTAGCATATCTGCAAATCCCATTAGTGCGGGCACGGTGATAAGGTAGACATCATACAATTTAGAAAGTGAATAAAATCTGGAATATCAACAAAAAGTCAGCAAGAACTTGGTTGAAGAAATTGACAACAGTCGTACATTAGAAAGTGATAAAAAGCGGGTAGTTTTACGGCCATCATCAACTCTACCAATGTGGCTACACTGGTAACCATTCCAGTCTCGATGGTCAGTTTAATAAGCTTGGTGAGGAGCGATTTTGTCTTTTTGAATTCCGAAGCAGATTTATTTTTAAAAAGCTAGAGATCATTGAACAATGTAGAGTTGAAGAATGAACATGTTAGGGATGTACTGACCAGTCTGGTTGTTTGTATGGTGATTATCAAATCGCACACAAGACTGCCACCTAGCCACAACTAGTGTTGTGAAAATGTTTCTTGTCAGAATGGCGTATCATTAAGATGCCTTGGCACATACATAGTCACCCCAGGCAGCTGAGGTTCCGCCCAGATAGTCTGTTTGTTGTGGGTTGTAAGACTGCAGAAAACATTGCCATCGACAGTCTTCACAAGCAAAATGAGGCACTTACTACACCTACACCTACTTCGATTTGTTCTACTTCGCTGATGCTGTGAACGGCATCATATATTACCATTATGCATTGAAGTAACGATATCTAAAAACTTCATTATGCAAGAGATAAGATGATTGTTATCCATTGGCTCACCATCATGACCAAGCAGGGTACAATAAACGACTTGCTGATGACCCAAAGTCTCCAGCAAAAAAAGCCGTGTACCATAGAAGATACTAGCCCCACTGTTCAGAAAACAGATTCAAAAGGTGGGGAAGCGACATACTCAAACCTGTTAGAGCTGAAAGGCCTACGTATGACCATACAGGCTCTGGTGCGGAAGGATAACCTCCACATGATAAAGGGGAAAGCTGCCCCTCCACAGATGGATAGATGGAACATGCAAGACATAAACGAGACAATCCATCCATAAATCCGACAAGAGTAAACACGAAGCTTAAAGTTTCCAGAAGGAGGATCGCACAGACTAGAGGGCTTTATCAAGAGGTCCTATTTTGTAATTTATTGGGAGGCAGAACCCACCAAAGCATTTCATCGCCTTTGTATCGCTGGGGAATCTTGTTTGATATATGACTGCAACACGGAAATTTTATAAATAGCGATATAATGAAGAGATGGTGCCCTTACAACCCTGAACGACAAGGATTCCAAAAAAAACAAAGCTGAACCCATAGCCGAGGCCCTGACACCAGTCCAGTTAGTTCCATCAGACTGGATGGGGTCTCAAATTACCCACAATAAACATGTCCCTACACTGCATTCAGGAAGTACTTCAAACAAGAAACATAAGCCAAGGAGCATACGGGTTCACCGAAGGCGATGTGATATCTTGAGAATATAGAGTGGCATAATTTGAAGGGTAGAAATTCCAAAAGAAATCTGGTAGGGATAGGTTATCCAATTCTAATCCAATTGCGCTATAACTGCAAAAAGTGAGCACGGTAACACGTTGTGTGTAAGGTAAGGGCGTATACTTACTTATTGGTACAAGCAAATACTAACCCTGAATTATCCATTGTAAGCTCAGGCGGCTTTGGGGGAGTAGCGATATAGTAAGGCACTTTCCAAAGGTATTTGAATCGTATTTTATACTACCTGAATCAACGATAGTACATTAAACTCCGAGCCACTGATATGCTGTGCTTGTTGCTGGAATCAGAAGGACCCAACAGATAGTCGTAAGTTGAAGATTTGGCATGCTAGTGATCTGGTACACATAGCTTTGCGTAAAAAGACATTGCCTCATGCTGAAAAAAGTGAATCAGTGCCTAGTGGGTAACCGATGGGATTGTAACGAAGATATTCACTTGCTACTATCAATGATGAAATTTGATGTAAACCCGTCAGTTCGTGAATGGTCCACCATATTGAAGGCCAATGATAGCATCTGTGAACGAACCACGCAACATGCGTTCAAAAATATTGAGTTTTCCGAATCTTGAAGTGGAGACTAAAGCCTGAGTTACTGTTCAGGACATTTTAGAAAGGTGTGGGAATGGCAACTACCGCCACCATCGCAAGAAGTTCGGACAGATCAAAAAATCTTACATTGATGCAACGGTTGGGCCAACAATTTATCATGATGACAGGAAGCCTGAGACCCGAGGTTGATTCAATCATACATCTTTATTGGTATGGTCACACCCTCAGAAATATTCAAAGAGACCTATCGAAATCGTTGGTCGTCGAAAGAAATCCGATGCCGTCGCTGGCATTCCAACCGTAACAGCGTAACCAACCGACCACTGTACAATCATGCCAGTGTCAGTGAAGCCATGACAGCCACAAACAGGAAACAGCCTTAAACTTTTACCACATAGCCACCACTATCTAATCAGCTCTCCGTCGCAGTCCCACCTAATATACAGTGACTCCCCTCTGCACTCCTTTCAATCGTAAGACCCACGGGCTATCTTTTGCAGCGAGCTCGCGGTGGGAGACACGGCCTACGAACCTGATATATCCTTCACAATCTGTAGACCATGCCAGCTACACACCCATCATGGCCGATCCAAATGCACAGAGATGATCTAAAGTAAGGTCAGGTCAGGCACTAAATGGTGTGCTTCTTGCTTATTTGCAACCACGCTTTGCGGACCGTCATCTGGTCCCCGTCCTCGAAGTGGCGTGCATTGATATGGTAAGCTATCCTTGACCTCACAGGCTTGTTCCCCATGCCGAGGTCTTCACACCCGCGAACGTTGTATTTAATCTCTTGAAGAGCCTACAAATTGGGCATAAGTTGGACGCATGAAAAAACAAGCAAATTTAAAAGACGAATCCTGGAAACAACGGTATGCAGATAAATAAAGCAAGAAATACAGGGGGAAAGTCGATCAGGTGTAGGGTTCCCGCTCCCCTCTCGAACTGGCTCAGCCTAGGGGATCAATGGAAAAATAAAAAATGAAGACTATGGTTATACCATGATTGACTGAGCCAGCTGCGAAATAAAATACCAATAGCGGCTTGGTAGGCTCTCCCAGGATGTAACGCACCTTTGTATTTAAATTATTGGTAAAGTTAGTCACAGTTGGATTAAACGATACAAAAGTGAGATCTGAGACCTTCTTCGTGAGGTGTACGCTATTTTGACATCTTCTGACAGGGAAGGTGAGGGATGGAGCATTGACGCTCTTGCTTTCTACAGGGGAAAGTGCCTTGATGTTGGATGTAATGAATGCCGCATGCTCTTTGAGCCGCTATAATTATATTTCTGAGCTTGACGCGAAAATAGTATTGAAGTATAGGGATCATAATTAGATATTGATGAGCGTCGATTGTGTATACTGACAGCATGTATCTTTCACCTTCAAGTTAGTGTTGCACTACTGGACCTACCAGACTGATTTGGCCACGACGTAAGACCGCTCATGCACATGTGCGATTCGACGTCAAACATACTTCCAGAGAGGATTGTGTACGTTTTGCTGCATTCTCTACGCCGGTTTAACTTGAGAAGTCTGTTTCGGACGCTGAATTATCCATGATCATCATATCAAGTATCAACACTATAACATCCATGGAGCAACACTAGAAAGCGTATGAGGAGTTTCCGTGAAATGTAAGCTTTGCATCTGTGCGCGCAGACTGGCTAGTACTTACCTGCAATAGCTTTCATGGGTTTTCTCAGATATAAAGATATACGACGATCATACGAATGCCATGGTCGAGAAATATCTGGCAGCGTCACTGGCAAACGTTCTCACGCATGTCAATCGTTGTTACTGTGTTCACAGCATATTTGCAGTCGCAGTAACCAACGTTATGGGCCGGTGCTATATAGTCTGATAGAAATCGACATGCTGCAAACATGAAACCAGAACAGCACCTTCTACCACTCTACAACAATATAGCATCTATCTTTGCTACCTTCGCCTCCAGCCTCTTCGCCACTAATACTCCCAACGACCTCCCCCTCCCACCAGGCCCATCCACCCACTGGATTTGGTCAAAAAAGACCTTCTCCACATCCATGTAAGTATCCTGGTAGATAATGGTTATATTTACCCACCCCCAACATGTCTCCCAGCGCACCTTTCAAGGTCGCACAATGGACAAAACACTACGGGCCTGTCTTTTCGCTGCGTAGAGGTGGGGCCGTGTACGTTGTCATAGGCCGTCATCAGGTGTGTTTCACATCCTCGCGTCCTAATTTCCATATCATATTCGGTCTCACTGGCACTGGCAATGTGAATGTGCGTGCGTGTGTGGAATGTAGGCTGCGGTGGAAATCATGGAACGCGAAAGCGCGTCACTTGCTGATAGACCTTACTTTGTCTCTGCTGGAGAGACTCTCGAGAGCGGTATGAGAGTTCACGATATACACTCCGGTCCTACACTTAATAAACTACGCCGGTGAGTTTCACATTCAGCCTTAGCTTCCCACCCCCAGTTCTATTCACCAGCGTCCGGCTATCTTGTCTCTGTCCATCCATCATTACACCTTAAATGGTGTATACTACACGAATTCATGAAACTAGAGCCATGCACGACTTCTTCCAAGGCGATGCTATCGAGAACCACAAACATGCTCTATTCCAGGCTTCCGGAATCCTCATGTTCACTATCTCACTTGAACCGAATGAGCACCATAAACTTACTAGAAGGTGTGTTCCATTTCTCTCACTCTCTCACTCACTCTCTTTCTTCCCCTCCTGTCTCTCTTCTATCCCACCTGAGTTCCCCACCTAACTCCTCTCCAGCTACGCCACCACCCTAATCCACACTCTCGCCTACGCATACTGCACCTCCTCCTCCGGCCACGTCGCCGACATGCAAGCGACATTTGCCTCTCGCCTCCTTGAGCGCCTCCCCACTCTCCTCCAGCCTTCCCCTGGCTCTTGGAAAACGAGGTATGGGGGCTTGAGTAGACATGATGATAGAATGAATGTCAGTGGAAGTGTAGGAAGGGGCAAGACTAAGGGAAAGAAAATAAACCTCGAATCAAGCCTGAGAAAGACGTCGAACGCGAAAGTGGATGTGAATGCGAGTGTGAACTGTAGCACCTCAACCGAGGATGAGAGCACAATACATACCAGACCTGACCACGACCACGATTATATTTTTGATTACGGATACGGTAATGTGAGTTTGACCGCGTCAGAGCTGGAAGAGCTTCATAAGTGGCACGTAGAGGAGGGACAGTTTCATAAGTCGATGGTGGATTCAGTTAGAGGGAACTCGGTACGTATCTTGCGTGTCTTACTTTCAACATGTGTTCACTCGAGCTCTCGTTTCGTACAGCGAAGTAACACCGCTGCACCATGCTTTACCACCCATCTCCTCTCTCAACAATCCAACCCCGAAGACGGGCTGAGCGACGATGAGCTTGCGTGCCTCGTTGGGAGTATGTTTGGCGCTGGGGCTGACACGGTGAGTTTGTAGTTTCCTTGAGTGAAACCATGTATACTGGGGAGTGATAAAAGATACTAATTCAGCCCTCCTTTCCCATCTCCGACTGGACCCCATGAAAAATGAAAACTACTGAAAGATAGCGTCTGCCATCAGCATCATCATTATGGCAGCTGCCACGCATCCTTTGGCGCAGACGCATGTGCAAGAGGAACTTGATCGGGTCGTTGGGGATAAAAGAGGTGGGTATTTTTTTTGTCTTTGTGTGTTTATTGGCTTCCTGGGTCAGGCTCCAATTTCTAACAATCAACTGATATTTCCCCCATATTTTTCCCCATACGAAAAAAAAAATGATCTTCACTCGACGACAAAAGCCCCGACGTTTGACGATGAAAAGGCGCTCCCGATGACCATGGCGTTCATGCTCGAATCATTCCGATGGAGGCCTGTTACTGTCAGAGGTACATTCTCTCTCCTCTTCCTTTCGGTCCCCCTGAACACTCCCTAACACAATTCATCAACTGATCATCTCGACAGGCTACCCACACCGGGCTACAAAGGACATCATATGGAAGAAATATGTTATCCCCAAGGGTGCGATCGTCGTCGGAAATCATTGGTGAGTCTTTGTCTTACACTATCATGCTGCCCTGAGCACTAAGCCCAAATTTTGATGTCTAACAGGGCAATTGCACACGATCCAGACGTATTTCCAAAGCCAGATGACTTCAATCCGCTTCGGTGGCTCGACAAGGCAGGACGGCTCAGGGATGATATGAAGTTTTTCAATTACGGGTTTGGTCAGAGGTGGGCGTTTCTTGTTTTTTATGATTTTGACAATCCCTCGTTTCTTACAAACTCTCTAACGCGCGCACTTGCAATTTACACTCGTATCTCCTTCTTCATTTACATACGCTCCAATCCGTAAACAGAGCATGCCCAGGCCAAGACCTCGCCAACCACGCCCTCTTCATCGCCACCGCACATCTCCTCTGGGCTTTCCGTATTTCCGAGGACCCGAAGGACAAAATTGATACGATGAAGTTCACAGATAGTGTGAATTTGCATCCGGAACCGTTTGCGGCTGTGTTTCAGAAGAGGGGGGAGTGGCGGAAGGAGCTGTTAAGGTGGCTTCGTTGATATGGATAAGGTGAGATGATCTACCGCAGAAACCTTATGGGGGCAGTTGTATTGCTCTCTTTCTCGTCAGTCAATGCCAATTTATAAATGGTTGTATCGTAAAGTTCAAAGACCTTCGACAGGGCATCAGAATAGCCCATTCCTAGTCTTGGCACTTCCAACAGGATTATATGGCAAAGTGTTTAATTTATTTTGCGCATAACATTGATACAACCCTAATGCTTCCATATCCAAATGTTAAAATACAAGTTTAAATAGAAAAAACCACAAGGAGAAAAAACCCATAAACCTCGTACTTAAATAAACAGGCACCAAAAAGTTAAAACTCTCCGAGGTGTATTACGTGCTCCATGCAGTTAGCGTGTCTTGGTATCCATCAAGGTTGCTGCTGGCGGTGACGACACCGTTTTGAGCGACACTCAGCTGGTATGTCGAACCGATCGTCGAAACACTGTATACGCCAACACTTGCGGCGGAGGCAGAGTCAATGTTAAAGATCTGGGTTTGGCACGAGTTGCTAGTCAGGCAGGATTGGCCATAGTTCTGAAGAAATAGTTAGTCCCGCGTGTGTGCTTGCTAAATGAAGGGAGGAATGGACCTGAAAGAAGTTGTAAAATCCGGCACCTATTGATTATTAAATAGTAAATTAGCTAATGGGATGCAAGAGGAAAGAGGGGGGTGAAGAACGCACCGAACAACACGATATTTTGCGAAGTCTCAATGTACATTCCCCAGGCGGTATTAATTGAGCTGGAGAACGTGGGGTCATTGTACGCGCTGTCCGTGAAGAATGGTGCAGGTGCGGCGGGGGTGGGCTGGTAGTACGGCTAGAAAGACATTACTCGGTCAGAAATTGTACTGCTCGCAAGCACGGTACACAACTGACCGTCTCCGTTTGAGCGAACCCGATCCAGTGGTCCTGTGCGCCAGCCAGGTTGTATTGATAGAGGGCAGCGTGCTCAGCTAAAAGTACATAAATTAAGTATATTGTTTCCTAGCGTCCGTCAAAACTCAAAGCTCACATGCTACGGAGATGAGGTTAGCATTCACAGATATATCATCAAATGAGTCAGCGACTCACAAGTGCCAATCAACCAAACGGGACCCGCAGACTGGGAAAGGATCCCGCGACCAGTGAAGATGCTGGTCTGAGTGGATGTCGATGAGTCTAGATCATGATCGGCAGTCCACACCCACGTGCCCTACAATGATTTACCAGGTCAGGTACATATATAGGAATTAGGGAGGCGAAGTACCTCGAAGTATGCGCTAGATCCAGAAGTGAGATGTATACCGAGGAAAGCAGCTTGGCACGCAGCGTTCTCAGATCCCGCCGGACACTGGCCAGATTGCATGTTAGTACCGACAGCTGCGATACGATTGTTAGACCATTATTTTTGATTCCCGCTGAACGTGTAAATAGCATACCTCCACCAAGTCTATACGAATAAGTTATTAGCAACTGACAGGAAACTTGAGACAAAATGCACACACCTAAGATGTGTATCCCACATGCCAGCAGCACCCTGTTGACCAGAGGGATCATGGACGTTCCACTCTATCATAATAGCGCCAGGGGCTATTCCAACACACTATCTAAGCCCAAAAGTGTACGGTACAAGCAAATCACGCACCAGCACCAGCAGTGGAGAATATCATATCAGTAACCTCGAAAACACCCTGGGAGCCAGTGGTCCCAGCTTGGAACACGACCGTGGGGCTGTCCTGGTTCGAGAACGCGCTTCCTCCAGCGAGGATCACAGACCAAGCTTCGCCCACGATCTGGGCACCGGCAGGGACAGTGATGGTGTTGGTAACGTAGTATGTGCCGGCATCGAAGAAGATGATCTTGCATCCGGCATACTAATAAAGTAGTCAAAGAATTAGGCATCGTAGTACTTGGCATCGACGAGAACAGTCCATACCTCGTTAATGACGTTTTGGATGACGGTGGTATCGTCCGTATGACCGTCGCCCTTCGCACCCGAAGACTTCACGCTGACAAACTGGCTCGTCGCGTAAGCAGCATACTGTGGGTGAGTTTTCTGGAAAACTCTTCCCGAGCTATCAAGCAAGGAAGAAGCTTTGTTGGCAGCGGGAATATTTCCCTGGGTGAATGCGACGTTTCCGCTGGTGCCACTGAAGACGTTGCCTTGTCCCCAGGAAGCGATAGTCGTAGTCCCACCGTTCAGGACGACAGCACCGCCAGTGACGCCAACTGCAGTGGGAACATTGTTTAACTGGATGTTGTTCAAGACGAGGGAACCTGCAAGTTTTCCATTGCTGGCAACAGATGATTGGATGAAGATGGGGGTGTTGGTTACAACGGCGTCGATGATGGCTTCAGAGCCAACAGTCTTTGAGAAAATAAGCAAACCTTAATGATAAAATTTCGTGTAGACGTCACCTGATCTGCTTGAGATGTTCCACCAGTGGCCAAGGCAAAACCGACCTGTAATACAGTTGAATGGAATGCGAGAACATTATTCAGCATGGTGCTTACCTGGCAGTTGTTGATAGTGACACCTTGGAAAGTCCAGCCTAAAAGTACTATTAGCCACTGGATATCCGGGAATTCCATATTCAGATCACTGACCCCAATTCCAGATCCCAGAGACAGCTGCAGGCAAGAATAAGATAAACCACTCAAACTGCAAGCTCGATTTACTTACCAGTTTGAGCATTGTTGATCGTTAGATTACGAACAGTGAATTGCTGGTTACCGATCTGGATACCATATTGACCACCGTTGAAGACCAGGTCTGGCAGTGAAGCTCAAGAATACCGCTAAAATGGGGTGGAAGAACAAACATACCGTCCATAAAACCACCGCTTGTATTCAAAGAAGCATGATCAATCAAATGACAGCTCAAGTTGACTTCATTGCTGCTTACCTGCCGTTTTCCATAAACATGCCTGAGATGGAAAGTCAGCGTAACACAAGTAGAATTTGGGGAAATTTACCTTGATGCGAGTTTCCAGAGGCGGTGGACATCTCAACCACTATGTTCATCAAAGACGTGGCTTGAGAAACCTGCCAATGCAACCCGATAGCGGAAGTAGTTGCAGGCATTTGACGAAGGTCGATGACAAGATTCCTGATAGAGCGATAGCTGTGGAGGAAGGGGAACTGAGAAACACGATGGGTCAACTGTAATTTACGAGCTTACAAGTTGTCCTGGTTAGTGTACCACTGAGCGCCGTAACCGTTTGGAACGTAGGGATCCGCGTCTAAAACGACTTTGTAAGTGAATCACACGTGGACGTATAGGTGGAGGACTAACCGATGACTGCAAAACCCGAGAACCCTGAGCTGGCGAGAAGGGTTGGAGGATTTTTGGCGTCACCGATCATCTGGGTGTAATAGTACATGTCAATCGCTGAAGAGACGACATATGTTCTACAAACGGGAAGAATTTAGCAAAGACAAAGACAAACCCGGAATGTAGAGGCTGGGGCTCACCCAGAGGGAAAGTAAACGATAGCCGGCGTAAGACTGGCGAACACCGTTAGCAAGATGGAAATCAAAGTAGTAGAGGCACTTACGTCGATGACGCGCAGGATCCGCCTCCACAACGTCCTCCGCTCGACATTGCAGAACTAAGATATCGATGCATGAGCACTAAAATTATCGTACATTATGGTACAGACCGCGTACTTAATAGCAGCTGTGTCATCCGTGACACCATCACCTTTGGCACCAAAGTCCTTGACATTGCGGAAGACTTGATAGCTGCTGGGGTTTGAGTTGAATGCGGACGTTCCTTGGTGAGTGATGGTCTCCATCCAGAAAGGGTCTGAGGGAGACGCGGTCCCGCCTCCAAGAGGAGCCGAGCACGATGACCCGAGGCCAGATACTTGGGTAGTCAACCCAAGCACTGTGCTCAACAGGAGCAGATATATTTTTGAGAACATTATCTCTAGTTGAATAACAAACCAGTTCGAGAGGAAGATGAAGTGAATGCTTGCCACTGGAAATCAAGTGAAGGAACATGCTAAGCTTTATAGCCCCACAACTCAGGCAAATAGGCCCAGATGACTCCAGCAATGTACCCTTGTATATTGTCATCAAGGGCCCAGGGAAGAGTAAAAAGACAGCCCGTGATCGCAATTCCGCGTGATACGAGGGCTTCTTGATGGTGCAGGAGTCAAATAGTCGTCGAGAGTGCCTTGAAAAGACATGTATACAACACTTGGAAAACGAGAAATAAAAGCTCGATATAGCAGGATAAGACTGGCAGATGTGCGATTTAGCAAGTGTGCGCTGGCATCTACGCATCCACGTCAGAGCCACATAGCAGATGCCCGTCGATGACACCTTTTTCCCACTCAGAATCTGCATAAGATAATTACATGGTCAGCTGAAAGTTTTGAAAAGGTGCTGACCGTATATGCGCCAGACTAGGCGGTTCGAACGTCCTGGGCAACTCAAAAGAGCAATGATAAAGAGCTCACGGGCTACCCCTGGCGCATGCGATATACTGTGTTTACCACTGGATCCGGTACAGTGCTGAACGTAGCCCTCGTGCAGACTAAAGGACTCACATCTCAAGGAAGTTCAGGGCTAAGTTCCGACGAAGATCCGGCTTAGCAGTTATAGCGAACCCCCTGTGAGACCCTGGTACGAAAAACCAAGCAGAGAGAGATGAAAAGACCCGACGACGATCACATGAGCGGTTCTCTACTTGATAATGTCAGACGTTTCATGCCAATACGATGGAAACGTATACTCTGACCGCGTGTATACAAGAAACTGGAGGCGTTCCAATGGCGGGCGTAGTCGCCCCACGGTGGCCACCTTTGTTCTGGGCGATTGCCACGTCCGGCGTTAGGGCGTCGAACAGTCACATCGATACCATCTTTCGCCATAGATTTCAGAATCGAACATTGTCACAATTCAGGTCCTTGAACAAGATTTGGGAGACGATGACACCGAAAACGGAAGTTTTGACGTTGAGGCTATTTAGCTTCCATGCTGGGCTTGCCACGTAGTAAGGAACGCTTTCAGTTCCTCGAGTCCTTCAGCCTATTTCTTCTTGTCAATAAGCTTCGATAGCCTGGGACAACCATGCGACATTCCTCAGGTGACTGGCCACTTCATCACAGATATGAGTACCTGTGAGTGCTTTCGGTGCGAAGACGGCGTGAAAGGACAGAAAGAAAAAAGTGAATCAACGCATGACTGTCAAGTGAGTGCTCAGTACCAACAAGGCCTGATAAGCCTATCTTGCCGCGATTGTGGAATGGCCTGAGTGTGCGGTCCCAGGATGCCAGCGTGTCTGGACAGCCCCTGCGAATCAGCGCGATAAGATTTATAAAAGGTACCTAGGTAGTATACAAAAAACAAGTTAAAGAAGGCTTTTTTATATCACCGAAAGTCCTGGATGCGCGACGAGATACCATTCTAAACTTGAAGGGATAGTAGCCTGAGCCTGAGACGTCCGAGTCAGTGAGCGTGAGTATAATTTGAATACAATTCGAGAGACTACCACTGGCATGCACTGGCATGCCTCGAGCTTCTGCTCATCATATGTTTTTTTATATATTTTTATCTCTAGCTCAAACCACTGACAACTCGAAGATGCTGACCATAAACCAGATCTTGTCACTATATGTGAAGACTAACACACCATCACTGCTCATATCGCGAGTTCGTAGAAGATTGAATTTGTGTAACTTGGTAAACGATTTTTTCGATAAGAACAATGCATGATAGTCTGGCACGAACATAGAAAAGAAAGTATAGCCCTACACCCAACACCAAGCAAAGGTAATGGCGCACTCTATGAATACTAAAGTATTCCGAACAAGACCGCTTAATGACTGAAAAATATTCAGAAATCCGATATCCAATCCCTACATAGATGGAACACAATTTCACTTCCTCAGCACATGAGGATCGACTGCTGGAGACTTGACTAATGACTTCCACAGCTGGCGCCACGATATTGGATTACCCTAAATTAAATTTCATGCCCGTTCAGCTCAGCATTTACTACCGGAGGCAAAGGCAATTTGTACAAACCTCATTCCGGTTCATCAAACAAAACGTTCCCTCTGTCCCCCTATAGTTGAATCTCTCCAGTTCAACCCATCCTTTAAACATAATCTTTCTCCGGTCATATCCACCAACAATCAGTTTGAGAATTTCACCTCTTCCATCCGAATTGGCATTTTCAGGAGGTGCGTCTTTGTATTTCACGCCTAAGGAGTCCAAACTTTCTTTGATCAGATTAATCAGTAGGCCCGGTCCGAGAGAAGCGTAGAAGCGGGTTAGTTGAGGTGTATATCGGCGGCCTGATTGAGTTTGTGACTGCGTGAATATCATGAGTGTGAGAATCATGTGTTGGAGGCAAAAGATTCAGTACATACAAAAAGAAGCAAAGATTGAGTGAATTGAGATTGATATGTTGCTGATAGCATCATTTCGTCTCCATCTGCATCTTGGTTGCCCCTGTGCATACTTAAAATAAGCACCTCCGACTCATGTAACCAGGACCTTACCTCGGATTAGCAGATTCTGGTATTGCATACCCCAGATCTCCAGATACACGTAAGTTCTGAGTGAGTTCTTCGGCGAGAGCAATTACTCCACGCTGTGCAAGCTGACTTGGTCTATAATGTGTGTGAGCGGGATTTATGGTTCCGTGTAGAAATGGTGCCAGTACCTTGTGCACCATGGATGCTGATAGACATCCGGAAGGGTCATTCTACTTGCGGGATCAATAGTAAGCAGTCCACAAATGAGTGCTTTGAGTACAAGGCGAACAGAAAGTGCATATGAGCGACGAATCGGTTTTAGGCACGGATAAAGACATACATAAAGATGTCTCGCTAAACCGATTCCATGGTGCTTCATCAAATATCTTGCCAGAAAGATAACGACAATATTCGGGACTGCGTTTTGTTGGTTCGTCCCAGGGTGTATCTATTTGGTGTTAGTAGAAGAAACACTAGAAAACGAAGACTAATAACGCACTTCCCCCAAGGAGAGTGAACAGTATCACACCCATGCCCCATGCATCGATCGGTTCAGCTTGATAAGGCTTGTCGATATTGAGCTGTTGACCAGATATGATTACATTATTAAAGGGTCGAGAGGTCCTCACAGTACCAAATGACCTACCTCAGGCGCTATATATGGTAAACTGCCACACCGTTCACTCAGAGTACGCGTTTTCCCCGATTCTTTCAGCTTGTACACTGCAGAGAGACCAAAATCGGAGATCTTGAGTGTACCAGCTGCATCTAAAAGTAGGTTTTCGGGCTTAAGATCTCGATGGCATACTCCTTGGCTGTGGATGTAATCCTGACGGTGATCGATTCTTTGAATACAGAGGATTTCAAGAGCGACAAAATAAATGAAACATACCATGCCATCTACCAACTGACTGAAGTAATAGTGAGCTACATCTTCCCCAACCCCAACATCAGGGGCTGAACAGTGTAATCAGTCGATCATGCTTCCTAGGAGATGTAAACACTCCCTCACCTATTTTATCAAATAGATCCCCACCAGCTGCCAACTCCAGTAACATATAAATTCCAGGAAAATAATGATGCTTGTACTTCAGCTCTACGACGACAGCGTTGATGAACTCGAGCACGTTTCTGTGTTTGAGCGCGGCATGTACTTTCATCTCCTTGTCAATAATCTTGCGATCTTTCTCACTTGTTTGCTCGGTAAGGGAGATGACTTTACAGGCGGCCACCTCGTGGTTTTCTATGTGTACTGCGCGGAATACACTATGTATTCAATGTCAGATGTTTGACGTGGAAGTTGCGAGATAGGGAAGGTGCAGAACCGATGTATATAGAGGTTCCCAACAGTGCAGTTGCCGCCAGCCAACACTCTTCGGAGAACTGCCACCAGTAACCATGATGTTGAGCTCACCTCGAGAACCCACCACCTCCAATTTTCTGAATAAGCTCATAACCTACAACACGAGTCGAGTTTTCATAATCAGGATTCGAGTGCCAACGCGACTAACCACGACTTACCGACAACTTTGGGGTACTTCATGACTTCCAGCCGACAAAACCCTAATATCCAAAATGGTGTGCGTATAGCATGCAAAGGTGGTCTTTGGTCTTTGTGGATGATCCTTGATGAGGCCACCTATGGGCCGCCAGGCCTGTTAGCGATCACAAAGACAATGCAGGTCACGTCAGGTGAATTTTGGTGACGAAACACGCCGTGACTGCATCACGTGATCGTGACGTTCATCAATTCTCTCAGGTTAATAAGTCGCGCGAGTTTGACTTGACTCGAACTCAATGCTTGACCTGACTCGCGTTATAAATTACATAGCGAGCGTGAGGACGCACAGGTTTGAAAGGATGTGTTTTGACCCAATATGACCTTTCATACAGACCAATCGGAAGGGAGTTATTATCCCTCTCAATATAATCAATACTAAACTAGATAGAAACAACTACTAACAACTACTACATATCTACAATGTGCAAGCTTCAAGTTTCTTCGATACCTAAACGTACTTTGCCTTCACGGACTCTGCAAATTCTTCGACGGTGCCGAACTTGACCCCAAATTTCACGAGACGAGGATCAGGGATCTCCACACCATTTATTGACCCTATCTCACATTCCATGTCGAACTGGCCCACAACATCAGTTTCGTTGCACCTGCAGAACTATTATTATCAAAGGAAACTCACCATTTCATCCAACACTGGCAACCCCGTCTTTGGACCCGTTACATATTTGACTGGCACGCCAAACACTGACGCAAGTTCCAAAGCCACGTCAGGTTAGCCAAGTAGCCACGATACGCATTTAATGTTTATACGAACCTCTTTCCAGCGTTCCAGCAAACTCAGCGAAGGTCGTCTTCTCTGAAACAACATAGAATGTTTTCCCAGATATTTCAGCTAGATGGGATTCATAGTTCTGGAAAAGAGCCAATACAGATGGTCCAAGATCGTGACCAACCCACGACAAGTAGACGTCGGATTCTTCCTTCATCACTGGTAACGTTAACTCGTATCCGGATGGAGACTTGCGAAGAGCCTGAAGCCTTACAAGACAAATATCAGTTATTTACTGCGAAAAGGCCAACGTGAAACATATACTGAGACTAACTTCCATAGATTTTCTGCGAAGCAACCTGATTGCAAGATTGATGTCAAAAAGAATTCATTCGCGCTCAAAGATCAAGAAATTTGCTTACCCATGTGAAGAGAAGCATTAGAAAGTCCAGATTGCTTCAGATAATCTTCGACCGTAGCTTTATCTGAGAATATTCAATACGCTGGCTAGGAAGAGTGAAACATGGCACGCACTATCAAAGTGAATAACATTGGGATATTTCCCACCGGAAAGCTTGGTGCAGCTAGGTAAGGAACTGGTACGAGTTATAATAATCAGACAGCCGAGCAGGTTGGGATCCACGCCGAAATGAAGAGCTAACCTCCAAACGAAAAAGCGGATGCCAGCTTCCTTTGCAGCATCGACCAACGCTTTGCCAATTTTGGCTTCAGTATCAGGAGCTCCTGCAAGGACTGCTGGATCCGCGTAGTTCGTCACCTGTATATCAATATTAGGGATATGAAAAATAGCAGAAACAAATGGCCTTACGCCAAAGACACATTCACAACCTGAAAGACCTCTCTTGATGGATTCAGTGTCGAAAAGGTCTGCTTCTACAACTTCAACGCCGAGACTTTTCAGAGATTGTGCCACATCAGACGAGGCATTCCTTGTGATCGCACGAGGCTTGAATGTTTTATCAGCAAGAAGTGCGTCAACGACCGAAGCACCTATTTGTATATCATCAACGAAGCACACGGTGGTTGTAAAGCCGGCAGGGAGCACCCCACAATCAAATAATGCTCACCTTGAGTGCCAGTTGCGCCAAAAACAGCTACGATACGTTCAGTCATCTTCATGATTTGTGTGGGGGTTAATTGTTGTTTACAGCGCTGGCTACTTAAAAGAAGTGGGAACTCCCTGCTATGCATTACGATAGCTGTGGTACTCCAGAGGGGACTATACCTATACCTGTGTTACAGTTATCAGAAAGCGCTCGCAGCGCTATGATCATGCACGAGCGGTGACTTCGATTTGATCCCCGGCATCATCCTCGAAGACCATAGACCTCGTAGGACAGCCTACACTGACATATGGAATATGCCCCAGGTACACTCTTCATATTGTTCCACTCGTCTTCTCTCCAATGTTGCAGTTGTTGGAGGGCAGCAACATAACTCTCGTGGCTGGTAGATAGAGACAGATGGATGGGCGCTCATGAGTCCAACTCGATCATCCTTCTGCCATCAGCGCTAGGTTGGTTCCGACAAAACTTCCTGCTTCATCAAGAATAGCGTATCCACTTGTGGGACGTCGTCAACTCATGATCACGCTCAATGGTAAATACACTTACTTTCAGCGAATGGAATAGCGCGAAGTTCAACAGTATTTCGCCTGGCTATGAAAACTTTTTCCGCAAGGTGCTTGCAAAATGATGTAGGACCGGTAATCCAAACTGTTTGAAATTATCCTCAAGGGCACCCAAGTGATACCGAAGAGTGCTTCCTCGAGTTCAGCAGATTCAGAGTGACTAAGCACTTGAAAGTGCCATGTCATTTTCGATCAGGGTCCAGTGCACGGTGCATCATGCTAAGCCGGTCGCATCTTTCTCCTCATGGCTCTGGCGCTCGAGATCAAACAGCATCTTTCGCCGAAGATCATAAAGTTTCAAATAGCGTGACAGTTGGACATTCATTTCCGAAGCTTCACACGCCAATGCTACGAGCAACAAGACTTGCATCTGTTTCAGTGCAAATCGTGGATTTGGATGTGTGACAAAATATACAAAAAAATGAGATGATCACGCGATGGATACCTTACAAATGCAAAGCGTATAAATTCACCTACAAAAACCTCGACTTCACCGACTCCGCAAACTCTTGGGGTGTACCGAATTTGAGACCAAGTTTCAAGAGACGAGAGTCAGGGATCTCGACATCACCGTACATACCCATACCAGCGATTACCTCAAGCTGTGTGAAGTTGTTATCATCAAGCATAGAATGAGCGATGTTATCACATGAAACTTACCATGTCATCTATTTCAAGCAACCCCGTCTTAGGAGCCGTTTTGAATTTGACCGGTACGCCGAATGCTGAAGCAATGTTTAGACAGATAGTCGCACCACGGGTTTTCGAGATGACAAGAACGAACCATTTTCCAAGGCTTGAGCAAAATTACCGAACGTTACGTTTTCTGAAATTAAGTGGAAGGTTTGGCCCAATATTTCATCTTGGCGTGATTGATAATTTTTGAGAAGAATGAGCACGGAGGGGCCGAGATCATGGCCGATCCATGTAAACTGGAGGGGGGTGCTTTCGCTCTGCAGTGGCATCGTGAGCTCAAACCCTGAATCAGACTTGCGTAGACAGTGAGTCCTGGCAAGATGAGATGAGTGAAAAATGTAAACTTGAAAGACAGGATTGAATTACTTCCAAGTGTTCTCCGCAAAGAATCCTAGTAAGAAAGTTAGATGTGCCGGCGATATGCAGGATTGAACACATAACTTACCAGTACGAAGGGTAGCGTTGGGGAGCCCAGATTCCTTAAGATAATCTTCGACATTGGCTTTGTCTAGGTGAAAGTTGGAATATCAGTTTTAAGGGAGACAGAAATGTCACACATACTGTCAAAATGATAGGCATGACAATATTTCCCCCCTGTAACTTTGGTAAGGTTCGGCAGAGAGCTGACAAGCAACAAGCGTGATGTCAGACATCACGATCAAGTGATTTATCACGAGCTGAGAAACTAACCTCCAGACAAAGAAACGGACACCGACCTCCTTAGCAGAGTCGACCAGTGACTTTCCAATCTTCTCTTCGGTGTTAACGCCCTGTGCCCGGGCGGCTGCATCCCCGTAATCGGTTACCTAGACAAACTATTAAGGATAAGAGGTTAACAGACATAAGTTGAGACACTTACACCAAAGACGCACTCGCAGCCGGAAATGGCTCTCTTGACTGAGTCGGCATCCAAAAGATTAGCTTGAACAACCTCCGCACCCCTATTTTTGAGGGCTTGTGCTGCATCAGATAAAGGGTTTCGTGTGATTGCTCGAGGCTTGAAAGTTCCATCAGCAAGGAGAGCATCCATAACCGAAGAACCTGACCAAAGGTGGATTAGAACCAGGACAGTGTGACTCTCAATATCTTGACACAACTGAAACATACCCTGCGTGCCAGTTGCGCCGAAAACAGCCACAATACGTTCAGCCATTTGAAGAAAGTGTTCAAGAGTGGGTGTTATGAGTTGTGGTACGTATACCTTGAATAAGGGTCAAGATGAGTTCGGATTGTAATAACTTGTCGTGGAATGCTTTATAGTATTACCTTGATAATCCATGACCAAAGGAGATGACGCCAACGGACTTGTATGATCAAAGATGATTTACGTCACCACCTTGAAATGACTCGAGCTGCCAAATCTCAGGCCACAAAAACAAGACACTATTGTGATATGGGCTGGGGTATTGTCTCCTAGAGTCGGCATTGATCGACTGATGTCAAAATAAGCACGTGCGCTTGTGTCGGACAGCTTACGCACACCCTGCCATGCAGACACGTAGTCCCCCTTGCCGACGTGATTACGATAGCAGCTAAGGGAGAGAGGACACATCATATCCACATGATAGAAAAGAAAAAGAACAGTAATCAATGGACTTTGAAGGCACGTCTAATAGCTATCTGAGCCTTACGCTGCAGTGAAAAACAATCCATTTCGGGTGCGGTCTCGAGCTTGGTGCATTTTACGTTAACATGTGATACTGACGACGAGACAACACGTGAAAGTATAGAAACGATACTGAAGACCTGAAGAAGACTGGATTTCTAGAACACCCAAGTTGGCGGAAATGATCGTGTGTAAGATTACACGTACCCAGACACTACAAGATTCTCCACTACGCTGCTATTCATTGCCAGTGATGACGCATTCGATCCACATTTGTGATGTAATCTTCTAAAGAGTGATTGCTTTATCTGGGACAACTTATATCGCAGTCGAAGAACTGAATATGGCCAAGGGTATTAGTTTGCGTTTGACGGACATAGTCGAAGCTGTGATCGAGTTGATGAGTTAAGTCCGATCTGAGAGAGGCATGAAAGGGGGCTTCGTACATGACGGTCAGACCTGAGTCTGCGATCACAGAAGGTCCCATACCGAGCCGGGAGAGAACAGGGTGCATACATAAGAGGGGAAATGATGTGTATGGTTTTGAATTGATATCAAGAACGCCGAGAGCAACATCTCATCTCCGCGTTGGATTCTTGTTGCTCCCATGGAGTCCTCTATCTGTCCTCAAAACGCGAAAAGTGCCTGCGTGTCACCTAGCCTGGTCTGCTTGAGTGTATTTCCGCGAACCTCGTTCCAATGTTTAACTTTAAGTGTTCCAAATGCACCATATGAGGATATCCTGAAGGGTGTTTCTCTAGGTTTCTTCTTGACATGACAATCCAGCAGGCGGTTCGAACACTAGCAGGAAAACAGGAAGGGAAAGCATGAGCCGTGATCATGACACGGTGTGACCAGTCATGTGACCGTGATGGATAAAGAAAGCCTTTTGGCTTTCCAATCAAGGTTTTACGACACGGCGACCATGGTTGCTGAGGGACGCCTCCATACTGTCATCAATCGTGGATCTTGACAAGGACTTGGGACTTTTAAACGTGCCAGTGGGTGGAAATTCCCGTTGTGCAATAATCTTCTCTTAAAGGTGGTGGTACAATCAAATTTTTGGCAGGTAGTGATCCTTCTTGACATGCATGCGAAACTGTCCATTCATCTCTTGGGTGCCCATCCTTATCAGATACCGTCATGTCTATCCACGAGTAACAGCAACAGCCTCAGAGATGGCTCAGACACCGCATCCTTATCGCTCTACACTTCATTCAGCATATCCATTTCCAGGTTTCCAGTTTTTTTTTTCGGTTTTCTTTTTTTTTTTTACAAAATTTCTAATATTGGTGTGACATAATAATATAGAGGAGAATATGTAAAGTCAAGTGGAGAAAGTCGTGAAATCCAAGAGAGCATGCTGTAACGTGAAGGAAGTCATGGGAGTTATAAATATACAAGCCGGTGCAAGACAAGCGGGGGGCAGACTCGGCTTGTGGCGAGAGCAGTCTAACTGAAACGGTCCTCTCCTACAAATGATACGTATAGAGCAATCCCTGAACACCCCTCTGTCATCACGAACACAGATGAAGCTCATCGTGTGAGTACCTCACTGTCTGCGGATATAACAATCCAATAGCATGCCGGCCAACAAGATATACCCCAAATCTCCATTCGACTGAAGCATCAGAGATATATGATGAGGATGGGTTAGGTAAGGGTAAATATAGATGAAACTCACCCGGAACTTGGCAAGACATGAACTCGGGAGTTTCATATCCCAGCTCAGTAGTTGCCAACACATGTGAATCGCTCCCCCACCACATGAGACAACGTAGTACGCTAAGCCTTGCCCATTCAGCATCCCCGCGTACACCACGCAAGCAATGAAGGTGGTAGCAAAGCCAGTCAGAATGGGACGTATCCATGAGCCAAATAGAACAGCTGTGGACCCAACTCCAGCCTTGACATCATCTTCTCTGTCTTGGCATGCGTATATCGTGTCATAGAAGATAGACCAACTATCCAGGGTTTATATCATCAGCGCTGCGGGCCTGTATGGTTAAGCAAAAAGTACTTACCATATTGTGCCGCAGAAGAAAGTAGCTACGACTGGCAGGTTCAGGGTGGTGATAGACAACCATGCTACCGGGTAGCCCCAGTTCATAGCGAGTCCTAAAGTAAATGATTAAAGATAGGTAAACGAGATCCGTCTAAATGACATACCTAACCATGCCTGGGGCCACCAAGTCCAACGCTTCATCAAGGGGTACAGCGCATGCAACGGGAAGATGCCCAACAACCCAACCAGACCTCTGCGAAAAGCATAAGTAAGAAAGCTGATCACAACGGGGGAGACTTACGCAGTTGGACTCGTCAATAGCAACATAGAGGTAGCAGCCACGGTGAGGACAATGAGAAAGGTGGTAGCTTCCCGTATCGATATGATGCCTGCCGGGAGTGGTCTCGATTTTGTTCGCTCTAAGAAAGACGTCAATACTATGTCACTCGAAGGGTAACTGAGCAAACATACCAACTTGACGGTCAAAGTCGACGTCGCATATGTCATTGATAACGCATGCTGCACTATGAAGGAGTGTACTTCCAATAGCATACATAGAGAGTTGAGTCATGATGCTCTTGAGAGGTAGATCTACCGAATACGCAGCCATTGCCAAAGCCCACGCTGTAAAAAAAATCATCGACGATCAGTTGGTTGCGAGAGTAAACAACGATCTGAACGCACCGCATGGCCAAAAAATAAGAATGGATCCAAGCGGGAATTTGTGCAAACGAGTGATTTCGAGGAACAGCTTCCATCTTGGCTTAGCGGGGGGAGGGGGGGTGGAAGGGGAAGGGGAAGGAGGTGCGGTCTTTGTACTCGTCTTGCCCATGATGAAAGAGATAGCGGGAGAGTGCTGTGGGTGATGCGGAAAGAAGAGTTTTTTCGGCAAGGGTTTAATAGTACATGGGTGCACAGCGCCCCGCACCGGTCATACGTAGCATCTGGGTTGAGATCAACAGTACCTGAACATCACCGCATCATGATCGGAAGAAATGAAAAGATAGTGTTCGGTTTACATGTATATACGACAAGCGTCCCGCCCATAAATGATATCAAATATTGCACCGTGAGATTGGAGAGAACACACTGCAAGGATAGCCGGAGATCTAGAGATCGCAATAAGCACTGCAGCTAGTTGGAGTTGGGTAGACCCACGCGGATAAGCGGACGAAATGTTTGGAAATTATTGAAACGGATGTGCAGCGCATCACTAGCTGGCAGCTTATAATGCCGGAAAGATCAAAGAGACGATATTGGTACTGCATAGTCGCTCGGCTGAGTACTGATGCCGGGGGCGTTGAGATATTGCAATAAGGGTACCATGCTACTGTCATCCATACATTGTGGTTAAATTTGTAAAATAAAATAAAATAATAAGCCGTACTGCTACCCCTGCTTCAAGTGAGTCATGGTATCAAAAATTCTCCGAGGACAACGTACACGTGGAACTGAGCGTGCAAAATGACATACATGACGGTGGAGTTTTGTTTGTTGCCAGCGAATCAACCGCTTGATATCCAACTTGAATGACCTTACTGAGTAAAGTAATGTCACGCCTGTGACACGGCACAGCCCCCCCGTGCAATCTGATATACCTCGAGGCCAACTCGAGGCTGCATTTCGTTCCAACGACCCTTGCATGTCCCTTGCACTCCCGAGAGGTCCTACAAGTTGTAGCCATAGTTTTTCACTGCCAGGACATGGCCATGCACCGCTATTGTCGCGGTCGCAACGGAAGAAGGTAATGACAGGAACAGTAGTCTGATAGTACTAACTTAAAAATTTATCACCTCTCGGTCCTTCTGATTCTGTGAGTCCGACCCCATCATACTACCATTTTCCCAGATCAGCAATATAAAAGGTATAGTATTTCTCAAGTCTTTTTGTGGCAATGATGATGATCGTGATCCACCCGGTTCCGGATCTGTCGTTAGCACTATCCAAAAGCGTTCAACACCGCCCCAGATTTCAGGACAGCATGGTTACCACATCCTGCTGTGCGCGCCGCATCATGTAAAAGCAAAATAGTTTGGCCTCCCGCTCGTCATCTCTTCTTCTGACTCCACGGTGCTGCTCATTTCGTGGCAAACTGCTTTGTATCACGAGCACCAGAAGTCGCTTATATGAACGCTGCACACCCAATCGACGTCCCTTCGTTTGGGGCGTCTCTCTTTAATTTAAACGCTTTGAATGATATTTCACCTAGAGTGCTATGGTTTACCTCAAACTTCCAACTGCAGGTCACCACATTTGGTACCATGTGTTGCCTGTGTTTCGTCTTATCACGGCTTTACAGTAGTCGCAAGGTTTTCCCCGGCCCTCCAGGACTACCTCTGATAGGTCATATTTTTGAGGTTCCCACTATCAAAACTTGGTTGTACTTCGAACGGCTTGCGGCAAAGTATGGTCAGTGGCATATGTCAAAAGTTAAAAACTTATGACAGCTGAAACGCCCTACATAGGTCCATTGGTCAGGCTATCTTTGGCTGGTGACGAAATGCTCATACTCAGTAATGCATCCGATGCTGAAGAGCTTGTGAGTCGTCTTTCGGTGTCGTGAGATGTGATTATCTGTCATTTATATCTCGTGCCTGTAGCTAGGCCGTCGGTCACACAACTATTCGTCACGAAAGCCACTGATCTATGCGGGAAAGTATCAGTCGAAAAACAAGAGGATGGTATTACTCCCGTATGGCGAAACTTTGAAAAAGTATCGCGCTGCATTTCACCAGATGCTTCAACCTAGGGGTGCGCCTTTTTGAATCCATTGATAGTATTCTTGGTGGTCTAAACGTCGATCATCAGTCGTTGGTGGATACGAGCCGATGCAAGAGCTAGAGTCTTCCAAGTTTTTGATGGATCTCCTGGATCAGCCTTCGACAATTGGCCGTCATTGCAGACGCTTCGCAGCTTCTCTGGTGTTTACACTCAGTTACGGCAAGCGGCTCGAAGATGACGATAGCGATTTAACCGCCGTCCTTGATATTTTGGCCAATTTCACAAAAGATACATATCCTGGATCCCATTTAGTAGATACGTTTCCCCTGTTGGATTACCTGCCAGATTTTCTTTCGCCATGGCGGGCAGAGGCATCACGAAAGCATAAAGACGAGATGAAAGTGAGCATCAACGGCTTTTCCGCGTTCATCTGTAAGACCCACGCATCTTCAGCTTTACAATCGTCTTGCACTGGAAGTAAAAGCGCAGATGGATGATGGAAACTCCGAATTGGAATGTTTTGCTGCCAGACTCTGGGATCAACAACAGAAAATGAACCTCGATTTGGTAGACATATCTTATGGTCTGTCAAACTCTCCCTTTCCTTCTCTCATTTATAAGTCTCACGAACTTGGAATTCCCTCAGTGGCTGGGACCGCTTTTGAAGCTGGAACTGATACTACAGCTAGCACAGTGCAGTGGTTTACCATGGCGATGGTGTTATATCCTGAAGCTCAAAAGAGAGCACAAGAAGAATTGGATAATGTCCTTGGATCCGACGGAAAAACGATGCCAGGTTATGAACACCTGTCGCAGCTCCCATATTGTGTTGCACTCACCAAAGAAGTTTTCCGATGGGCGCCTGCAGCACCAGGAGGGTTTCCTCACTATTCAGATACAGACGATGAATATAATGGTCATCACGTTAGTAGCCCATCTGTATAGCATCAGCCAGAAGACTCATTTTTTTAAAACCTTATGATCCAGATAAAACGAGGCACGATGGTCATCCCGTGCATATGGAATATGGTATGCTATTATTGTCGTCTTTTTGGAAGCTGTATCATAATATCTGTATCAGCATCACAACGAAACCGAATTCAAAAACTCTTACGACTTCATGCCTGAGCGGTTCGAGACCACAGCGGCTGGGAGCGAATCAATAACAGAAGGGCATTATGGCTTCGGCTTTGGGCGCCGGTAATTACATTCAATTTCATATGGAAGACGTAACTGATTTCTAACTGTTTACTTAACTGTAGAAAATGTCCCGGACAATACCTTGCTTCCAAATCAATATGGATCGGATTGACGCGCGTTTTATGGGGCTTCAATATTCGCCCTGAGCTATCTGAAGATGGGAAGCCTATTTCTGTCGGTCCAGACAACTGTACCTCAGGTATGACATCGTGAGTGATTGCATCTAGCTTGTTTCTTGCGTGGATGGTTCTGATCCGGTTAAAACAGCCGGCCAATCGATTTCCCGGTTTCAATCACTCCTCGGTCTGTTGTCCATGCAGAAACGATCAGAAGAACGTGGGAGGGATATGGAGCGTGAGCGGTACTAGTGGTGATGCTGATGGCCATGCATGTTGCACTTTCTGTATTTGTACATTATTTACATTTTCAATTCTCATGCAATAGAGTCGTCCTCGGGGAGGGCAGTTGCAACCAGGTGGACCTTGGTGCGGAATTTCTCACAGGCTATGATGGCGAGACCGATGGAGAAGATCCTATCTATGGCCTTCGCATCAATCGAAGTACTTAGGTAGCTCGACGACGATTGCCAAGGCTATGATAATGATCCTGTTCTATTCGTCGATGGTTCCAGAGAGGGATAGATGCTGATTGAAGTTTGCCCCAGACCATGAAAACTATACATGGAAACTGAATTCGACGGCGTGAGGCGCGAGACGTGGGACGTGGAAAGAAATTATAAGAGATAAAGGATAAGACAAGAGACCGAACATGTCAAATGGGAGGGATTACGCACAAAGTTGATGCATTTTACAAGACTTGGAAAGACCAATGAGAATTCCAAAAATACTATCTCGCTGAACCATACATTTCTCGGCGGGTTCCAGTGGTGGAGATTGGGAATCGTAACTGGAAGATTGTGTCTTACGTTCCAGTTGTAATCATGCGGCCATGTCGGGGCTTCACCGAGATCATATAAAAAGGGTGGAACAACTAGTTTCCCGGCATGAGTGGGACAAACTGGAAGGAAAAGGGTGATCGTAAGAGCAATGGTGCCCGAACTGGTTGAAGCTAACTTCGTGGAGGCAGGGCGGGTGCAGGCTATGACAGCTCGACGTGATGTAGGACAGGATCCATCCTGAGATGACCTATTACTGGAACTTTGGATCTGCTCACCAGGGGCACCAACCCCAGCTTAATGCAAAGAGCGCTACGCCCAAGATCACACTAGGATACGCTACCATGAAATCAAACCACTAGAGGTGCGTGTTGTAATGTTTCCAATTCAAGTAGCCAAGTCCCCTTATCTTTCCCCATCTCGACGCTGTTGGCCGCAGTGACGAACATGACATCATCACCTGGAAGTCCCTTAGATGGCCGTGGTTTGATTGCACTGAGGAACCTGGGAAGGGAACCATCCGTTCCGGTCTCAGTGGGAGGAAAAAATAGATTGCATATCGCTGCGGAGTTTTCAGCCATCAGGGGTTTCAGTATGACCTGGCTTTGTATGTGAGTTCCAAGCCTTCCAAGATTATGTACGTACTAGTGACTGAGAGCAGCCCGGGTTACTCTAGCTGGACTCAAAGGTTGGGAGGAAGATCACTTTGAGTCCCTGCGCTCAACGTGTTTTATGAATATCCACTTCAGAAGACATTCCGAGTCAGACTGCGCCAGACAGTAAGGTGAATGCTGTCAATTTATTGACCTAATGCTACGACGGCTGATCTTCATTTTCTTTGCTGCAGAACATACTTATGTCTGTACGTCTTTATAGGTCATCGTACGTCCTATTCACAACAGCTAATTAACGTACCTATCAACTAAAGTCGTTTTATATATACTTTACATCAGGGATGATTCATGCCAAAACTGCCAGATAAGCAGAAAAAGGGATGTCTACCTTTTCAAAACTTAGTCTGTCATCGCGTTGGAAAAAGAGCAAGCGCGAACCAGTATTACAGAGCATCATCGGGATACTCAACTCGATCCCAACAGACTAACTACAGCTCCCGCACTCTCCTGGGATCTTTGAAGCCTCTCATATAATGATTGCACCGACTGTGTCGTTGTGGGCGTCAACTCTTGTTCTGTTACCGCTGAGCTAGCTTGTGTCAAAGAAGAATCAGAAGACCCTTGGGTGGGCACCAAAGGTAGCGCTCCTACACCTGTTGTCCGTAGGAAATCTGATAACGTTGACATTGCCTGAGCGAGGGATGTTAGGTCGGCTGGATTGTTGACAATGCGTAAGTCGTAAAGACAAGAAGCATAGAAGGGGGCTGTACAATGAGACATACCATCTGTGTGGGCATTAGATGTGCCAGGATGATAGGCATTTTCGCTGCAATACGACAAGGTCAGTTCCGCAGCATCAAATAGTAGGCAAATGCGCATATATCCATGGTATATTTTATTTATTAACGATAACGCTAGCAGATATCAACTGCGATTACATACAACTAGCTAGCACAAAAGAGAGCATGTATAAACTCACATTCCACCCAAAGCCCTCTTCGCAAGACTATTCACACGCGCGACATGAGTCAGTGCGAGGCGGATGTTTTGCTTGAATGATTCCGGAGAGGTAGGGTCAGATAGATGGGACGAGTTTGGAGTGATCATCGATGAAGTCGCATGCATTGGCATCGATGCGGCTAGATAGGACGACATAGCACTATCGTGCGAGGATTGAGAGAGGAAACCATGTTGTTGACTAGAAGGCGAAAAGGACGATGATGGTCCGGAGACGGTATTGGAAGACCCTTGAGAGGAAGAGATCATCAACTTAGCGCTGCTGGGATATTGGACGACTGGTCGGAAGAGTTGTGTTCGCAGACTAGCAGCGAATAGATGCGACGCCAACGAAAGGCAGGAGAGACGTTATTTGTCATTATTTACCAATACCTTTCAAGTTCAGCAACGACAAATATCATTTTTGGGGTAAAGCCCCTATAACCTACACGCAAATTCACTGAAACCAAGAACAAGCCCGAAAACCTTCATATATTTCACAGACACCGAATCGAATAGCATCAAATATTGTGAGACGTTGAATGCAACCTGTCGGGGATTGTGACTCTAAAATTGATGATCCTCATTATCCACGCTCTTTCGTCCAGCAAGGAAAGAGACTGCGCGACACGTGCAATTTTATACGGGTTGAAGGCGAGTCAATATATAGGGATCTAAATTCTTCAAAGATCTGCGTCGCTGTTACGGCAACATTATGGTCATGTCAATATCCGGTAACTTACGTGTGGTCGTGCTTTGATACTGGATGAACACCCGGATTGGTATGAAACCCACAGAAATAAAACAACGAATGATCTAATAGATCCCTGTTGCGTCGATAGTGAATAAATACAACCCTGCAAATGACAAGAGCACTTGGTATCGTGTATGACGACGAAACGAGGAGAGCAGGAAAACCGCGATGCACGTGACCGCTGTCACCATACGTATGCTTTAATTTAAAGTCGAGTCCTCGTTCCCTCAGTTTTTGTTTGTCGTTGGTATCCCGTCTCCTCCACCCACTCCCTGATTCCATTGTTTACCTTATAGTATAAAAAGTACTCTGAAGCTCAAGTTATCACAGATGCTCAAACGTTCCAGACCTGTCTCTCCGCCTCCGACTTCACTGCCCATATTCGCACCAGACGATCCTATGTTGCCATTCAAACGAGACATGCGGGAAGAGGACATATACGGAAGCAGAATGAAGCGGAAACGACTAGGGCCTGATCTATCAGGTGTGAGCACAAACTCGAGATCTGGTAGTGGTGGCGTAGAGAGTGATGGCGAGGAGTGGTTAGAAGACCCTGCAGGGCCAAGCCAGGGGGATCCATCATCGGACACTGGAGTCGTGACTAGGGATGAAGGAGTTTCGCAGTCATACAAGCAGGCTAACAGTATCCTGCGTGAGATACATGTGCTATCCCACCATCGTCAAATATTCTCTTCTAGCTCAAGTGTCGCCTCGGGATCAACCTTCAATGCATACTCAAGTCCCCCCACCTCGCATTCCAATTCACCAGAAAAGACATCAATTTATCTGCAACCACCAGGGTTCTTTTCATCTTCTGGCGCTTATTTCCCCAATACCTATCCGTCTTCATCGCTGCATTCTAGCCCATCCGCTTTTGGTGAAAAGTCCGAGGGACACGAAGTACAATCTGTCACCAAGCGATACGAGAATCAAAATAAGTGCGCATATAGCTTTTAACTGTATGTGCGTAAGGTTGATTTTTTGTTTTTGGCAGGCTGCTAGGCTCTTTGTTTCTCTCACGTAGACGAGAACTTTCATTTGAACCGTCTGATACTTGTGCGCCTAATATGCTTACCCATGGCCAGGGCTAGTATATGGGGAGTATGATGCCTGTATTTGTGTATTTGTTGAGGAGGTACATTTTTCATGACGCATTTGCTCACTGTTTTCGACGCATTCAATCCATGTAGCCCTATATATAGCATGCAAGCATATTCATTTCTTGCAATCCAACATTACTTTCTGATCAATCATACGGCGACGCATGCATCTCCCGAGACACATCGGGCAGCATTTTATACAGCCCAGAGCTCTGGGTTAACTCAAGCTAGGGAGGCACTTAGCTAAGTAAACACCCGAGACTGACCGAAATAAAGATAAGAGGACTGGTACTCAGGAACGATATTTTCTGAATATGCCGTATCCACTCGTCAACTCAATCATGGTGTAAATGTTATTTTTTTATTTGGAAGAACTAGAGCTGCATATCCTCAAGGTCGATGACAATATAATAACAAACGGAAAATGGATAAAAGCAATTGGTACGGGTTTCAAATAATCATTATGGTTTACGATATACAATGCAATGGGCATACCTAGCATACGCAGCAATTAGAAATGGCACACGGTATACTGCCAGGTTCACAGCCTTCAGCTGTCCCTGGTCTTTTTCGCCTTCTCCCATGTCGCCCTGTCCACAGTCCTCAAATTAAGCGCCCACCCGAAAAGCCCAAGTTTGCCTTCGGTTTTCTCTATTCCAAAGCCATTCTCCTTGAAACAGTTCGTCTTATATGGAACAAGAGGCGAGTCTGTCCCATCTACCTTCTGCACCGTTTTGCTGGCACCAAAAGCGTGGTCCAAAGCGTGTTTCAGTAGATCGTTCTGTATTTTGGCTTTTCGGAAAGGAGGCTCTACATGGAAGTGACGAATTGTGGCGATCCGTGATGTAGCTTTGTTTTTTGAATCTAAGCGTTCTCCCATGGATGCAATAGTTTTTTCTTGCAGAGACTCTTTGGATGCGTCGATACCGATGAGACCCACAAAATCCCCGCCATACTCGAGAATAAAGAATCCAGAAGAGGGTGAGAGGCTGTAATGCTCCTGTATTTTCCCAACGTCTGGTTTCCGCAATGTTAAGGTCAATAGGTCCTCAAAGTATGGTCGATTGAACCTTGATAGGGATAGCATAAAAGTGTCAAAATAAGATACGCAAACAAAGGCTGTTATGGCTCACCAGTCGAGAAAAAAAAGGATTGCTACGCCCCAGGAGCCAAAAGCTGGGAGTGGAGCAAGGTAGGTCATCCATCCATATTCGGGTTTGGGCCACCAACCCAAGAGCTGTACCATAACGGACGATAGGGCTACCCATATACTTATAACCAATGGATGGAACACGGCTGGAACAAACAAGTACATAAAAAAGAATAAACTATTATGTGCCTTATAGTACGAGCAATTGCATTGACATACCTCGTCGGTTCGCATCTGCTAAAGGCTCCATGATGCTTTTCCCTATCATAAATCTGACTAGCTTTTCATCTGAAGGCTGGAGGGTGCGAATGCACGCTGGTTTTTCTGCCATGTTTGACTCTTTGGTGGTAAATCAGAAGAGAGCTGAGCGGAAAGGGCCCTGGCTCGATTTATGGATCACATCCAGGGCGTTAGTAGTGACAGAAAAGCGCACGTTCGTCGCTGCAGCACGCTGTACCTGAAATTTAACACGACTGCAATACTCTGGCATTCTCACGCCGATTTTTGGAATGTACCATTAATCTTGACCAGGAATGAGCTGACCGCCTTAGGTGTTCCTGATTATCCGAAAGACTGACAGAAATTCCATGTCAGTTTATTACTAGGGATGCTAGTAGTGCTCAGTGCTATCGTAATCGTACATGACAGTTGAAAGCAACCACGAAGGTCTCAAAAGCTCGTCGCACCCCATTAGCCTCATTTCATTAAGCTGATCACTGTGTAGTGTGTATGGGTGTGATGCCGGCATGCTCATTTTGTGTTCTTTGACTTAAACAAATATCATGATCTCCATACCTTCTTCTGGCCGACTACGTGATTAGCTTTAGCTGAAACGAGTAGTCATCGTCTGTAAGGCATGAGAGATTTGTAGGATGCGGAGATTAATGATACTGAATGTGGTCTAGGACTAACTTACGCGACCGCAGCTGGAGATCAGCGCATACACCAGTCGGCTCGATAAAAGCTCCTTGATACAATGGTGCTCAATGGAGTCCTACTGAGGTAATTGAGTAAAAGCTTGGTATAGAGACCTTGGATTAAAGAGTTATATCGTATAGTCACTATCGTGATCTTTTGGATGAATGCCCATGTACAACGTGAGTAGGTAGCGTTTGTTTGCATTTGTTTTCCTATGGCTTGGGAATCAAGCAAATATAAACAACGATGTTCACCCTGACTTGGAAATGCACCTTCAAGTTGTTCAAGTTACAAGTTATAGCATGTACGGGAACATCCAAACGATGTGGTTTGGGCGCCCAAAATTACCGCCCGTAACTATGGTGGCTGTCCTTTTAAGTCGGAGCTCTAACCTTGATAACGGGATTCGGCATCCAAACATGGAAGTAGTATTGTCGCTTGCCTGGGTGAGATATTGCAATGGATAATAAAGCTCTCCGTCTCATGCTACTGGAGTATCTGGTGTCGGATGATGAGGACTCAATGGATGATGATGACGAAGAAGACCATGCTGTACTCGCCGCCTCCGAATCAATTGTGTTATACTCTCAATCACTATACGACAAGACACCATACCACACTTCTGTGCTGTCAGGCCAAGGCTGGATCCAAGAGCTGATCAATGGACATCTGGGTAGGATCAAAAGCGAGCTAGGTGTAAATAAACATGTATTCGAAGGGCTGATCAGGGTGTTGAAGCGAGCAGGCCATACCAATTCCAAACATGTCACCTTACAGGAGAAGCTGGGTGTCTTCCTGTATATGTGCGTCACAGGGCTCACTCTCAAGCACGTTGGCGAGCGTTTCCAGTGTGCAAGTGACACCCTTTCAAAGTGAGTAAAGTTTTATCTACTAATGCACCAGCTTTTCACCATTTTACAGGTATTTCAAGGAGATTTTATTCGCATTTTCATCAGCACCTATATACACTAACTATGTACACTTACCCTCAATGATTCCATTCCACCCGAAATTTAAAACAACCCGAAGCTATTTCCATTTTTTTCAGGTGCTATCGGCGCTATTGATGGTACGCACATTGCATGTGCCCCAAAGTCATCTGAGCGCCATCTGTCAAGAAACCGCAAGGGAGCAGTCACCCAGAATTGTCTGGCATGCTGCTCCTTTGCTTTACGGTTTCTCTATATGCTTACAGGGTGGGAGGGCTCTGCTGCTGATGCTCGGCAGCATGATCTACGTGTCCCCCCAGGTAAATATTACCTGGCGGACACTGGTTTTGGGTCTTGCCCTGAACTTCTTGTTCCTTATCGAGGGGAACATTATCATTTGGCCAAATGGGGCTGTGTTGGACTTAGGTGAGTCTATTTGTGATATGTCTAGCTATTCTAACATTATAACTAGGCCAAAGAGCAAGGAAGAGCTCTTCAATTTGCGGCATGCTCAAGCTCGCTGCTGCATCGAGCGAATCTTCGGAGTTTTCAAGCGCCGGTTTCGAATCCTTGTCTGCCCCCCTGAATTTGATATGGACATTCAAGCCCGTGTACCATCAGCACTTTGCATGGTACACAACTACATCCGAACTCATGATCCTGAAGATATCAATATGTTCCCCGAAGCAAGTACTACCTCAACCCTGGAGAGCACTGGCTCCCTTGCAGAAGGGCCAACAACTGAGCCAGACTGGCTTGGAGCCAATTTGCATTGTGATCAGATTGCAGAGAGGATGTGGGCATTGTATCGTTGAGAGCTGAGGACAAGAGGCCAATTATTTACAGAGTAGCTAGGGTGCCGGTATTCATTTGTTTTCTCATAAGTTCACAGCAAAATTGATTCCATTTCCACATCAACGTATATAGTTTACATTCGAGCAGGGATACAGCAAGTTATAACAAAAAATGAAGACAACAACAGACAACAACAGACCTAGTTGGACGGAAACGCAGTAAAGTCCTTCAACAGCTTATCCACCCACATTATGCGAAGATTTTCGTCCTGTGTGGCCATATTGAGGTAATCACCTATTAGCACATTATCTGCACGAAGCATATCAATGAATGCAATTTTTTGCTCGTCATTGAGCTGTGTCTCAATCTGCCCAGCCATTCTAATGGCCTGACTCCTTGTGTTCAAAGGCTCAACGTGTCGAGAAGACGAAGACGAAGCAATGTTTGAAGATCCACCACCGGATACGCTGCCAGTGAAAGCACTCTCTATGATGTTCAGGAAACGGTACCTGAAGTCATCGTGCTGTTCCTTGTTATCCGCCATCCGCTGCATCTGTTCCTTCACACCATTGATTGCAGCGGCGCCAGAAGGATGTGGGGCTTTGCTTGGGGTGGCAGAGATTACAGAGGTACTATCAACGGCCGAATACTTGCATTTTCCGGAGGACGTGATGCTGACAGATGCGCTAGTAGGTTTGGAGTGGATAGATGACACATACAAGGTGCCGGATTCACTCCCACTCTTTCCCTTGTCTTTTCTGGCGCTAACAACCGCCTCTCTTTCAATTGCCTCTCTTTCCGCACCCTCTTCATCACCTTTGTCCTCTCCATCCTCCCCTCCACTATTGCCTTCAGCATCCACATCCATCCTATCTTTACTTGCTGAACTGATCTTTGCAGATTGTGCTTGAGATGCACGGAGAATGTGAGTCCCTTTTGCCCGGCTTGGTAGAATAGCTGTGATCAAGTCATACCACCTCCACCCATCCAAAGCTAACCGGTTGTAGGTTGACTTAACATCTTTTGACTTGCTCCGCAAAAAAAAGGTAAGCCCATCCCATACCTGCTAAGGATAAAGATGCTCACTTTGAGGAAAGCATCCCAAATGTGCCTGTTTGCATCAGTAATCTTCAGTCCACATTGTACGTCAAATCCAAGCCTGGAAGTGTTCATCAACTGATCTACACAACTAAGCTCCTTCTTTAGCTGAAATAGCATTTAGCAATGAAGCTTTAAAAGGTACTTCTACTACTAATGCTGAACCATTTGTTACGGATTGAGTCGGCTGTTTTGGTGGCTCCTTTTGTTGTTAAAGGAGCCAGAATGCCCTCAGCCAGGTTATAGAACTGAGGCTTATACCCCCCACCCTCTCCAAGCAGGCCAAGGTGCTCCTCAGCCAGTTCAACCAATTTTTTGGTGTCGCTTTCTGTCCAGATGCACTTCGGCACCTTCTTTTTCTTCTGTGAAATGGTTGTGGTTGTATCTGTAGGTTTATTGAGGCCAGACATCCTTAGGGAACGCAGAGGGTATCGTTGAGTGACCTTAGAGTGTCTTGGGGAGGTTCTTTGCGCCATCAATGCAGCTGTTTTGCACGATGACCAGTAGCTATCTTTACTCCCATCTCCTCGAGGCATGTGGCCTTCACCCCATGCACATTGCTCTTAGTATTCTGGATTTAGCACCAGCGGCTCAGTGATCCATGGACTCGAACGTTTCAGTGCATATACAAACAACCTTGGATGATATTAACCTCAATTCTTGGACGCGGTCCTGTGGTGGCTGTACGCTAGCAATCTTGTTTGATTTTATCCAGGTGACTGACGCGATCTTTCTTTTTTGCAGTGCCGATTACTACTTCTTTTCACGATCCGCGATCTTTCAAGAGCGCTACTGCAATAACATCTGCTTAACAGCGCATGCTGCCTTTTGTGCCTTACTGAGTCATATTTATGTAGACGGAGAACGTTGCTCTACGTACGTTGGCTCGATGGTACCTTCAATGCTGCCACTCACGTCTTGTTGCGTAGGCGTCAATTGAATTTTCATCAATATCGCGGCATCGTATCCTGTGGTCCTCATGATCGCGTTCTTGTTTCTTGTCTCATCAATGTTCTTGAATCTTTTAAGTCCGTAAATGTATGGGCACTGTTACTCTGCATCAAGGTTCTAGACGTTACGAGTCATTCACAGTGAGAACATTTCCTTCTCGATCATTTTCCGTGGTCACCGTGGGCTACTTTTTTATATGTGCTCAGTCAGTACTGGTCGGTCATTGCACATCAATTCTTCTCGCCGCTTTTTTGGGCCTATGAAAAAAGTATAAAGGCGATAGATATATCTTTGGAAACAGTCATCCTCCCACTCCATTCTCTCTCCACTTCATTTGTGAAATCCACAGAGGTTCAAGGAAAAACTTCGTTCAGAATGTTTACCAACATGATGTTTTCCCTTTTCGCCCTTGCAGGTGTATCGATCGGTCAGTTCTCTAGCTTTACTACCAAGCTCACCCGCCTTGACAAATCACCAAATTATAGCATCGCTGCCTCCCAATTGCGACAGGAACTACACAATTCATCTTGGTGATAGCTGTGATATCATTTCTGCTCAGCAAAATGTTTCGACGTGAGTTTCTAACCTCACAAACTCCAATATACTAGTTCCAAACCATTGATTTCTTTAGCTATCAGCTTTCCGCCGTTAATGCGGGTGTCATAAACACCGATTGTAGCAATTTGGCTGAGGGCGAGGTGAGTTCTGCATGTCCTTGGTGTCAATCCATATTGACTGAGAGAGATTTTTCGGGATTGCAGGTAATTTGTTTGGGCCTCACTGGTCAAGACTGTAACACCACGTTCGTTATGCAATCCGGAGATACTTGCAGTACTATCGCTGCGGGCGCTGGAATCCCTATCAGCACACTTCTCACCAACAACCCAAATGTAAACCCGATCTGCAATGATCTTTACCCTGGCGAGGTACGTTTGAAAGTTAACTCGTGCTGTATACGCACTCACATGGACATGATTCTCAGGTTTTGTGCACGGCCAGTCAGATTTACGTAAATCTCACCAGCTCGCAGTAGTCGCATGGTGTTTCTAGGTTAGATGAGTTTGGTATTCTTTTTTCCTAACGGCGTCTCCTATAACCATGCCGAACGTAGTAATAAAGTTGCCAGTTTCGGTATAATCATAATCGCATTGAATCGCTGCGTGTACTCATTATAACTGGAGAGACAAGTTTCGCAAGTATAAGGCTCAAGATTCATTGTCTGTTTCGTCGTGGTGAAGGTCTGTACAAGTAGAACAGAAACTAATATACCAACGAAAAAAAAAGAGAAAGCTGGGTAAGTTTCAGAAGACAGCCACAATATAACTCATAACCACTCGCTTTCTGTGAGATTTGTAGAGCTTCGGGCAGAGATGGTGCTGTGTAAGAAGTCATTCAGGTCACAAACATTCCTCCGAAGAATTAGGGGCATTTGATATGGTAAGATGAATTGGGACTTGGGGTAGATCGATGTGTAATATGCTATCGGATGAGGTATACTTGATGTTTTCTATCCCGTCCTAGATTATACCTACTCAGGTCTTTGATGGGTTGGAGTTATGTCATAAAGGTCTTACCGCAATATTGGCCTCCTCAACAGCAACCGGTGGGGCCTCAACATCGGTTTGTCGACGACTCGACCGAGTCTCGTGTCCAATCCGGCGTGATGATGTTGAAATATCGGGATTTCTAGCCTCGAAAAGTGCAGTAGACACTTCATAAAGTTGTGAGTCGTCACGGGATATCACTAGTCGAGCATTCAAGGTTGCCAGCATGCAATTGGCATATCTAGAACGCCGGTACGTAAACAAAGCGACACAGCAACACGCCGATGTGAGACTTACAACTTCGAAAGGGAGTAGAATCTGAACGAGATGCATATTGGAAAGCAGTGGCAAAAGTCAGAAAAAGACGCTTACATGATGAGGTGTACCATTTGCTGCGATTCCACAGCCAGAATCAGCTCTACCAAAGTTGCAATAGCTGTGACCATTCCGGTTTCAATAGTCAGCTTTATCAACTTAGTAAGCATTGATTTTGTCTGCTTAAAGTTGGTTCCAGATTTGCGTCGGAAGAGCTAAGACATCAGTTCTGGATAGGCTGAATATTATAATATAAACAAAAATCTCCTAACCAGCGTTGTTATTTGGACAGTGATAATTGTATCGCATATGCAACTTCCGCCAAGCCACACCTAATATACCCGTTCAAGTTTACGAGGAATAGTGAAGAATAGAGACCTACATAATCCACGTATGAATTGCGGTCCTCCATTCCTCCCAACGAAGTCTCCTGTTAGCATTAAATTAGAAATCAAAGTCATTGCCAAGAGGCATCTAACAAACGGCTGACCTGAATCCACTGGCCGCCCTGAAGCATGATTTGAATTTGTACCACCATATATTAACATAACACATTGGAGCAATGATATCTGCAACACATTAGATAGTAAAATTTCGATGTTGAAATACTTACTGCCATTACAATGGAAGGTAGGACAAATGACCTGCTAATAGTCCATATTCTCCAACAAAAGAAGGCGTGTACCATGGATGATACTAGCTAGACCTGCTGTAAGAAACGAGGAGAAAAATGGAAGGGTAATAACGCACCTAACCCTGTAAGGACCGAAAGACCGAAAAATGTCCATATGGCTGCTGGTATCTTTGCTGTAGACCCGGAACCACATGAAAAGTCTACCAATGGTGTTGAAACAGCTGTCGAGACAGAACATGACAGACAGGCAGAAGTTTCCCCTTCCCAGAAAGCGTACAAAGTGAGAACAACACTCAAGCCCTCCATGAACAAAATAATCCAAACTATGAATAATGAAAAAGAGAAAGAGAATTGAGTTCGAAATCGAGACTCACTCAGATATTTCAGCCATTTTGAATCACCGGGAAACCTGGTATTGTAAATGACTGCAACATGGAGAGGATATTGGGAGATGATAGACGGAAGATGCAACAACAGCCTTACAAGCTTGGACAACTGGGATGCCAAAAAATCCGAGACTAAACGTGTAACCGAGGGCCTTCATGTGAACTTACAATATTAGCTTATCTTGTGCGGTTTGCAGACCGAACTTGCTTACAATTGCAGGATCTCTGCAAGATGAGTGGCACAAAAATTCAGGTTCTTATAATGAGTCGAAACTGGAATTGGGGATGAACATACGTATTAGTGTTCCCATTAGGCGAATAAATAACGGCGGCGGCACTGCCGTACATGGGGTAGGCGCTGGTAGTGGTGGACGTATTGAAGACATCATACGTTGTGCTGGAGAAGATATAAGCGATGGCAATGTTCAGATATTGTGAAGACAGCCATACTTGCAAACCAGACCGCTAAACGAGGAGTGAATTGAAACCATAGTAGGCAATATATACACAAAAGGACCAAAAAAGCACTGCAGCTGGTTGCTTTTTCTTGAACGTTGACTTTATGCAAAAGAAATGAAGGCCTAAAGAACAATTCATCAGTAGTTTATATATCGCTGAGAAGATGGGCACGCACGCTACTCATAAATTATATTTAGGTGCAATGTTGCACAGGTCGCCCGTGTATGAGTTGGAGGCTTTTAAATCAAGGGACGGATGTCACTTGTGGCTCTGCTGAAGGGTTACCTAACGATGATGGAAGCGTTTAATTAAAGAGCCTGACTTGAGCATGCAAGCGTCTGAGAATCCGTCGAATCTGAGGTATTGACATGCCGAAAAAGTGCTGTTTAGACATAGATAGATAGAAAGGACGAGGTCCCAGGCGCTCGTCTCTCGGGTGACCTGCTATGAATACATCTCGTATACACAAGACAACAGTTGTAGGAATATACATTTGAGTGTACTTGTCCGGCCGGGTTTATACGATGCGGACTGAACATGATGGCGACGAACCTTACGACATACATTGCCTTCAGCACCGCATGCCAACGCGTTCACAGAAAACCTCCTGTCCGTCCAGTGCCAAACCTATCCCCCAAAGTTCTCGCATCTCTCACATACTTATCACGAGCGCTGTCGTCCATCAATCTGCCAGAAAGAGACATGTCACGAGTGTGATCCCAGATAGACGAGGGCTCGTCTTTGGATGAGGCTGCCGGTTGAGAAGACAGCGTGGCGTGCTGGTCAATAAGTGATGGACCACGAGTTTTTCTCTGGGAGTAAATGGTCGTTAGAAATTCAGGGCAGCGATGATGAAACTGAGGGAAAGTATATAACAAAAAAAAAAACCAAGAAAATAGTAAGAGTAACATCAAGCGCAATCCATACCAGGGAGCAAAAAGCAAGAAAGGTATACATAATAATCAATAAAAAAATGAGATTTTGATACAAAAATACCATTGGCGAAGTAACGGAACAGTCAAAGAATAATAAGGGCTACCAAAAACGCGACTCACTGTGTGTTCGTCCACTCCTCTCCTAATATCCTCTTCCCTCCTCTTCTTTCGCTCCCTCTCCCTCTTCCTCTCTTCCTTCCCTTGTCCTCCTCTCTTATCATCAAAGTCATCTTCATCTGGATCAGCGTTTACAGCCCTTCGTTTTTTACCAGATACTTCGTCTGCTAGTCTTTGTTGCCGCTCTGCGGGCGTCTCAGTCCAGAGTGAGGAGTCGACATTACGTGAAGGCGCAGTTGATCTCGAAAATTGACGAGCTTTTAGCTTTGTCGGATCCAGCGCTATACGGCATCCATTTAATATTGTACCAGACTGACATGAAGGGATTATAAAATTAAACCTACATCCTAATAAATCCCCCTTAGTAGGAGGTACCAACATCCATTCATCTCTTTCCAACTTCTTAGGTAACTTTGCTTCTTCGACTAGCTTTCGGCGTCGCTCTTCACGTTCAATAAATTCGCGCACACCGTCACCTACGCTACTGTGCCCCGAGCCGTACGTACTGGGAAGCGGCCGAGGACCGATGTCAGAGTCAGAATCAGAATCTTGCGTGTATGATTGTTCGTGCGAGCGGTGGATGGAGTATGAAGGATGCGAAGGCGGTAATGAGGGACCGACGGTGCGTTTGGATGTTGCTGTTGAAGATGACGGCTCGGCTGTGCGGGATGCGAGAAGGTCTGGCGGGAGTGCGGGCATATAGTCGTCTTCGTCCTCGTCGCTGACCTGTTCTCGCCCCTTGTCACCATCTGCGACCTCCTTACCGATGCTGAAACTCCCATCACCGTCATTATTCAGGCTAGTGTCCAGAGACTTTGGAATAGCCGGGCCAATCTCTTCTGCATCGCTGCCAGACGAGTGTGACGACGAGGAAGATGCTTTGTTTAGCAAATGAACGGGAATTTGTGGGCCTATTGAAGCCATGGCTGTAATATTGTGCGTTTTCAAGTGTAAGGAACACGGATGAGACGCAGTCGGCATTCTCCTCCCCACATCATACTCGCGGACTTCAAAATAATCGTAGGCGCAAGAAATTCTGCAGTACTAGGCTAGCTCAAGTTTACATCCGGCTTAGGAGATATAAGACTTTCTTCTCCCTTCAGTTGCCAACCCCCATTCTCAGCTTTAGTGATAATGGCACGACACGTCTCTTCTACGGATGCCAGTGATAGCGACGATGCTCCAGAATCATTTTCGTTATCCCAATCAAAGAAAAACGTGAAGGAGAAGAGTCAAGTGCTAAAAAACTTTGAAGCATCGGAGAAGGCAAAGAAAAAGATACAGAACAGGGAACGAGACCGCAAGCTGAAGGAACGGGCGCTTGTCACCCGACATCTTGGACAACCTCCTGCGAAGACCACGGAAGACAGTGATGGTTCGGAGGGTGAGAGTGGCGCCGAGGACGAGGCTGTGGCGAGGATGAGAAGGGCTATGCGAGAGGCTGGGGAAGAGATGGATGATGATGATGAGAGTGACAGTGAGGGTGATGAAGACAGTGATGATAACAAGGAAGGAGATGACAATGTTTGGAGCGGTTTCGACGGTGGGGATCACGAGGTAGAGGAAGGCAGTGATGAAGATGCAGAAGACGACGGAGATGAAGATGAATCCATGTCTGACGGAGATCAAAGTGATGAAATGGAGGAAGAGGAAGATGCTATGATGCTAGCAATACCCACAAAATCAGCGCAGAACACCAAATCGAATTCAAAATATCTGCAAGATGATCTTTTCACTTCTGCCTTTTCGGCTCAATCAAAATCTCGAAAAATCAACCCAAAAGCTACTCCAAAAGTAACATCAACTTCGCAAAAGCAGGATGTGCTCAAGAGAAGACGGCGGAAACCTCAGCCTTCGGTGAAAGACCTTATCGTTGGGTACGCTTTTACTATCTTCTCTTTCAGATGAATATATTAATCGCTGTCTTCAGCTCCCGTACGGTACGGACACTCCCAAAAGCCTCAGATTCCAGAGCAATGGCAACGGCGAAGACGCTGCCTCCACATACTGTTAAGAAATTCGTCAGCCGCAGTCTAAACCTCAAAGGGGAAGAAAGATTCGCAAAATCGAGAGGATGGGAGAGAAGGCCCGGTAGGTTTTGTATGTACTGCTTCAGCCTGTGCTTACTGTGATGTTTTTTGGAATTTCTAGCGAACATCGGAGTGCTCAAAAGTGACGGTGCACCTGTTGGATTTGTACGACGCCTCGTTTGACTTGCTTTCTCATTGTCGGTGTCAGCAATACCATCAATTTACATATCTCACTGCTGCAGAGTTCGGTATTAGAGCCTTGGCAATTGCTGCATCTAATAACTCTGATCCCCTCGTAATGATGGATATTAGCATGAGGAACGATACTTGTAAACGGTGGACTGAGTCTTGGCTGGCCTCCTTCCGATCAATCCAATTATAATCGCATGATGGCATACGACCAAACTCTTCAATCATGAAGAAATTTCATTCCTTTCACTGGTTTTACAGGGCAGTACAAGTACATAAGTGAGTAACATCACGGTCAGACGCATCAACGTCTTTATTCAGAGCCCGCATGAAATGAGAATTGTCCGTAATATCCGTTTATCGCGACTAAAAACACCTCCAACGTCGCGATAGCAGTATACAGACCAAGAAGCCCCAAGCTGTATCAACAGTGTACCAAGTGCGTTATCCCTACCGCACATTGTCCCCCGCAATTCACCACTGAACGCTCAAGAAGTCATGAGGGACAGTCGGTCTTGCTTCTAGCTAAAGACACGATTCTAACAACTTCACCCCAACGCTTGATATGTTCATCCCATCCGCTCCCTACATACGACACAGTGAGCTCTGGGAAGAGAGATAGCAAATAGGATGCGACGCCCCCGGAGTTCGTAATCATCGACTCTGATAAGATCACCAAGCGCATCGTTAGCCCCGCCGTACAATGGCGTGGAGGTGAGGGCCGGATTGGGGGAACGTCGGTTGCGTTGACGCTCAATTGCAAGAACGACAAGTTGGGGCATCGCGTAGCGAACTCTTCGAGGCAGTCCAAAGAGATATCATAAAGACCTGACCCGTCCAGCTCAAACTCTTCCAGCCTTGCATCAACTATCCTACCTATAAACTCGTTGTTCAAGGTGATACTCAGATCGCTTAGGCGCACAGTTCTGAGCTCGTGAAAGTTGAATAGTAGCTCGAATGTGGAGAGGGGGATACTTATGGCGATTTCGAAGGTTGAGAGAGTGAGCGCTTGGAGGGAGATAAGCCATGGTGTGTTTGAGTTTATGGTCTGAAAGAGCCTGTGGATGGAGAGGACGGAGAAAGCATATCGGAACCAGAAGCATAGTGTTCTCAGTGGGCTGGATCCGATAGCTTCCATTAGAGGTAAGCACGATATGAGAGCCTGGGAGCCGGTGCTTAATTCGAAGTGGCTCAAAGACTTAAAGTATGTCTCTCGAATCATTGATGGAAGGGCCAGAATTTCATGACCTCCTACGGCAAAGGCTACGCACAACTTATGCAGATCTCGTAACGATCCTATGCTGGTGGTAAAAACAGCCGTATCAAAATGCGAGGGGTTGCCTAAGTGAGAAATAAGATGATATGTTTTTTAAACACGTATATCCAAGCTTACTGAAGACAAATGAGAAGTCTTGCAGAAGGGGACATTTTTCCGAGGTCGTTCTCATTAAGGCGTTGAGCATATCTTTGTTCGTATCAACGAAAAACAGGTCGATCCAGAATTCTCGCAGACGATTGCTCAGAAGTTCCAAGCGGCAAGAATATTCACCCTCGCGAACAGACATCGAGCCGCCGCCACACTCGAGGTGGCGAAGATTCGGCAGGAGGGGTCGTAGGGGACAATAGTTGACTAACTTATGAAAGACGTATGGGGGCAGTACGTATTGAATGGATTGGATGTCATCATCATCTGAGAAGTTCCATTCCAGTTCTTTTATTCTTCGTGCGTTGACTATGAACCTGTCCCAATCCGTAGAAGTGGGCAATCTGTTTAGTCCCTGTTACGGTATCAGGATAAAGAGTGCGCTAATGATCCATGATCGTACCAGAACAAAAGAGACATCTAAGTCGTCGTAGTCCGAGTCTGATCGGCAAGTCTAGAGAGGGCTCAGAGAAGGAGCGACAAGTCGATGCCATGGCTAAAAGAGGCCGGATTTGTGTTTCACGATCAAGATGTTCTAGGATATTGAGCAGAATTTCGGAGATCAAGAGGCAGCGGTGCATTGTCAAAGCGAGTGATAAACGCAGAAAGTTGAAAGTTGCAGAGAGGGATGCACAGACCCGTAGTACTTTCAGTGAATTGGCTGAAAGAAAGAAAGATTCGGATTCGTGGCGCGTTCAGCTCATATTTGTATGGCTATGCCAGGACCACGTGTTTGCTAGTTACTCCCCTGAAGGGCTGACCAGACTTGATTTGGACGGTACAGTTATGTATGCATCATTATTCATCAGTCGTAAACTGTGTATCGATACAGGAGGATTGTGTAGAAAGCAATCATCAAAGCAGTGCGTGGCAGAAGAAGAGAGGAAATATCAGAGACAAGGGTAACAGGAATGCAGCAAGCTGTAATATGGAGCAAGAAAGTGATCGAGCGAGGTAAGTAACACCAATCCTTACGCGTGTATATAGAGCATCAAGAAAACAGGTTCCCATTAGAGGTTACTGCAGTGCCAGTGGGACCCCTAAGGTAGGGAGTGATAGAATATGTGCAGCATGGATCTTTATGAGGAACTCAGTAAACGGTAAATCAGTATGAAAAGATGATCCGACTTACTGATAAATAACCCTGCTCTTAGATGGAAATCATCGTGTGGACATACAACTTGGAGACTACACGCCAAAGAGACCTCACACCATCACCATACGCGAGATCTGAAAGTTCTTCACAAACTCGAATTGAGGGCCAGTTTCTGGACTGTGCGGGAAGCGTTTGAACTTTTCAACTGTCTTCCACTCTTTTGCGATGATCTTCAGCGCGTCCTCACCGTCACGGGCCAAGCCGCACTCCACTAGCCAGCAACCAACGACCATGCCCGTGCGCCCAATGCCACCACGGCAGTGCACTGCACTAATTCGCCCCTTCCTCTCGTTCTGTCTGAGCACGTCGAGAATCTGGCGGACATAGTCGACAGAGGCTGGAAGAGATCTGTCTTGGATTGGAAAGCGGTGGTACTCGATCGAGGCTTCGTCGATTCCGTGTTCACGTGCATGAGAGGCGAGATGGGGGGTGTAGGGCGAGAGTTCGCCGGCTTCTGTGAGGTCTATGAAGGTCCGGACACCTGCGGCAAGGAGGGCGTCGAGTTTTTGGTTGGTGAAACAGAAAGGTGTCCAGGGATATTCACAGGCGAGAAGAAGAGGAGTGGCCCAATATGAATTTGGGATTGGGCGGGGACATTTGGTGACGAGAGCACGGGAAATGGTTGTTGGCTGGTCAAGCCTTGAGATTGCTAGGATGGTCATGGTTAGAGAGAGATACAAAAGTGAAACTGGGGATGGCGTGCATAGACGCGAGATATAAAAGCGTTGTTGTTCCTTCTAGGGCGTGGCTTGGGCATTGAACTGCACACAGCACTGCCACCCTGAGCTTTGGTCCGACTTACTCCGCTCTTTCTTTGCTACTTTTTGTTTCTCCTTGTCCATCCCACACCTCAAAGACAATGACCAGCACAAGCCATGTCGATGTATCTATATCCTGTTTTTCTGCTATTTTTTTTCTATCATCTCTATGTGCACTACAAAGACAGGTGGGACGTGTCTAACGCTCGTCGGCTTGTAACTTGTCCCGACTTGATAGGAGCTTTCCACGACTGCAATCGATGCTGTATCGATAATATCGCGTACCAATGTTGCCTGAGATGTCATCTCGACAGGTCGTATTTATACCATGACAGGTAGGGCGTTTGTTTCCCGCATGTTATGCTTCTATCGCAGTAGTGACAGTATCTGTGAGTTCATTGACGCTTAATCCACGCTTGCATGTACTGACCTTATCAGAATAATATTTAGCTTAAGGACTATGGCAATATTTATCTTCCTTCCATGAAGTGCTCGTTTACTTGCTGTATGCTGAAACTCTATCTTGGCAATTTGGTATCTCTCTTCTTTCGTTATGGAACTCGGAGGATATGGATATCCTGTGCTGTATGTTTGATGAATCACTATAGCTTTTTACAGCTGGTTTCCTAACAGGGGAGCAGAACTTCTTCAATATGCTCGTCGGATTATGGAATTTCCCAGCGTCACTTGCCTTCGCTGTCTATTCTTATACGCACCTTCTTCACGGCGCAAACATGTCCACGCACCTACCGCAAGCAACGGTATTACGCTTCCGCTCCACCGCCTATCCGATACCTTCTCCCTCACATCGCAGCTTATCATACCATGTCAGACCCGCCCTCCCCTCGCGCATGGTGGAAATCCGCGATCGTGTATCAGATCTACCCCATCTCTTTCTTTGACTCTAATGGCGATGGCATTGGTGATCTGAATGGGATCCATGAAAAGCTCGACTACCTCAAAGATCTTGGTGTCGACGTCTTATGGCTCTCTCCCATCTATAGCTCGCCTTTGGCCGATATGGGATATGATATGTGCGTATCTGATGTTGAGTTGGTTCTGAATATCGTGATGATGCTCGTTCCGTTAAGCTCGGATTATCGTAACATTGATCCTCGGTATGGGACACTTGAAGATTACGATCGTCTCCTCAAGGGAGTTCACCAAAGAGGAATGAAGCTGATGTGTGTATTTTTGACTGAGCCCTGTCGCGATTAAATATAGATTTGTCGATGTCACTAGGATGGATCTCGTCGCAAACCACACATCGGATGAGGTTATTGAGGAACTATTGAGTCTGTTTGATATATAGCTTCTGAGACCCCGTTTGTTTTCAGCATGACTGGTTTGTACAATCACGATCCAGCAAGGATGACCCCAAAAGGGACTGGTACATCTGGCGTCCTCCCAAATATGATGTCGACGGTGAACGTCTCCCGCCTAACAACTGGAAATCTGTATTCCAAGGTAACTTTCTCGCTTGTGGGTTGTTTGAACGATGAGCTAAACTGATTGGCTGTGACGTGATTGTATAGGATCAGCTTGGGAATATGATGACAAGACTGGGGAATACTACCTCCATTTATATGTCACCAAACAACCGGACTTGAACTGGGACAATCAAACAGTCCGCGATGCTGTGTGGGATGTGATGCGCTTTTGGATCAACAGAGGATGTGATGGTTTCAGGGTACGTCATCAAGGTTCATTCGTTGGCGGTGGATGCAGATTGTATCTTGCAGATGGATGTCATCAATATCATCTCTAAAACTGAAGGGTTGCCCGACGCCCCAGAGGTGGATCCTACCCAGTACTATCAGCCGGCGAGCATGTACTTTGCTAACGGGTTTGTCGTCAATCAGATCTTTAGTCTAGTGATGTTTGCTAAGATTTCGTGTAGGCCTAGAGTCCATGAGTATATAAAGGAAATGAACCAGGAAGTTCTCTCCAGTAGGACGGTTTCTTTACCTCGCATATTGATGAGTCTCATGGTTCTTCGTTGCAGAACATGACCTGATCACCGTGGGCGAGACTCCGTTTACCCATGAAGCATCAGAGCTTGCAGCATATGTTCTTCCTAAAAACAAAGAACTCAATATGGTCTTCCATTTCGAGTTGATGGATCTCGACTCCCCAGACTATTCGCCGTTGGCGCACAAAGCCTGGAAACTAACCGAGCTCAAGGCGATTGTCAGGAGATGGCAGCAATACAAACGCGAGGAAGGGTTCTGGAATGCGTGAGGGAAACACATTTGCCTTACCTCCTGAGTCGCTGAACTGGGTCGTCCTAGCGTGTTCATCGAGAACCATGACCATTCACGCTCGGTATCTCGCTTCGGGAACGACTCTTCAACGTGGCGGTCGATTTCAGCCAAGATGCTCTCGATTATGGAGATTACTCAGACGGGCACCCTTTACGTTTACCAAGGACAGGAACTCGGCTTGAAGAACTTCCCCCGCAGCTGGGGCATTGAGGAATACAAGGACGTCGCATCGCAAAATTACTGGAACCTGTGAGTGGCCCATCATGCGTTGTCTGGAACCATAAGGCTGATAAGGGTGATTAACTCCTCCCGCAGTATTTTGGAACAGCGAAAGAAGGCGTCTGGTGGGAAAGAAGTGGACATGTCTGACATGCTCGACGATTTCCAACGTAAGGCGCGCGATCATGCACGCATGCCTATGCAAGTAGGTTGATTGACGCTGGTTCTTAATAACCACGAGCGCCTTGCTGACATCTTTCTCGTTTTTGTCAATCTGTCAACCCCAAGTGGGACGACACGAAACATGCGGGGTTCACGACTGGTACGCCCTGGATGCGCGTGAACGACGATTTTGTAGAATGCAATGCGTCTGCCCAAGCGGGTGATAAGGATAGCGTGTTGAGTTTCTGGAAACGTGCGATTGGCACGCGGAAGCAGCATGATGTTCTTGTGAGCGGTTTTTTGTGTCCTGGCGTCAACCGGAATTTGGGTGGTTGCAGGCTGTCGATGCTAATGTGGACTTTTCCCCTCGTAGATCTACGGAGACTTTGAGCTCTTGCTTGCTGAGAACGAGCAAGTCTTTGCGTACAAGCGCACCCTAGGGCCTTCTTCCGCTTTGGTGTTGCTGAACTTCCAAGAGGCAGAAGCGACCGTTTCGTTAGCTGAAGTCGGAGAACTGACTGGGTATAAGTTTGTTCTTGGCAATTATGGGGAGGAAGAGCGGGGTGGATTGCGTGAGACGGCGTCGTTGAGGGGATATGAAGGCCGGCTTTATGTAAAGTAAGATTTTTGACTGTACTTTTGGATGCTCAAACAATCACGTTGCTTCTCCGAGTCGCTGGAGGGAAATTTCAGGATAGCGGTTATCGAATATGAGCGACGTGTTGGTATAGACAGTCTTTGATAAACGTCGAAGAGGAAGCTAGCCATAATTAACTCTGTAGACGCTTTTCAGTGACTGGACCTTTGCTTATTGTCGGAGGCCCTTTGCTAAACAAGAGTCGGTACTCGGAATTCTGGGTGGTGCCTTCAGATCTTCAGATCTTGTTCACGATCCTTTTTTCGCGCAAGCTCCGAGACATTCAGAAATATCAATGTGAACCAGGCAGGCAGTGGAGCCTCTAGCAATTTAGCTCGGAGGGTGGTTTGTGGGACGAGCGTCAATGGGTTTTTCTGGATTTCTTTTGTTGAGCGCCTCCGTGCTGTGTTATGTGATTTCTTACCGTGGTTTTTTTTTTAGTTCAGGTAGCTTGCATGTCACACCTGCTTGGTCCATCCTGTGCTTTCCATACAGAATATGTTGTGCTTTCTACGCAGAATATGTGGGGCCGTAGAAGCAACGTTGGTGGCCCGAGACGGGATTGTATCTTGGGACGGCAGCATTTCCCCGTCTGACAGCGATGTCTATAGCATAGGCGAGTCTTTTGTTATATTACGTTCAATGAAATGAGTTTGTGAAATATGACTAGATCCAATTTATCAACATGGCATTTATCGAGTGAACATCGAGTGAAATTTAAGCTGGCGTGAATCTGAAAAGGTGAGAATCAGTTATCGTTATCAATGAATGTCACCGACGATACATTATCTATCATTAAGGTGTCGCTTCTAGAAATGTTGTGTGACACGGACGGATCCTATATTCTCCCTTGCTTAAGCCAAGGGGGAGGCATTTTCTGAGGCATTGTCGCTGAAGAGTGGATTTTCAAACAGGACCACTCACTCGGGTGAAAACCTAATATGACGAACGGCAGTGTGATATATCCAAGGGTGAGATCTGGTGGACGACGACTTTGCGTTGTGCAGGGTAAAGCGTAAGATGGCCCATGACAGAATGCCCGCACGTGAAAGCGCAGCTACTGACTCCGTTCTGCACGACGCTTTGGCAGAGCTGGAGTGTATAAAGTGTGCGGTTTGGTGGAGGAAGCTGGGTTAAGAAATCACTTGAAGTCATGATGAGGATGAACGAAACTTCTCAGCGTCCTACTGGAGAAATCCAACCCGCGTTTTCCTCCGACCAACTCGCCTCATACCGGCCCTATCCCGGAGCCATGGGCGTTAACAACATGGTGGTCAGTCTTACCGTTTGTTTATCTGGTTTGGGTCGTTACTTACTGGCTGACATAATATTTATCGTGCACCTATAACTTGCAGCCCACCGGTGGCACTTTCCAAGGCTATCCTGCGCCGTTTCTTCCTGGAGCGATTAGTTCTAACAATTTATCGGTGAGCCCTCCCGTCAATAATTTAATCGTGCCTGCTACTTATTCACCGACACATAATACGCTGCTTCCTACAGCCTGCCGATCTTTCTGCTCAGAACATCACTGCGGCGTACTTTGCTGGCATCTCGCCTTACAGCAATTTATCGGTGAGTCTTCCTGTCGTTCGTCTACTCTGATTTTCTACTGATCCACCGATACATAATGCATTTCTACCTACAGCCTGCCGATCTTTTTGCTCAGAACAATACTGCGGCGTACTTTCCTGGCGGAGTACCTCACAACAGTTTAATGGCAAGTCTTCTACGGTCCGATTTACTACCTTAGCCACTGACAAAATCCTTCTTCTTATAACTCATTAGAACATGCCATATCTTAACAACCTTTGGCAGTACCCCAACATGGTAGCGCCTCCTCCTGGTCCCGCAGACTTTAATAAGTTTTTGGTGAGTCTTGCAGCTATTTATTCAGTTTGATATGCCACTCACTCAGTAACTCATTTTCTTTGCTCGTAAAGTATTACAATCCGCCGGGCGCCGCTAGTTTCCCGCAGAATCCTGCACCAGCGGTGTCTCAATCTGGAGCCATGCGCTCTCCTAGGCGAGCCGTAAGTTTCGCTCTTACATATTAGTTTTCTACTTGGTCGCTGACACAGTTACTTCTCTGTTTTATTGCATTTACACAAGGCTGCCAAACGTGTGCGAAACATCACCGGGCCGTCTCCTCTTCCTGGGACTACGACCTCTTCTAGGAGAGCTGTGAGTGGTTTATCTGGTAGAACATGTACTTCAACACTGATACGACCTTCCATGTAACGCATTGACTTTACAGTGCGCCGATGGTACTACTGGACCGTCGGTTCTTCCTGTGGCTGCCACCTCTTCGAAGCGAGCAGTGAGTGTATTTATTTGATGAGAGCCTCTACTCCCATTGACAAGGTCTTCCATACAATCTATAGCGCGCCAAGAGACCCCTGAAAGGTAGTAACTCTTCCAAGAAAGCGGTGAGTGTTTCCGTCACTATTTGTACTTTACGCTGCTTACTTGCCGTACAATCGTTTCTGCAACGCATTCCATATATAGCGTGTTGATAGTCTTTTGCAAATTGGCGTCATGCCATCACGTCCCGGTAAAAACGCTAGCCCGGAGGAGCGAGAAAAAGTGAGTCTTCATTTAGCGTTGAATCTTATTTGCAACTTACACAATGCACCATCCCTCTATCAAAATAATTAGTACGTACAGGAAGCGGGGAAGGCCATCCAGGCTATCGCCAAAAAACTTGGATCTTCTCAAGGGATAGTTAACCACTGCCTCCGGGAACAATGCGTTCCGATGCCCCGCCTGACGCCGAACTCATACGACTATTTCAGGCAGTTCAAAATACTGAACACTGTTTTAGACCATCTAATTTTGTTTGAGCCATCGGATGCAGATTCGAGAGAAGGCCATAGTACATCGTGCACGGGGGTAGCCATGTCCGACTGCCTCTCTATGTGGGGCATGAAGGACCCCTTCGAGCCTGTGTTTTCAGCACAAAGAGCACGAGGCGTACAGTTCATTACTTTTGTTCTTACTGTAAGTCTTCGTCTTCGTCTGCATCATGATAGCCCCGAACTTACTTCTTATTTATGCCGTATAGTGGCCGGGATACAAAGGCTTGCACATGGATTGGCGCTTCGAAATCTCCATTCAAAGTGTGCCGACTCGTGACAAGCTCGCATATATCATTGCTGGCCAATTCCGAGATTTTATCGAGGTACGAATGCGTTTTCTGCTTACATCATTTTGACCCACTCATGAACGTTTCTATCTTGCCGCAGGCTGTAGATAAGGGTCGTTATCAAGCTGAAGACGACAACCTGCATTGGACGGTTGGAAATGGTGGCTATAACCTTGGCCACATGAAACTATCTGCATTATGGAATGCTGCGGACGGATTATGGGCTGCTAATGTTCGTGTAGTTGATGAGGTTTGAGAGGATTGTAACTATATATGAATTGGGCTTTCAGTGCCAGTGGACTGTCTGTATGAATTTCTCCAGTCATGTAATTTCTGCCTGCATATGATTATACGCCATGTAGTGTGAACTGTGTATGTTCAATAATATAAACTTTGATTGTAAAATCATCGATGACTTGTAATCGATATCCACTTGGATATAACTTAGAAAATGCAAAAAGTACAAAATTTCCGTGTACAGATGCTGTCATAGCAAGATTCGGCTCAGCGACCTTCAAGTATAGTCAAACCGCGACCCGGACGCGCCTATGATGTTGCCACATCCCATTCCGCTTCCAAACCACTACCACTCTAAATCTTCGTCAATGTATGCGGGCTCCAAGTCATGACATCTCTTCTACCTTTTCACAAGGAAATTCTCGAAGAAATTCACGATCCTTCCACCAGCGAGCTCCTTATCCTAGCTCGAGGCCTTGGACTTCGCCGTCTGCTATGCACGCTTATGCAAATTTATGAGTCTCCACAGACCCTGGTACTGCTCGTCAATGCTTCTCAAGAGGAGGAATCTGCCATTGGTGAAGAGCTGGGAATAATGGGGTGTAGGAAACCTGGACTCAGACTAGTCGGATATGAACTAGGGAAAAAGGACAGGTCAGTAAATTAAGCTCTTTCAGATGTTTCACAGTGGTTCGAGCCGCGCACATGCCTTATTCAAGGCAGGAACTTTACAAGAAAGGAGGCTTAATCTCAGTCACTTCCCGTATCCTCGTCGTCGACATGCTACAGTCCGACATTCCGATAAACCTCATTACCGGCATCATCATCTTGCATGCTGAAAGGCGAGTTTGAACATAAAGAATAAGTATTAAAAAAAACTGACATTATAATTCACTGAACTACAAAAAAGAGTGACTGCTCTCTCGTTGGAGGCATTCATCGTTCGTCTCTATCGCGAGAAAAACTCGGCCGGCTTTCTTAAAGCCTTTACTGATCAACCTGAACATATAACTAGTGGTATGTCACCCCTAAAGAACATAATGAAGGAGCTACAACTTCGGACTGTACATATATATCCTCGGTAGCGTGATTCATCATCTTGATCAAACAGGGGTCGCTAAGAAGTTTTAGTTTCCATGAAACTATCAAATCAACTCTGGAGAGTAGGAAAGCGGACGTTATTGAGTTGTACCAACGTCTCACTGAACCTATGGAGGACATACACCACGCTATCGTTCAGTGTATGACTACTACGCTGTCAGAACTCAAACGTTCCAACACTACGGTAAGAAAAGTTGTGTTTAGGGTTGAATTTCATTGAGTCTTGCTCTGTAGCTTGACCTCGATGACCTTAATATTGAGAGTGCATATTTTCGCTCTTTTGATATGGTAGTTAGGCGACAGTTGGATCCGGTATGGCACAAAGTGGGACCCAAGACGAAACAGCTAGTGAGTGATCTTGCCACTCTTCGCCAACTTCTAAAGTGGGTATTCCCCTGACTTCCTGGTGTGACTCCTAATGGAAATACACTCTACAGCTATCTCCTCACATATGACTCCCTCTCTTTTCACGCCTACCTTGAAGCTCTAGTAGCATCCAATACTATTAATGCTACGGGAAACGCGCGGCAGCATCAATCACCTTGGATGCTTACAGACGCTGCCAATGTTATTTTTCAGACCGCGAAGCGGAGATGCTACACAGTCACTTCTGCCAAAAGGAAATCGACAGCAGAAAGTTCAAATGCAGACGTTCTGGATGATGCGGATGCTTGGGATGCTTTATATGAGGCTGAAGGGCGCCAGCCACCCAATGCAGGGAATAATCAGGGGAAGGAAGCTCGTAAAGCGTGGCTTCCAGACGGCATTGATCCAGTTCTCGAAGAGTTGCCCAAATGGGATCTACTTGCAGACATATTGCAAGAAATCGAGGAAGAAATGATCAGACAAGAGTCACTGTCCACGAGTGAGTATAGTTGAACTCTGTCCTTAAAAATTATATCACTAATCGCCCATATAGCTGTCTTGGGTTCGAATACCGTTCTGATTATGGCATCTTCCACTCGGTCTGCAGCTCTTATCCGTGAATATTTGTCCAGTATGGATGTGTCCGCTCCGAAAGGTGCACGAGGCCGTAAGATGATGGAACGCAAATTAAAATCACATTTTTGGTGGAAGGGGAGACTTGCAACTCGCAAGCAGGATGATGGCAAGGGACGGCCTGATATATCTCGAAACCACTCGGAAAACCGGAACAAAGGAAATGATAGTGGAAGTGGGAGTGCCGAAGTAAGTGAGGCTCTCAAGAGGAAAGATAAAGCTAGGCAAGATAGAAGCGCAAACCGGAGGCGTGTCAGAGGAGGCGCTCCCCCAGCCATAGCAAAGGTATCACAAGCGGCGTCTCACGTCAACGGAAGCGGAAATGATACCAACGAGTTGTAAGATTTTCCCTTCGTTTTTATTTGTAGTTCCTCACCCCATTTTAGCCTTGTGCCTGAAAATGTTGTTCTCGACGAGTTAGACATTCCATCCACCGACTTCGACCTAATCGCAGAAATACTAGCTGGCCAGCATGATAGTGATTTCGATACACACTACGGTCTAGTTCCTCCTCAACAAACAATCATAGTGCGAGCATATTCCGATGATGTCGATGATCAAGTGCTGTGGGAGGTAAAGCCCAGATTTATTGTGATGTTTGAGCCGAGTCTCGAGTTTATCAGGCGTATCGAGGTCAGTGAAATCAAACTGAAAGGACACGAATCGTTTTCATATTTCGCATTTAGGTATATAAAAATTCAAGTCCTGGGCTTGGTGTAAGAGTATATTTTATGATTTATCAACTTAGCTGCGAAGAACACAAATATCTCGCTGGACTGCGACGAGAGAAGGAATCTTTCGAACGACTTATAAAAGAAAGAGGAGTGCGTATTTCTATTTCGTACTTCGGGTTACGTTACTTATAAGCTATATAGTCGATGTTGCTCCCAATATTTCAGACTCAAACGTCCGGTAAAGGAGAGAATACGTTCATTAAAACTATCAGTTCCAGATTTGCTGGCGGTCGAAAGGAGTTAAGCACAACCCCGCCCCAAGTGCGTATTGTTAGCTTTATTGGAATCATCCCTTTCACCAATTAAAATGTTTTAGGTCATCGTAGATATGCGAGAATTTCGTTCGACTTTGCCATCCCTTCTACATGCATCAAGTTTGCTCATAATCCCGGCAACACTGACTGTTGGGGACTACGTCCTGACTCCCGATATCTGCGTCGAAAGAAAAAGTATACCGGATCTAGTATCAAGCTTTAACAGTGGCCGTTTGTAAGTGAGGTAAATGTGTTACTGATCGCCTAGCTCACCACTCATTTCTAAGATATACACAATGCGAATTAATGTCGGTGCATTACAAACAACCTATTTTACTCATCGAATTTGAGGAGAACAAATCTTTCTCTCTCGAAGTAAGTCTGTTATCCTTGATGATCCTGATTCCCTGTTTATCATTTTTTTTTTCCCCATAGACTGTATCTGAGCTCAAATCGTACGCGAAACCATCGTCCAAGTATCCTAGCAAGAAACCTGCTGGCCCCTCGGATACAGATCGCGCTGCCCCCTCTGTCCAATCTAAGCTAGTTCTACTAACACTACACTTCCCTCGTGTCCGCATAATCTGGTCATCATCGCCATATGCAACTACCGATATCTTCAACGATCTTAAAGCCAATAACTATGAGCCTGACTCTGCCCGAGCTGTGGCCATAGGCGCAGAAGACGACCCAGAGGCAGGAGCCGGGGTGAACGCTGCTGCAGAAGAACTGCTGAGATGTCTTCCTGGTATTACAGCGAAGAACGTGAAGTATGTGATGAGCAAGGTACAGAGCGTCAGGGAGCTGTGCGAGATGAGTAATGAACAGGTTCAGGAGATTCTGGGGGTGGGGCCTGGAAAGGCATGTTGGGAGTTTATGCATAAGGGCGAGAAGAGCCGCTCTGCTACATGACTATTCAGTGATCTCCGACATTGAAGGGGAATAGTCGTCGTCAGGTATCGTTATCTTACCATTACTTATAGATCTTAGTAGTATATATATGTATGTGATCAGGTACGGCTCAAAAGGAGAAGGATTTCGGGCGGCAGTTTCACGGACTTCGGAAATGCTGTAAGGACAATTCTATAGCGGGGGTGCTAAGTGGCTGGTAAAGAGTTCGTTTGATCTTTATTATGGCTGATAAGCCGGCCCCGTCAGTTATGTTATTCCGACGAATAGTAAGTAATTCAGTCGACAAGTGCCTTAGAATTGAATAGGAGATCTGGGGATGCTGGAGTGTTATTGTATACTAAATCAAATGCAGGTGTAAAAGGTAATCTTGATCGTGAAATCTCTTCTTCAAATGCGGCGCAGTCGTATTTGTTCCGGAGGTATAGTATCTCGCTGGGTTTCCCCATCACTACGGAAATATCTCACTGTGTGCTGAGAACGATTGGTAAGATTACAATTGAGACTACGTAAGATCACTGACTGCGGGGTACCTACTGCCATGAACACTAATAGGCGGTCGCGTTATATGGGGCTCTGTATGCCATCTATGGTCAAGCAAAGATGAAGAATGGAGCAAGGGAAGGAGACGCACATAGACAAATCAAATGTCAGTAGGGTCGTCAGCCTATTGGTATCTCCTCTTCCTTCTTCATCGGAGCTGGAATTACTGTCAATGTAGGAGTGTGGGCATCACAAGCGTTGTTCGGGATACTTGAAAGGGGACGCACCTGTCTGTGAACAAGCTATTACAACCCAGGAGAGAGAGGACGGAACGAGAAGAGGCGATTGTGCTGAACAGCGTCATAAGAACATGAGCATAAGAAATATGTGTTGCACGAACCTCACACAACCCGCTTTGACAAATCAATCAGTGAAAAGCGCAAAGGGATAAAGAGAGACCTTTACCAGGTTGTACGAAGAAGATACCCATGACATCTGTGCAGAAACAACTCAATCATATTTCACCTCGGGTTCCTTTCATAAGCTACTTACCATTTAAATTCAAACAAGAGAAGATCTACCAGAAAAAAGAAATGTGTTTTGATCAATGTCGAGCTCACGCGGCATGTTTTGATAGCGAAACTTACCACAGGTAGAATGTTGACTGCGAATGCTACTACAAAGTAAAATATACCTTGTCTATGTAGTCTGCTCCATAAGGCCGAGCGTGATTTCACCCTCGACAAGCCTACTACTGTGAGACTGAGTATAAGAAAGTCGTAGAGCATCGCTGAGCATGAAATTTTGGGTATCAGCGTGAACATCCGAGAGGAATGCTCCACATACTGTATATGAACATGGCCGCAGTCTTTGTATTACTTGTATATGTAATTGTGCAGGCGTGCGTGGTACTATTTGCTTGAGCTTTGAAATATGTTGGACCTAGAGAGGGATAGATATACATATTAATCGTTCAATAAGTTTTGAAATATAACAAACCGACAAACCTGCCATGAGAATAGTCCAATGGCCAAGGGTTAATAGCAGAAGTAGTATAACTACAGTGGAACGTTGTTTCCAGATGACTGCCCTGATGTTGATTGAGCCATAAAGTGAAGTTGTGTTGGAGTGGTGAAGACGCACGTTCGAATCATCAAGTTGGTAGAAGCGCATGCGATGGCTATATTTCCTGTGACCTGCGTGCACGCATTTGGGTGCGATGAGAAGGAGCAAGACTCATGAGGTTGTGGGCTTACCGCCAAAGCCTGGTGCGCAGCTTGAATTTATATAAGCTCACAAGTTCTTTATCACGATCGAGAGAAGCTCACATTTACAATCAACAGCAAAAGTCTTTCGACTGACAGCTGTTCTATCATATTTGGTTTGGTTTGCATCTGGTAGGATCGGGATTTATGGTACTTACAGCGAAATAACAGTTGCCAAAAAGCTATATCTCCCTAAGAAATATGGAACCTAACAGTTCATGTGAGCAATGCTTTGATACAGTTGAAATGCGCGCTACACGTACGAGGGGCCATCTGAACGTTAGACGGCGAGAAATCAAGGCCCATTCAGCTTGGAGTGTCAATAAATACTCCCATCTGTATCGTAGTCAGAGAAATGAGCAAGAGATGAGTAGTATGGAATGTTAGTGTCCAAACCCATATATTCCCAATAACACTAAGCCTAGTTTTCCAAGGGCTGTCTCGTCTTCTTCTATGACTGCGGGATCTGACCAGTTCACCATGATCGCCAAAAGCAAAGCAAATCCGAAGCGGGAGACAGCTAACGTAGCAGTGTTGTTTTCGAGATATCGAGGAGCAGAAAAGTGTAAGTTAAATGACTGATTTCTTGAGAGAATCCATGTGGTATAAGAGCGGTTGTCAATTGAACAGGTACGGCAATATGACACATGGATTTGGCCGTATCTAGTCGATCATTCGCACGTGGAACCGGCGATCGCTTACGTTCACCTTTTTTCTCTTCCGAGTCTACACTTTTCCCTTCAAGTTCGCACCCGTACAACGACAACCTTATAGATACAGTAATAAGTAAGTCAAAAATTTTAACCCCTGACATGTTATCTGAAGTATTGCGTTATACATTCAATACCACCCATTCAAAAGTTAACAGGTTCGATACGGTTCATCGGACAACCATCACTATAGTGCTACCACGTATCGCCAATTTTGCCTTTTCAACCCTGACTTGAATGGGGACGTTGAGCGATTGGAGCGCATCCATGTCACACAAACGTCACACAAATCGTATTGAGTTTTAGGTAGAAATAGTCTGAGAAACATCCCCGTTCTGCCCAGCTGCGACAGGCTCGCCAAGCCTTCCATGGTTCGAGTTGAGTAGGCTTGACTGCATCAATGCCTTTCCAGATGGCCTCATCTTATCCAGCTGTCCGTCACAGGTAAGTACCTCCATATCCTGGGCGGGGATTCGACTTCATTACGTGCAACTTGACCTATACAGTAATAGGTCTCCGAGTCGGGGTAACTCCAAGCTTTCAGATACGGGGCGACTTATCTTTCGCCCTTGCTACACCCCATATACTTACAGCGCTGTAAGTCTCGGATACTATCTTATTTTAAGGTTCTAGGCCCCGACACTATTCACCTCAATAATCGCTGTCACGTCGTTGGCTGCAAGGCTCGGATTACCTTGGCAGTCTTAAGCCACAGGGTTCAAAGATGCCCAATGATTCTATACTCAATCTGAGTTCAGTAGCTTACGGTAGCTGTCGTAACCGCGTTGGGAAAATACTGGCAATGTAGGATTTAATGAAGGCACCACTTTGCCATCGCCGTATGATAAGTCAAAGCCGAGCTCTTACCAGTACGAACTCAAGTCCCATGAGCCCTTTGTGCTTAGGTTCCAGCATCTCTATACATCCAGTTTTCTGGTAGTTATTCCAGCGCCAAAATTAGTATCTCATGTATGTCTTACTTCGATCTTCTGATTTCTCTGATTCCTGATGTCAGCATACTTTAGATGCTAAACTTGATAAAATGATCAGGACCTGTTAGATCGCCAAGTCAGAAACTCCTGTCCGAGTTTACTTACATATGCTTTGATAGGTCCCTGTGGATCATCCACATCAAGTCTTTGATGGTATACAAGTTTTGTAAGTTTTTATTACTAAATTTGACGTATGTGAGTATATCTAATCCTAACGACCAGTGAGGGCGTCCATCATCGTGATGTAGTACCTTGTACTTTCTGTATCAAACTGATGTGCTTCGAATTTCGGGTTAAAGTACAAGGCAATTACTTCATGGACCTTTCCGGTTGCGACCTCGAGGCGTTCCTTTTGCTTTAAGCAGCTTAAGCGTTTAGATGCTGTGTCACTCAGCATATCTGAGACAGAGACAGGTGTCATTACTGGCTACATTTTTTGTGCATGCTAACGCGAACTAGACCGTAGTACACACACACCCACAACATTAGTTCGTCGCGGATGTATAAAAGCGACGCATCCGAAGGACACATGGCGAACATGAGGCTAATTCTCTCTTCAACCTGGATGAAACTTACTATATTGGATGCACCTGGGCGTCTGCGGCATAGCCTACCGCAAGCCGATAGCCTTTCTGGGGTTCGAGCAGGTGAGCACTCGAGTCTTCGACTGAAACTTCATCTGGGATTGTGTATATATACTGTTGGTCCATGGTGCCACCCGCAATCTCAATCGAAATACTCTTTGCTTTCTCTGAGCGACATTCAAGTTGGATCGGTAAGTTTACTATACAATCTGCTAAGGAACGTACTAACGACGATACTATGCCACCTTTCTATCAGGTCTCTTTCAATTGATGTGGACTCAAGTTTCGTCCTCCGAACTTTCAATCCTATTACGGGAAATTGAAAAGTTCGGTTTATCGCTTTCTCCAAAGTCTATCTCTCTCCCTAGTCGCCCGCGTTCCCTGATACAGTCTCTTCCCAACGAGATATGGTCTGAGATATTCATGGCTGCATCTCACAATTCCAATATCCATGATTCTATTGCCTCGCCCATCATTATATCTCATGTCTGTCAACACTGGCGGCGTATCTCTCTTTCAACAAGTGCGTTATGGGCCACCGTTCTTCTTACGCATCCGAGCGAAAACTATCAGTTATCGCGGACCGTTACCTGGCTTATGAGGTCTCGCAGGCTTCCGTTGCATATCCACCTCGATTTCCGAGATCCAACGTGGAATTGGGAAGAGGGTTCTCACACATTCGGCTGGAAAAACATGGAAAATGTCATACGTCTCCTTCTCCCACAGGTATCTCGCTGGGAAACGCTAAAGTTGCTTTCAGACACCTGGGCGCCTATATATACCTTCCTCCGTTACACATCCCGCGTCCAATGTGCACCACGGTTAAAAACTATCGAGCTCTCCCGCTGCAACGCCTACTTCGCGGTCAAAGGCGAGACATTTCGTCCCGTCTCTATGAAGGAGCCCGTTTCGTGGTTCAGTGGCGGCAAGGCATTGGCAGGGGTTCGGAGGGTATTGCTGGCGGGCGTCCATGTTGATTGGTCACACTCTGGGCTGAGTGGTCTTGAGGAGCTCGAGCTCAAGTACCATTCGAGCGACGTGATGCCCACCCTTCAGGAGTTCACTGATATCTTGGCAGCTTCTCCCAAGTTGAGGCGTCTCTCTATCCTTGGGTGGGGTCCTATCCTCAGTGCCAATGATTCCGAAGATTCCCTTTTGAGTCATCCTCCACCTCCCAGTTCCATAAATTCGTATACATGTAGCATCTGTCTGCCTTACCTCAAACACTTCGCCCTCGGTTTCATCGACGTCGAATACACTATCAACCTTCTCTCTTTGTTCTGTATGCCAGCGTTAGAATCGCTGGTACTAGAAGATATATCCCGTGGCTTATCGCATTCTGCGGATGACCTGGACGCCACCCCGCTACTGGAATATCTTATCTCTGCCCATACATCCTCCGTCCCTTGCAATTCTCTCCCTTCACATACTGGCGCCTGTACACCACCTCGATGTTGCCTCCCCTTATCGAACGTGTCTTCTCTGCAAATATATGGTGTACTAGTTACGCAAGGCACGCTGTTCCACCAGTTTCTGCAGCAACTTCCTGTCCTTAGGTACCTGTCTTTATCGAATATGGAAGAAGCCTCTCTCCGTTCTCTCGTGGCTCAACTCATCGATTCCTCTACACGAGGCCCAGAGGAACCAGCTATCGTCTGTCCCACCCTTGCTGAGCTGACAATAAAGCACCTTGATGCCCCCACAGTCGCCGGACTGCATTCACTATGGGCCGACGGTGATTTCAGTTCGCTGGCGTGCAAGATTATCCTTGATTTTGAAGATGGCGATGTTTCGCTCACCCCTGGGCAACGTGCATCATTCATTCGTGCTGGTGTACGTCTAATGAACGAGCCCCCGAACTGCCCAAGTCCTCCTTGTCTCAAATGCGCCAAAGGAGTCGAATCATGCTCATGAGCTGCGTCTATACTCATGACTCGGACGCTTTTCGATGCACAATGGCTGAGAATCAAATACCCATGCCACCAGCGAGCGTTCCTCCCAGTAATGTTTCACGCCTCTCCAAAACCATGCGTACTCGGGATCTCTACGGTTTTACGATTCTTATGAAGTAAATGTCTAAATTACATGCCTAGCCCCTTACTCGAGGGAGAGATGATGATGATGCTGTATAGATGGAATAGAAACTCTTTAGAATTATCTGGTACACTCACTTCTACTCGTGAGAATTTTCTTTGCATACAACGCACAAAGCAGTGCGAACACTATCATACTGAAACAGGGGTGCACTCTTATTTACGATTCACGTATTTACAACAGATCCACTTGGTAATCGAGTACATCTTGACATCTAACCCAGGATTTTGAAACTTCTACCTTCTACTGCGAGTTGGTTAGATTCACGTAAATCTGACTAGCCGTGCACAAGACCTGAGAATGTTATCCATGTAAGTGTGTGTACAGCACAAGTACGGTTCAAACATACCTCTCCCGGGTAAATGTTGTTGCAAATCGGGTTTACATTCGGGTTGTTGGTGAGAAGGGTGCTGATAGGAATTCCAACGCTCGTAGAAATAGTGCTGCATGTATCTCCAGATTGTACGACAAGCGTGGTGTTGCAATCTTGACCAGTGAGGCCCAAACAAATCGTCTGCAATACCGAAAAATCCGTAAGTTAATCTAGAATTGTGCCAAGGGCGTGCGAGCAATAGTTACCTCGCCCTCCGCTAAGTTGCTACAGTTGGTGTTTATAATGCCAGTATTGACGGCAGAAAGCTGGTAGCTAAAAGAAATCACGGTTGAGCGTTGTATGGGGAGCGCGTACGGTGAGTAACCCACGTGGAAACATTGAGGTTAGCAGAGATGATGTTGCAAGTATCGCCGAGGTGAATGGTATAGTTCCTATCGCAATTTGTGGGCAGCGATTGGGCTATGATTTGATAGTGAATTGAGAAAAATAGTAGCAAAGGGTGAAACTGACCGGTCGATACACCTGCAAGAGCAAGAACGGCAAACATCATGTTGGTGAACATCTTGATTGAAATGCTTTCTTAGAGGCTAGATCGTTGTCACAAATTAAGAGAACGAAGAATAGTGTTTTCCAAGGATATATCCCCTGCTTTTATACCTTTTTGCATAGGCACAAAAATGCGGCAAGAGGGCTTTGTGAGAACTGATGTGCAAGGAATGGCTAGGCACACATAAGAAATAGCCCACGTCAATCGCGGAAAATGACTGAGACGAGAGAGTGTCGCTGATGATGACTTGTAACGACTGGAGCTTGATTCGCTACAGAATTGCGCAGCCACTTGCGGATCCATGACTTTGATACTGCGCTGGCTTAGTGCGATACTCATGGAGTTTTGATCGAGATCTACACAATGAGGAACACGTCAATATGAGAATTGGGTATCATTTAAAGGTACCATCGAGGTGATGCGGCCTAGGGCGCTGTTCGGATGTGTAGATAAACATAACTCACCAAGAAATACATGTGCTCAAAAGCACGAGCAAGACAATAGAGTGCCTTGCTGTATCGCAGTCACGTCTTTGAACAGATCATGGGTCGCGAGGATAGGTACTGGGCACTGCAAGAAAGAAGGGCGCGCGAGTCACGATACAATCACGTGAGTAAAATCAAAGGAGGTACGCGGGAGCGGAACTGTGATTCATAGTTCCTGGATTTGAACTACAACTAGTCAGAATTTCCAAGTTCTTGCCTTACTGTGACTGAGCTGCCAATATTGCAATCAAGAAGGACAAGTGTGTATCGAAGTGAAAGCACGGCCGGGACGTGTGGGCTGTTGTTTATATTTGTTGGATTCCCAAGCTCTAGGAAGACAAACACAAATAAAAGCTAGGATACGCAACTTTCACTCACACTATTTTTCAACTATTTTTTCTTGTGAAATTTCCGAGTCAGAGAAACGTATGGCTTCGGCTCTATCTGGTGACATGTTATAATAAACCACTTGGCTGAAGAAAGAGAGGCTAGACTGATGCCGGGGATTTAGTGACACATTAGTGTTTGTATCTCAAAGTATTTGTTCGCTCAATGATAAAATATGACGTGACATGCATGAGTATAGATCTGTCTAGGACATAAAACACAGGAAAAAATCACTATCAAATACGCCACCAACGTCTACGTGTTCATCATCCTATTTCACATATAAGGATCATGTAGGGGAGTTCTTGTCAATGGTTTTAGGTGGTACGTGATTGCCTATTCAGTGATTATATCTATAGATATGCCCCGTTATCTGGATTACTCGCACTGAGAATGCATAGTGAAGCCCATCATGCACCTTTTTCTCGTAAGGGGGTGTTGCTAAATCCGATTTCTGCTACTCGCTTTACTTGCTATTCGGCTTGCCTACCTTTGCTTTTATCCTTTCGTATTAAAGAATGTACGAGCGGCACCCCCCTTCCCAGCTACGAGCATTAAAGCGCTTTACCAGTCATACATAACGCTACAGCACTATCAAGCAGAAACGAGTCATGGAGGCCCCCACATGTTCAGAAAACAATGACCTAAGTACTGTAACGGCTGGCGCCCAAGGCTCGTCCCCAAGATCACTGGAAGGCAACAACCTGAAAGCCGTAGCAAAGTACATCAAGTCAGAACGGTGCCGCAACATCTGTGTCATGGTCAGTCCTTGATCGCAGTAAGATTATTTCTCCCTGAACATACTTGATCCAGACAGGTGCCGGTGAGTGCCACTCCAAATTTCTCCTTTACTTGTCATCGAAAGTACCCACAGGAATCAGTATTCATCTAGTCCAAAAGACGCTCAAATCCCTGATAAAGGTGAAATCGCCCCCGCCTCTGAGATAGCCCGTCTTTCTGCTAACCTAAAGGGGTCTTTTCACGGTGTGATGCAAAGACTTATATGTGAGTTTTTGTTCCTTGTGCCTTTGACTGTTAACTGAACACTAAACGCACGATATACATTCCACCCAGTCACTTCTTGCAGACATGAACCTTCCGTACATGGAGGCTGCGTTCGAGCGCGATTTATTCCTTCAAAATCCACTCCCCTGTCAGTCCATTTCCCGCTCACTCCCCTCCATCCCATTCTCACCCTGCCGACAGTCTTCGTCGCCGCCAAAAAGCTTTGGCCCGGCCAACGTCGCCCCACACTCACCCACGCATTCATCAAGCTCCTCGACTCCAAAAACCTCCTCCACACCAGTTTCACACAGAACATCGACATGCTCGAGCGCGCCGCCGGCGTCCCCCCCTCCAAGCTCGTCGAGGCGCACGGCTCGTACGCCGCGCACAGCTGCATCGAGTGTGCGGCGCCGTACGACGGTGCCAAGATGGAGGAAGCGGTGATGAGCTTGGCGATACCCCGATGCGAGGCGTGCGGCGGCCTCGCGAAATCTGACGTGGTGTTGTACGGAGATCCGGTTCGTCCCTGCCTTACCTCCCCTCCTCCTCCTCCGTCTTGCCGTACACTCAATCGGACTTCATCAGATGCCCCCCGCCTTCTTCTCCTCCCTCCCCCGCATCCTCCACTCCGACTTACTCATCGTCATGGGCACCTCCCTCGCCGCCCGCCCCTTCGCCGACCTCGCCGAGCTCGTGCGAGGAGACTGTCCGCGCGTGCTGCTCAACAAGGACGCAGTGGGCGAGTTCGAGAGGCCGGATGATGTCGTTCGTCTTGGGGAGTGTGATCAACTGGTGAGGGTGCTCTGTAGGGAGCTGGGATGGGAGGGGGAGCTTGAGGAGGCGTGGGAGGCAGTTGGGGGGCGTGTGGATCGAGGGGGGGTGATTGGTGTGGGTGCTGGAGGTAGCGACGACGAGGGGGGAAAGCTATTCGACGGGGAACTCGAGAACATAACACGCGGGATTGATAGCATGCATGGTTTGGGACAGGCATGTCCTGCCTAAACCTGGGGGGATCGACAACTCGAAGGACAGACGACCGACCCCATCCGAATCGCCCCCCCCCCGCATCAAACCATCCAAATCGAAGGGAAACCGTAAAGGTGTATGCGTAGACGACACCAGAGAAGAAACCGCTACCCAAATGTACACA